CCGCAATCGAAAATAATTTTTCTAGAACGATTTGAAATTTTTGAATTTTGTCGAGAAATTTCACCTATTCTCGAATTTTTTTTCTCGCAAATGGGTAGGATTTCGAGGGTATATATAATGACCTAAAATGATTATAATTGACCCCCGCAATCGAAAATAATTTTTCTAGAACGATTTGAAATTTTTGAATTTTGTCGAGAAATTTCACCTATTCTCGAATTTTTTTTCTCGAAAATGGATAGGATTTCGAGGGTATATCTAATGACCTAAAATGATTATAATTGACCCCCGCAATCGAAAATAATTTTTCCAGAACGATTTGAAATTTTTGAATTTAATTGTTAATAACTTTTTAAAGAAGCGTTGTACGAAGAAATTTAAACAAAATTAAATAGTACAAGTTCGACGTATTATTTGAAATGAAATCATACGTCGAAGGGTTGAAAGGAACATCAACAAAATCCTGGACTCGAAGACCATCGAACGAGCATCGATCGAAAACGGGAGAAAGGACCAGACCGGGGAGAACGAAAAATGCAAGACAAGAAAAAAAAAAAAGAAGGAAATACAGCGTGCCTAAGAAAGTAGGGTTTCTCGAGGCTAGATCTTTCGAGGAGATAGACAGCGTCTGACAAAGCCAGTACGTGACCACTTGTGCCCGAGAAACTTTCCCTTGTATCTTTGCCCACCAACACGACATCGCGTGTACTTCTTTCCATTTTTTTCTCACCCCTTGCTACTCGCACCCTCGTTTCGCACGGCTCGAGATAAGAACGCCACCCAAGGTCTTGCTCTAAATAGCGAACGGTACCTGACCTTCCGACCTCGACCCTCGTCAGCCACGGGACGCTGATACGACGAATCGAATTTTCTGGACGCCTCGGGACTAGAACCGAGGCTACTCGTCGAATCTTGTTCTATTTAAATATTTAAACGGTTCGAATGTTTTACAAACGTGTAACAATTCGATGGCTATACCATGGTATCCCTAAAAAAAAACCACAGGAAAAAAACACGTCGTTGACACCGGATTACCAGAGGTACGACGATGGCTACGTTGGTAGGACGACTGACTAGTAATCCGGAGGTCGTGGGTTCGAATCCCCGGTACCTCCCACCTGTCGTTTTTTCTCGATTTCTGCAATACGAATTCAAATACTTGATTAATTCTGACCGGTATTTGAAAAATTTAAATGATCAAATATTTGACTAATTCGAATAGTATTTGAATACTTGACCAAATTCGACTTAGAGTATTTTAAAAATACCTTGACCATTCGAACACTTGACTAATTCAGCGACGAAACACAACTACTATAATTGTGTAAGAAGCTTAGAGAGGAGTTTGTGTACCCCGACATTATATCTCATGTCGAGTCAGAGTTTTGCAGTTTCTCTAGACTGCCAAACCTCAATGAAACTAATTCATACAGAGACACAGACACATGCATAATAGTAATATAGTCTCATATCTGTAATATTTCCATGACCTTCTTAATACTGTAATTATGTTTGTTACATATATTTACACATTGCCCAAATATAAAGCACCTTGAAAGTATCGTTTTCCCTAGATAAGAAGTTATAAATAACAATATTCGACCGATTCGAATCTACCGGGCGGAACTCATGCGAGACAAATATGCCGACAACAGGGTATCAGAGTTTAACGTGTTCAACTTTAAACACTTTGTCGTGAGTATCACTCGAAAGATCTTATTAACGGAAGGTCGTGGCAAAATGCCACTATTTAGTGTACCTATGCAATTTCGTGCAGTAATATATACAATCTCTAATTTACTATTACGTCACCACTGCGGTTCTCAACTTTCTCTAGTTTCATTCGGGACTGATTTCTTCTTCTGCCTACGATAGAGCTAAAAAAACGATTCGAACAACCTGCAATTAAAAATAGTCCGAATGAGGTCGTGTTTGGACTCGTTTTAATTGGTTAAACCCCTAAATTTATGATAGGATTCCTTACTTAATACTATGAGAGCCCCTGTCTCAGGAACGTAATCACGATATAGCACCGCCTGTTTCGTGGCATAGTTAGCTGCACCTACAACTGCTAGGTAAAATAGTTAGCAGTCCTCGTTTCTCAATGCAATTTAACATCAAAGAAGTCTCAAATGTGACCCCTTGCACTCAACACACGAGTCCGTCTATCGTCTGACAAAGAAACGGAGGCAAAAGGGTGAAAACTACCGGTGTCCAAAGGAGACCCGTGCAATCCGTTTCCTATTGCAGAGACCTACCGTCGTCTTGCTTTACGGGCAAGATTGCCTGGAAATTCAATAAAACAGTATTAAACAACATTTTTAAGAACGAAAACAAAGAACCTTAACACGACTGGAAATACAGGGTGTTCGGCCAGCCATGGGAAAAATTTTCATGGGAGATTCCAGCGGCCAAAATAAGACGAAAATCAAGAATACTGATTTGTTGATGGAGACTTCGTTTAAAAGTTATTAACGTTTAAAGTTCCGCTCGAACTGAATTTTTTTCTCGAAAATGGGTAAGAATTCGAAGATATGTGTAATGATAAAAAATGATTGTAATTGACCCTCGTAAACGAAAATAATTTTTCCAGAACGATTTGAAATTTTTTAATTTTGTCGAAAAATTTCACAACTTCTCGAATTTTTTTCTCGAAAATGGGTAGGATTTCGAAGATATGTGTAATGATAAAAAATGATTGTAATTGACCCTTGCAACCGAAAATAATTTTTCCAGAACGATTTGAAATTTTTTAATTTCGTCGAAAAATTTCACAACTTCTCGAATTTTTTTCTCGAAAGTGGGTAGGAATTCGAAGATATGTCTAATGATAAAAAATGATTGTAATTGACCCTCGCAACCGAAAATAATTTTTCCAGAACGATTTGAAATGGTTTAATTTTGTCGAAAAATTTCAGGGAAACATGTCAATGTATGGTCAGACATTTTCGGTAAGGAATTATTTTCTCGAAAGTGCGTAGGATTTCGATGGTATGTCTATTCACCAAAAATGATTGTAATTGGCCCCTGTAACCAAATATAATTTTTTCAGAATGATTTGAAATTTTTTAATTTAATTTTGTTAATAACTTTTTAATGAAGCTTCAGTCAAGAAATTGATATTCTTGATTTCCGTCTTATTTTGTTATTTTGAAGTCTTTTCAGCCATTGCTATTAGAGATATTTATAATTAATATTTGATAATAATTTTAATGATGGAACCATTTGATAATAATTTTTAATCCTAACGCGGTCTTACATACGATACACTACTAACATTACAAAAGGGCATGGAATACCAGTAAATTTCGACGTACCCTGTGCCCGCTAGGACAAAGACATCCTCGAGGACATTCGAGATGTCCTCGTTATAGTGATTTCGTTAGAGACACAGATAACTCTCGAGCAGAGAGCAAATGTGCCTGAACTTCGGCAAACGAGATTAGGAGAAATCTGTGCGAACAAGTTGCAAGGGCCAGACAGTCGAAACTCACATTTCACGTAACAGGAAACGGATAAATTGAATTCAATGAACACTTTGCACGCGCCAGCTTTTCCTTGTTTTCATTCATCGAATAAATGCTAAGACACCATTACGGAAATTTACGAGTAAATCTATCGACGTGAACTCGAACGTACACTGTCTGCGGATAGTTTGGAACTGTATTTAACCGTGTAACAATTATCAGCGCGAGATGCATCGTTACGCGAAACGTATTTCAGAACGTGGAGAATTTAGGTACGTACTCCGGAGGCTGTATAATGAGTATGATAAAAAATAAATAACTTTTTACCGAGTTCCATAGTAAAAGATGATTCGTGAAGTGTTTCTCGCTTACGTACTAGTAATGTACTAATAATTATTTATTCGTTTTATTCGGAAGTGTATCAACGCGTGTCAAAATGGATAATTTTCAAGATTGCACCGTCATCTGCGGCGGAATGGCCAAGTTCGTCGAGAAATAATACGTTGACTTCGACACTAGATGGCGCGTCAGTAATTTCTTACAAGCATATGCTTGAGACATCATCTGGCGTCGAATACAACGTACTATTTTTCGACAAACCTCGTCGTTTTATCGCAAATGACCATTCGATCGTACTGTAGGGAAACATCCAGTCAGAGAAATAATATTATTAACCTCTTGCCTTACAAGGTCGGTCGCACGTTCGTCCCGCCACGTCTCTGGCACGTCTTGTTGATGTTTGGCTCAGTCAGCATACCACATCTTTGGCACGATATTTAAGCTAAGTGGTTAATACAGGCCTCGCTCCCGTCGTCCCCGCGTATTGCCGGAGAAATTAGATAGGAACACAATTAGAGAAACTCCACGTGGTTGTAACAACGAAACGATAAACACTTTACTCCGAACGAACGTCCTCGCGCCGCGAGGGCCGAGCAGCGACTACCGTGGCGCCGCGCTCCGCTCCCCACTACCCCTCCTCTCGCGCAGGCAGCGGAGCGAGAAGAACAGAGAGCACGGAAAGTGAGGCGGATATACTTTTCTCCAGGAGGAAAGAAATAATTAAATTAATTTCTATGGTATCGAAATTCAAGAAACGTTAAGAAAACAAAACCGACACACAACCGAACGCAATGCTTTGTTATATTTCCTCCCTTTTCCATATTGCACTTAAGAAAATAGTCATACGAATTAAAGAGGGAATCGAACAAATTTAAATCCCCCACATAACTGAAAAATCATAAGAATTCTAAGAAATAATTAGATAAATGGATGAATACGAAAAAGTTGAAAAATAGGAGATGCTTAGGATTTGAACAGTTTTCACTAATTGTTAGGACTGGAATGACCAGTGGTCACTATCAATTCTTATACGATTATTGACGAATAAATATTAATTTATTTTTTATTCGTTATCCGAATTTTTGTATCTAGATAACAATTTTGTTTATCTAAGTTAGATAGTTGCTTGGCTCGGCAAAAATCTTTTACCCCATAATACAGCATTAGCAAATTATTAATATTAAAATAGTAATTGTAGGTTGTCATAGTTTCTGCCTTAAAAATTATCACATTGATCCGGTATAAATTATAAAAACCTATTAACCATACAACACCGCTTATATTACATTTTTATTTTAAAAACTGTTATTTAAAAAACAAAGAAACAGAAAGGTTTATGCAATCATGTACACTCAAGTTTAAGAAAATACATTCCTTCGTTAATAATAATCTATTCACTTTGGACAACTGTGCAAAGTGAACTACTAAGAATCTAATAAAGAAAATTTGAATCTACTAAAAGAAAACTAAATATTTTCTGTTTTCTATAAAGCACTGTATAGATTGATTAATATTATAAACGTACATTAAACTTACATGCACACGATACATACTTTAATCGTGAAATCCTAAATATGTATATTACACACACAAAAAGAAAAGATGTTACCTTCCTCCGGCGTAGATTATACACGATTACCCAAACCATTATTACGAAAGAGTTTATCATAACCGAGTAATCTCGACTTTAGTTTCGTTAAAAAATTTGTATAGTTTTAAAGTTAATTCCTATCAATCTAAATTTCCACTTCTATTAGCAGTAATAAAATCTAGTAATATACAATGTAAGTGGCATTATACATTATACATTATTGTTTACGTTTATTTTTACACGTTTAATATAAAAGTTTGACGATTAATATTTACAAGTTCGTATGATTCTAAGTCTTTGTCAATATGAATTTATGGAACATTCCAGAATGAAAATATGCAAGTAAATTAGCATTAAATTATTTGCAATAGATTATTCCCATTAATTCGACATTTCGTTATCGATTCTAGTCTCGATATCGTCCTGGAAATAAAAACGCATAACTGGCATTCCTCGAACCACATAGGAACTCAATTACACTTCCTAATATAACTGTTAAAATATAATACGATCAGTCTGTACTTTCTCATTATCTGTAAAAGTATCAAGAACAAAGTACTATCACTTAAACTTTTGTTATCCTACAAATTAAATAAATACCTAGATCACTGAAGGTAAACCGCCGCGCGATACGCGGGGTATTGCATTCATTGTTATCGTATCGTTTGGGACATATGTAACGGAGTTAGCATTAGTTCGAACGCAGCGTTTTTCAAATTTGCGCCGCGCAAATTCGCATATTGTAAATCAGACCCCGATAAGTCACAGCACTGAAACAGATGCAAATGCGTTGTCCTGTTCATTAACCCTCGGACGACGAATCGTCTTAGTGACAGAACGGCGGACTCTGAGTCTAATTTTACTCAAATCTGAATCTTTTATTATTATTTAATTTTATGAGTTTGTGGCGTCGCCTCCCATGCTCGCCGCCAGAGGGGTCGCGTTCTCACAAGCGCTCGACCGACCCCTAGGTTGCTATATATACGCTATACACCCCCTCTGGTGGCAAGCATGGGAGGCGACGCCCCAAGTTCATGCACTACTGTTACCGTTATTCGGTAAGAACTGAAACATTACGATTCTAAGAAAAGGAAATTCTAAAGAAAAGGTATTTTCCAATGTGAATAAATGTGCAACAAATATTACCTCTAAATCAGCACCAGCTAGCATAGCTCGTCTCAGATCACAATTTTTCAAGATAGCATTTTTTAACGATGCCACTCTGAGATTTACAGAAGCCATGGAACTACCCTCGAGATTGGCGCCTTTTAGATTTACACCCTCCATGTTAGCGGATCGGCCACGAGGATCTTCAAAATTACACGAATGAAGATTGGCGGCGCTAAGATTTGCCCGTAACATTTTCACGCAAACGAGCTGCGCGCCCTGCAGATTCGCGTTAGATAAATCTGCACGTTCGAAACAACAGCCGGATAAATTTGCACCCACCAAACTGCAGCCGCGCATAATTGCATACTGAAAAATATTACAATAATAGTAGTTTAAAATTATAAACAATCAATTGTGATGATTGTAAAGAGGGCACGAATCGAAACAGAAACGTTTAAATAAATCGTCTTTTCCCCTAATTTATTTATTTAATATAACTACCTTAATATCAAAATAATTTGAATCACCTTGAAATTAATATGCCCGAGATCTAGCTTTGATAAATCAGCACCAGCAAAATCGACACCTTGAAATCTAAGTTCGGACGTCATAGGTGTTGACATGATTGCTTTAAGTACATCCTTTCTAGTTAAAGACACTGAACCATTTTTCTGAGGATCCTCCGTTTCGATCATTGTAGTCAATATATCGATAGCACCTTCTATTCTATAAAAACGCGCTTCTTCCAAAACCCCTGAAATGCATTAATAATGTTAATTATTAGTAACGCTGTTAATTAAATTAATTTAAACATATACGAAGCGAGTATATCAATGGTATATGATTAATGAGTTTGAAAGAGAGAATTATGATAAAAACAATACCTGCTGCATTAACATTAGCATCAAGTATGATTTGCCCGTGTCTTAAATAATTTAACAGTGGTTCAAAATATGTAGGACTCCTATCTATCAGATATGCACCATTTTGATCTTGTCTGCTGGGTAAGATTCTTTGTTCGCTGCCTGTAGTTTCAGTAAACATTCTATAAATGATTTTATTGCATAAGATTATACACGCGTGCTTAACTACTTCTATATTCACCAACCGGTCGAACAATATATTTGCTTACCTTGCAAGCATGCTCGTTGGTTCCTCTTTTGTTAAAGTATCTCTAGTTGTTGTGAAATACTTTCCACCGACATTCAGCGTAATCCAGTTCGAATTTCTACTCAACTGACTTGGAATACCAATCTTATCTTTTGGAATATAATCTTCTCCGCTTGAAACATACAAGACATCGTCATCCCTGTGAAGAATTTATTTTTGTTCAAAAATAATCAGACTACTGGTAGAATTAATATGTATTCGTTATCTCGGATCAACATAACCAAAAATAATCATCTAAATATTTATTAATCATCGGTAAATCAGTTAATTTACCGGATTAACTTAATATCATCAATTTCTCCACCTTGAGGAGTAAATATTCTTTTGGCAGTTATGTCAAACTTTGAGCTGGCAGCTGTTAATAATTCATCCAATGAATGAGTCACCATAAACACCTGGCATGGACAAATAATATACAAATAAAATTTCCTTCTTATCCATGGATCTTTGTAAATATATCATCCAGCATATACAAATTAATATGTACAACGCGTTATAAATCCCCTACAATGTATCAATATTATAAATAATTACATATAGGTACATTTTGTACATGCTGTTCAAGATATAACATTGCAAAATTTACGTATGCCGTACAAACTTTTAAAGAATTATTATCAAAAAAAATCCAGTGAATATGTAAAAGAGGCCACAAGATACAATTAATTACAAATACGAATAAAATTCCAGCCACCTTGCCGTTTACATCGCTTCCATTTAAAAAAAGGATTACTCTCTTCATATCTAAATAGCAATAAAAATCTGTACAATACAATAAAATAGAGCTAGTGAAAAATACTAGATAGAGTGACAGCAATATGAACAAGCTCCGTTCGACAGTGGACAAGTTGCAATATTAAATATGCTTTACCCGAATCCGGAATACGGGTTTCTCAAAATATTCGACTACAGTCATTGATCTCTGTATATAGAAAATATATATGAACGAGCAACTACTACACGAATCGTATATCTTTCTTGTGGAACGCCTTAAGATTTAATTCTCAACGTAATTGTTGTTATTTGTGAATAAAAAATATTCTAGCTCTTAATAAGGTCTACACGCAAATCAAAATAGTTCAATTTACTTTCTATCGATATATAATATAAAGATGAGTATTCTTAAAAATTTACTTTTACAGTTTTCAATAAACTTCAAAAAAATATTCTAGCTGTTACGTTTTGGATATTGGTAAGCGTGTTAATAGCGAGGCAATTTGATTTCAAATGATAAAAAGTAATGAGATTTCATGACTTGTTTCTTCGTTATGAATGTTATGAATAATCGTTATCAAATTCTTCTGATTTTTGATCAAATATAAAGGAAACATTAATTCGTTAATACGAGGGAATAGCAAATTTATAACAGATTCCTCTAGTGATTTTTATGTCTTGCTTACTTCACACAACACAAAACGATCTACTGATTTGAACATCTATTCCGTATTTTGATAGTTCTGGTGTAAATAAAAAAGCAGAAGGATTGGTATCACTGATTATTATTCATTTACCTACACAGATACAGCATTTAACCTAGACACAAAGCCAGAAGAGTATGGCCGCGTAATGTTTCACGGGATAAGTTCGGTAATGAAAATGAGTAATTGTTTAGCTTTCACGTGAATTATAATTGTTTTAAATAGCTTAGTTAGCATGGAGTTGGGCTTATCTAACACGTTATTGGCGGGTGATCCACGATTAATCGATCACATCGTTGGAGAAGTTAAGTCTCAAGGAATCTTTGATCAATTTCGTAAAGAATGTATCGCTGATGTTGATACAAAGGTACGCAGTATATTGTTCAACGACCGATTCGTTCTTTGTTAAAAACATGAATAATTGTAAATGTATTTGCGTGACCATCTAAAATAATATTTCTAAACCATGTACATATGTAGTATAAAATTATAGATACGTATGTACGTAGTACAGAATGTATTTCTATTTCTGTACCAGTATCTAGTATCTTGAATGAAAATTATGCGCGCATCGATAAATATTATTCTTCTATTATTATTTATAGGAACACGTTAATTACAATTTATGCCACTTTCATTACAGCCGGCATATCAAAATTTACGTACAAGAGTTGAAGGGTCTGTGAATTCTTTCCTTAGCAAACAATCATGGAAACCAGACTTGAACAAGAATCAGCTGAGAGAGACTTTACGCAAACATGTACACGAGGCACCTTATTTAGATGCCGGTGTAGAGCGTATAGTAGATCAAGTAGTAAATCCAAAAGTATATTCTGTTTTCATGCCTCAGATCGAGGACGTGGTATACAAATTTCTAGGCATAGAACGACCTAAGGCAAGAGAAAGAAACGGTGCGTGTGGCCTTAAAGATTTATTACCCAAGGATTTAGATCCAGTTTCACCGGAATCTGATAAAAATAGTTTGAAAGATGTGTCTTTAGAGTCTATGGATGCAATGGACGATTTGGTGTTAAAAAAAGATGAAAAGTCATTTTATGAACAGAAATTGGAAGAGGACGAGTCTTTAAATGAGAGAAACAAAGGTAACACCTTGGAAGATGAACACGTTTCTTTTGAAGAAAAAGGATTAGACGAAAGTGGCAAATCTTTTAATAAGACTGGTAGTAATTTAAATTTAAATACATCTGGGAAATCGGATGATAAAACGGAAGAGGATGAAGAAGACAGTCCTACGTTTGAACCAATAGACATTATGAATTTGAACGAATCTAATGATTCGCACTTATCGGGAATATCAGAATTAACCAGTCACAGATCTAGAAGTCCTGACTTTTGTAACGAACTGTCGAGAGACAATTTTGATTATAGTAATCAAGATTCGCAGCTAAGCAAAGTCTCATCCGACTCTCGATTGTCGATCGTAACGGACTTTGGATCTTCGAATCATGCATCAACACCAATACATGATACCCTGAAAGACGAAGTTAATAAAGACAAATGTGATGTTAAAAGCATTAAAGACAATTTTAAAGTTGTCAGAGAATATGATTGTAGTAAAAATAAAAGTAAAAATATTTTTGAATTAAATAGAGGTAAAGATGTACAAGATGTTAAAGATTCTAAAAATATTAAGTACAATTTATCCTCCAAAGAAAATTCTCGTGATGCGACAGATAGTAATATAAGAGATAAGTATGAGTGTAAAAATAATAGAGATAGGAGCAGAGACAGTGAATCTAAATCAAAATCAAGAGAAAAAAATCATGCAAAAGATGGAAAGCATCATAGGGACAGAAGTAGCGACAAAAAGAAGCAAAAGAGCCACAGTAGTACAAAGTCTGATAAGTATGATAAAGGTAAATCTAAAGAAAAAACTGATCAACTAAAAGAAAGTGTGGATAAAAGTAAAGACTTGGAAAAAGATAGTTATAGTAAGGTGAAGGAAGATAAAACAAAAGAAACCGACAAGAAGGATAGTATCAGTAAAGAAGGGAAAGATTTAAAAGATCTCTACAAAGAAAAAATTAGAGAACTTAGGGAAAAGAAAGAATTAACAGAAAAAGAAAAATTAAATAAAGACAACAAAGAGACAAAGCCAAACAAGGAAAACAGAGATAAAAAAGATTCCCCTAAAGATAAGAAATCTTATAAAAAGGATCATAAAAGTTCTTCCAAAAACACTTCGTTAAGCTCGCATGAAATTAAAACTATTAAAACATCTGATAAAGTTGATGGGAAAGAGAAACGAAGTGAATCAAAAGATAAGAGTAAACGAGATGAAAAACGTAGTTCAAAAGATTCAAAGTCGAGAAATCACGTAAGTATTAAAGCAGATTCAATGGAAAAGTCAGATAAACAAGATACAAAGAAAATTGTTAAAAATGAAAGGGAAGAGAAAACTGAAAAATCCGAAATGAAGAAAGATGTTAAATCAAGCAGCGAAAAAGTGAATGGCAAAAAAGATATAAAGAGTCACATACAAAATAAAAGCTCAACGCGAAATGAAAAATTAGATAATAAAAAGGATTCTAAAAATGACCTATTAAATAAGGACAAGAAACGTAAAGAAGAAAAAAAATCCAAGTCGAAAGATGATCATTCTAGTTTAAGAAAAAATTCTAACGATCGACGTTCGACAGACAGGGATGGCTCAAACGGGTCAAATAGTAAAAGTTCACAATCTAGTACTTCTAATTCCAACATTGCGAATAGTAAATCGGGCGCATCAACTTTGTCCAAAGAAACAAATCATATGAGTAATTCTGGTAGTGAAACATCAGACAATATAGAAGAAATGCATACAAGTGAATTGAAATTGTCACTGGAAGAATCGGATAAATTACACATAGAGTACAAAACGAACGATAGCAGTAATTATGAAACGCATACATATACTAAACACGAATCAGAATCTAACGACAGCAATTTACCGCTGAAGAAACGACAATTACTTGGTGAGAATAACAGCACCTTAGGAGAAGTGAAAGTGAAGAAACCAAAATTTGCAAAGAATATACACGAAGCCAAGAAATTAATGAAAATAAGGAAGCAGATAGAAAAACAAAAGCTGAAAGATAATAAGAAAATAGAGAAAAAACTTCAACAGAAAGTAGAACATTCGGTGCAATCGAACGTTAACAACGATAACTTTGAAAGTGTGCCGGACGAAGAACGAGTCCAAATAATAGAAATACCGGATGAAGAATACGAAGAACCGTATCCCGAGAACCACACCAATTTGACATTAGAAGAAAGATCAATAATGATGTTACAAAGCGAGGCAGGTGCAAAAGAATTATTGGAAACACGTTCTAACTTAAAATTAAAATTAACAGACATGGAATTGTGTATACAGCAATCATTGAGCAAAAATGTACAGACAATGCTCTCTAACAATGAAGGAAAAGGAGATTTACAAAATAAAGAGTCGCTGTTCTCTACAATAGGAGAAACAATAGGAAGCAATATAACAAAGCCAGAAAACATAGATGACTGTGTAGAAAACTGTTCTAAGAAAAAGGAATTGCTGCCTGGAGCTAGTACATCTAAACTAGAAAAACATGTAACATGTCGAAAATCGAACTATTTTGACAGTTGTACCAATGAAAATAAAAATTATAAAACACCTGGACAGTTAAACGCATCAAACGGTACAGTGGGTGATGTAAATTGTTTAAAAGATAGAAAATTTATGGAAATGCCTACAATGTCAAAATCTAAAGACAAAAACATTTCTCAGGACATTCAAAATAATAGCCATTCTAAAGTAAGCAGAGCCATAGGTACAGAATCTACATCAATGGTATCAGAAGAAAATGAAGATTGTCGTTATTTCAAAGCAGATAATGAACAATCAGAAAAGTTCTCTAATTTCTTAGAATCACTAGAACTAGTAGAAAATAGTTCTTTGGAAGATATAATAGAAAGTTTAGGAGGACAAGTTGTATCTTCTATACCAAAAGCTATGGCGCCTCCTTTACCAAAACGCAAACACTCAACTAGCCCATTGACAGATATATTATTAAATAACTCAAACAATAACAACGATGGCCATAAAAGAGCACTGAATTTACCTAGCGAAGATGCTTTGAATAATATAAAGAAAATGAAACTTGTGGCACCTAAGAAGCAAAGAGTTCAAGCAGCAAATATTTGCACTCCTCAAGGACTTTTAAATGGAGAGAATTTTGTTATGCCTCTAAGTCCAGAAAGTGATGTATCTGCAACAAGCGAAAAAATACCATCGTCAAATCTAATTAAAGAAGATAAAGGGTATGTAAACTAATTAGTAGAATGTTTTATATTACATTTTGGAACAGTTTTGGACAGAATTAGTGGTTGTATATAAAGAAAGAAATTATTTCCTTAAACGGAATCAACAGATATCGGATATCGTCGTAAGTTTAATTTTGTAATATAAGAAAATTTAGGTTAAGTTTTAAAGCAGCATTTTTACTACACCTTGCTTCTTACACATTTTTCATATTTTTACAATTATATGCAATTATGACGTAAAATAAAATAAATCGAAGTATTAAAATTTTATACTTCAAAAGACTAAAATAACATAAAAAAATGCAATGATGTCCATATTAAACCGTTTCGGAACAGGTATTGTCGTTCAAGGTTACCACTTCGAACATTCAAATTAAAATTTTTAATGTAAAAATATAACTGAACTGTTACGTTTATTTTTCGAAGCAAAATATTTTTTCTTGTAATTGTTCTCTAATAACTGAGCAACCTTAAACTCTATTAGAAGATAAATAAAATAATACATTGAAATGTCCTTGGCGCTACTATCTGGAACCAAAATTACGTCATCATTGTTCCTCATGAAATTAAACAACTTCTACCTCAAACATACTTTTTTTTATCTACAAAATTAACAAAATAACATATCTTAAATACTCCGTTCTATTTAACATTAGGTTTAAAATAATATTCGACGTATTCGAATTTCGGGAGGTTCAATTCTGTTTAAAGAAATAATTTTCTTTACATGCAACTTATTTTCCTAAAGTGAACTTATATAACAATCTAGTACTTTTCTTTCTCTTTATATATGCTGCAACAATTATTATGCTAAAGACCAAAAACTATCGTAACGTTCGAATTCTTTACAACTCTACTATATGAAGCAAACAAATAACAAAATAACAATAAGTTTTATTTTTATTGTTATACATATATAACAAATTAAGACTGTTAAATTCATGATATTTCTCTATAAAGAGAATTATAGTACATACAGTACTACATACCTTTTGTGATAGTAGAATACCTTATTTGAGATATAAATTTGTTGTTGTTAATGTTGTAATTAGTCTGTTATGTTATTGCAGCCGTCATAGAAGCAGTCAGCGTTATTCAAGCGATGACTTATACAAACCACGTCCATTATTTTCAAGTTCTTCTCGCAGAAGTAGGAGATCTAACCAAGCATAGCTAGTAGCATGTAGTTTGAGATGTTAAATTATGTTTTACTTTATGTAATATAAAAGGAAGTTCTAGTTGTTGGTTCTAGTAATATACTCTACACTATATTTGAATCAAATATTTTTGAACTCAATTAATACAAATAATGGTGTGACCAAGTGATGTCTGTAGATTATTATATACATTATAGTATCTATACAATTTATTCTATATGTAAGAAATTTAAATGAATATCTTTAAAGATTTTTTAAATATGTGTTACATTAGAAATATTTGAAAGATTTTTATGAATTGATATTCTTTAAATTTATTAAAAATTTTAAAAAGGAAATTGGCATAACATATTGAATTAGAAAAAATGCAAAATATTTTATGAAATCATTTATTCAGAAATAATATGAGTTTAGTAACAACTATTTATCTAGAAATATTAAATCCGATGCAGTATTAACATAAATACGCACTTAAGAAATATTTTTAAATAAATAGACTTTTTTTTTTATGGCACTTACTTTAGAAGTACTATACTTTGAAATTCCATGGAAATATGAACAATTATAGAATATGTACACATATTGAATTAAATCGTATAATTACTAACTTTCATCAAAATGCACTGTAAAATCTTATTTTTTAAAGAAAGCACATATATCAATTTCTGTGCATAATGTATATTTTATTTATATTTCGGGCTGTATTCTGATACTATACGTTTACGTAGATCTTATTTATAACAAGAAATTAAAGGTAATTCATATTTTTTCATATTATTCATACTAAAGTTTTTATGTAAAGCTCAATCTACCATAAATAACACATGGATCTGCAATTAACATTGTGCAATTTTTATTAATGTACACTTACACTATACATTGAAAAAATACAGAATATATTTATAGGATTACACATTATTTGTACTTTAAAGTAAGTTTTATATGTGATTGCAGAAATTGTATACTTCTATTGTATAATTTTTCTTTAAAGTGTTATTTCTCACAGTTGATGAATTGATAAAGAGTGTGTCTGAGAATACAAGCCTGATAAAAGATAAAAATGCGAGAAATCATTATAATGTTTAAACAATGACTTGCATTTAGATGATGTACGAATGTATTCCTAAAAATAGGAACAATATTATTTACATTTCTTAATCTATTCTGCTGGCAAGTTTTTTATAATTAAGTTTAACAAGGGGGAATAGAAATTAATAGCAATTATTCTGTGATGTTAAAATAAAATAAAGCAATAGGTTCCATGGTTCTTTTAAAAATAATGAAACAACAGCAACGAGTAAATTATAATGCAAAAAGGTCATTCATTTTTGCCACATTAGTAATTGCACATTGCATCGCTTTCCATTCTCCATACTTGAACTTGTAATATTAAATTTTTACAAAGATGTTAAATTTATTAATAAGCGTGTTCTCAATTCTGTACATGAAGAAATTTGTATAAATGTGTATATAAAACCGGGAGTACATTACAATTTATTATTGTGGAGATATTGTAGAATATTTTTTCCAACTTTTTAAAATATTTATTGCCATATGTAATATAGTAGCCAAAAATTTATAAAACTATTACTACTATGATTGCTTTAAAATAAAGCGATTTTTGTATACATGTTAAACGGTCCATAAGTATTAAAACCTTCCTCTATCTTTAACAATGAAATAGGAGATCATGTTGTATTTTTAAAAGTTTTATTTAAGAATTTTCTTCGGTAGAAGTCGTTTCATGTGTGTGAAAAAAGCTTCCATTTTAGTTAGCAAACAATATAAGTGATACAGATAAAATGAAATCGCATACATACGCATTACGATACTGCACGATACGTGACCGCAAAAGAAAATGATTACACGAACATCATAAAATGCGGGAAACTGATAGTTAGATAATTCATGGAGCTATCTGTTTAAAGTTTCTATTATTTGACAAATCATTCTGTTTTCTTTTAAGTTGTATGTAACTATATCGTACGACCTTGCCATTTAACCGGGCTCTTCGTAAATCCATATGCAATGTGATCAAAGACCCTCGTGTATTATTCAAAAAGTTATGACATAAGTCGAACTTTTACCTATCAAATGTAAATTACTGCAACAATTTTGACCGATTTTACCACATTAGAATTATAACGTTCAAACACGTGTATACGATACTTCGTAATCGCGATTTTCTATAAATAGAATGACAAATTGTGAACAATTTACCATGCTCTACGTAATATTATCTTTTACGTGTTTATACAACACATGCATTGTCTGGAGTGTTGTTAAATTGAAAACAATTGTAAAGGAACGCGTCCTAATAGATGCATGGACGTGTGTAAATATTAAATAAAATCTTCAATTCCATTGATCGTTTGTCCTAGCAACGAAACCCACTTCATTATACATTTATTTTACATTTTCTAGTGCTAAATAAAACGAAATCGGTTTTTAAAAATATTAATACAAAAGCATTGGTAGCAATACTTTTTAACAAATATCTCGAAAACTATAGCCGATCGCAAATTTTTGAAAAGGAAAAACTTTTTCAAAATATCCTTTATAACATATTTCAAAATTAACAAAATCTATGAAGAAGGGTATCGTCAACATCTTCATTAAAATTTGGAAAGTAAACTATAAACTAAAGTTGAATATTTGTTGAAGTACCAAATCTGAAAAAATAAGTTAAAAGACTTGGAAATATTTTATTTTGAATCACAAAATATTTAAAATATTATAAATGAATTATGCATATAATTTTGAAGAATGTATAACTGAAAGGTAATTTTGCATTTTGTAATGTACACGTGGAACCTAGTATTTCAAAACACAATAAAATGAAATTTAAATTTCAAATTATATGTATACTGTGAAATGCAAAACTTATTCCTAAAACTGATAATCAACAGAATATTTCAATTTCAAATTTCACCTATCTCCATAGTTTATTTTAATTTTATTTATCCTATCGCAAAGTATTTCAAATATTTCTCGATTGAACATTCGGTTCAATTTAGTTGGCAAGTATTCAAAATTGCTATAACACTTACAGGATTTAATTCAGATTTGAATTGTTGAAAAATAACCTTCTATGCTTCAATTTGTAATTTTGTCACGTTTAAAAAACAACAGAGCAACTCGTTGAATTATAATTACATACATATATTGAAATACAATACTAGAACCTCGCAAAAGAAAATCTGCAAATGGCATACTGCAAATAAAGAACAGAAATGAACCCATCCATGAAACTATGTATACGATACATAGTGATGCAGTTTCAGTTAATCGAAATCTAATTGATAAAAGTAATTCCTTAAACTTGTATTGTTTGTAATTTTCTTCACACAATGATTAAAATTTATTTTTTACTTGATTAATATGATATTAGTATTGATATGTTTTTCAAGAGTATCACTACCAATCAGATATACCAGATTTGTGCTGTGTGTAAACTGATATGATAAAATGACACTTTATTAGCTGATATTAATAGTATCGATAAGGTAGCGGACTCATCACTCATAGTACGTCATCATGCACCTGAATGTAGATGTATACACGTCTTATACACTAATAATCAGCTATACAGAGAGTTTCAAGACGATGGGACGAACTAAAACGTGCATATTCCTCGTGCAAAGAAAAATCGAAAAGTTCTTTATCATTTTTCAATCTAAAGCTCCGTTTTTTTAGATATAAATGTTTGAAATTTTTGCATGTGAGACTATCATGAAAACGAGTTTTTCGTGTCGAATTTGCGTATGTAGCGTTGTGTAATCATATAACCGGGGAACATAGTTACCGCGAACTACTTATTATCTACTCATATCTTGAAAATAAAGCCTCAAATTGCATAACGATAATGTAGGTTATCTTTAGAACGATCGTCACAGTTAAGCGGCAAGCAGTGTGTAGCATTTTCGATTGTTTATGATTCGGAGATAAGAGGTCCGTGCATCGAAGATGGTTGGTTGAGAGGTACCGAACAGCGAACCTTCCCGAGCGAAAAAAGCAGACAGCCGAATTAAAGACTTTTGCGAAGGAAAGTCTTTTGAATAATCCGTCACATTTATTTCCCCACTTTGTGTCTACTATAATAAAGAACTTTTCCATTTGTTTTCGCACGAAGAATTTGTGTGCGCTGCTCGTTTCACCATTTTGAAACACCTTATACACGAAGCACAAGCTGCGTAACATATTGCACGCACGAACCACGTGGCGAATACGACGCATGCGCGGCACGTGCGCGTATACCCAACCTCGCCGCATCAACTTGTGACGATTCGTAGTCGTATCGCAAAGAATGTCGATATGCATCGGGTTCTGTAACTATTCCAGTAAACAGTCAAACGTAAATGCTGTGCACCTCTGCATTTTGTAGCGTACTAACCGTGTAGTCAGGTACAATAGAAATTTCTTCTCGCTGCGAGTACGTGAAGGGGATTATACATTGTAAATTTGCTTATTGGGGGTAGCAGCCTTTTCAATTCCAATACGGTCTCATTAAGATACGATCAACGTGTACGATTACGTCTCTTCGTTTCGAACGAATAAACATTTCTGCCGATTCTGTTTGAATGGAACAACGTTTCAAGAAATGTAAAGTAAATGCTGTTACATTGACAGTAATTCGGCATCGGTACAACCGAAAACGTTTATTGCACATTGTTCGCTCCGATAGAGTGCATAACGAGTGCGCAGTACTTTATAAAGTCGTCGGCTGGAGTTCGTGTTAAACGCTTCTCGAAAAACATGAATACGGATGTATATGAGAGTTTGCCCACGTCTTCCGTGTACGTACATATGATAGCAGGTGCATTCGCCGGAATTATGGAACATTGCGTGATGTACCCGCTTGACAGTGTCAAGGTAATGACTTTATTTCTGCGTATTTTTTACAAGATACTTTACATAACCTCAACCATTCGTATCACGATATTCGATCCTGATACATTATAAGGAATTCAATGACATTTAATACCATGACATTGCAAGTTGCATGATCTTTGAATAATGGTAAACGCGAAGTTTCAACTCAAGATAACTGTCGGGATTTTCATACTTTCCTCGTGAAAACCCAAGAATCATGTGTCGCGCGTGTCGTCATCATAATTTTAAGTAAATAATGAACGTTTTATATTTTCATGATACATATGATAATCATTGTTAGATACTAATGTTACAACAATTTCGTTATTCTACAATTGTTTCGTGTTTTATAGCATCACTGCAAGAAAGATTGTGCAACCAACTCAGGCATTATTATTTCGTAATTATTTCCAGGTACTGCTAGGTTGTTGTACTCAAAAACGAATCAACTTAGTCATCATGTGATTTAGCAATTATGTTCTATTATAGTATGGTTACTGTACATTCAACAATTACTTAATAACATGATAAATACAGTTGTTTATATAAGTTAATAGTAGTATCTACATTATGTGAACAGACAATTAGAAAGGAAACAGATTTTATGTAATAAAAATAAATATAATATCTGATGTACTACCCACTTAATTATTTTCAATTAAGCATTTTTCATTGTTTCATTGTACTATTTTATTATGACAGTGAAAGTAAAGATTATTTTATGATATTGACATTTTAATAATTTTAAAGAAAACTGTTTATATGATAGTATTAATTCATGTGAAATTTTCATGCAGAACATCGGTTTCAAACATTTATTATGTAACAAGTTTCTTTGGTCTGTTGCAATAGGTTCTATTTTTGGTTTTCTTTCAACCTGCAACCTATATCATTGCTTACTGTCTCATTCAACTCTCAAAAAATATATTTTTACCAAATTATGATTACTATATGGTAATTCATCATCATACAAACAATGTATTACATAATTATAATTTCAAAGTTCAATGACTTATACATGTATACAATTTGCAATGCATTATTATATGTCATTGTTTTCAGTATTATAAGGTAATTTAAGATTTGTTTACATATTCTTAAATTACTTCTTTCTCTAATTTATCTTTTGTCTTTGAAAAATATTAGCCATTACCTATTACAAGTTATATTATTTTGATATTTCAGTATTTTTCTGTCATTGTCAAGTACTCGATAAAACTATATGATATCAGATTGATAAAAGAAATGTACTTTTTTCTTTTTTGCAGTAGTATACATTTTAAGTTGCGTATTTATTCTTTTTTATAAGTTTAACTGTATTTATCTACAAAGTATGCGATTAATTAGTTTTATCCGATAAGGAAATTATTTGTGCAATTTATTTACATATATGTCATTCTTTTGTCTATATTTAGACAAGAATGCAATCATTGACTCCAGGTCCCGGTGGTGGAGGGGGAGCACTAAAAGTCTTGATTAGAATGGTACAACAAGAAGGTATTCGGAGACCTGTTCGTGGTATGAGTGTAATGGTTGTAGGAGCTGGCCCTGCACATGCATTATATTTTTCATGTTACGAATTCATTAAAAATAAATTATCAAGCTCAAGAGCACCTAATGAAATTAATTTGACTATTTATGGAACTGCTGGTGCATTGGCAACAGTTCTTCACGATGGTGTGATGAATCCAGCCGAAGGTGAATTTCTCTTAAATTTATTCGCAAAATACAACATAGTTAATAGATTATATAATATAATTCTTTTCTAATTTAATTGTTATATCATTAAGTCATAATTTTCTGAATATTATTGAATGAAGGATTAAATTATCTTATTCCAGTGGTTAAACAGCGATTACAAATGTATAATTCTCCTTATCGAAACATAGCGACCTGTATAAAGAGTATATATAAAAGCGAAGGTGTATTTGCATTCTATAGGAGTTACACGACTCAGCTAGTCATGAACATACCTTTTCAAGTGATTCACTTTATGACTTATGAAGCTTCACAAGCCATCACAAATCCAGAACACACTTATAATCCCACGGCACACATGTTATCTGGTACGTATCATGTTTAAAAAAAACATTGTAATTTAAAACTATATAAATTCGTTTATGTATGTTGCAGGTGGATTTGCAGGAGCTGTTGCTGCTGCGATCACAACACCTTTAGATGTTTGTAAAACGCTACTAAATACGCAGAATGGTATACACGCTCAAGGTATGGTTGATGCTTTTAAGAAAGTTTATCTATTCGGCGGGGTACGTGGTTACTTCCGTGGTATACAGGCTCGTGTTATTTACCAAACTCCAGCAACCATTTTTTGTTGGTCAACGTAAGTAAATCACATACAATTTATATATTAATAACACTGCCCGACACGAATTTTATTTTATAATATTTATCCCTGTGACGCCTCGAGTTTCTTAGCCAGAACAGAAGTCTAGAAGCAGGAATGCTCTATTAAAAGTTCTCGGAATATACAATATCAGTATACAGATTCATTCAATTTGTTTTGTATGGCTGTAAATGACCATCAAAGTTTTAAAAAGACATCATGTTTTACCGCCGTGCTACTATCGCTTGTCTGCCTAGACTCGTCAGTCTCGTTAGCTATGTATAATCGACACCGATAGTATCGTTCAGTACTTCTGAAAAACAGTTTTAGATAGACGAATAGTATAATTTTGCGAGGTTTAGTGAATACAGAGGAGTGAAACTAAAAGTGACGTAAAAAGTACTTTGTAACCCTGTGATTAGCATTTAAGGAAACATATTTATAGAAAGTAAGTGCTTATTAGACCAGTATCTACTATCGGTCACCGACGGGGTCAAGGCAGGAGAACGATGGTCGCATTGCAGAAAAACATCGTGTATATGTTGCAGATTTACATTTTCCCGACCTATCTGTAACAAAAACCATTACAACACTTTCTCTGCATGATCAAATTTATTCTAATGGCCATTTATTTACAAATATTTAACTAGTAATTGCCAAGTATAACATTCCCCGGTTAAAACATCAAGACAATGGATAATGTAAAATATTAAATATGATGGTTATGCATGAAATTAAAATATATTTGTTAACATTGTCGAAAGTATTGTGTAATAACTTGTGTACGCAATATTAGACAAATATTTTTTTTTTTTAACATTTTCTAGATACGAATTTTTCAAATACATGCTACGTACGAAACAAGACGATGTTAATTGTGGACCAGAAGCTGACAATGATTCAAGTGGTACAAATCAGAATCAGACTGGTTCGTCTAGGTCTAGTCGCTTTCAAGATGTGAGCGTATACCTTAATAAAAATTCCTCGACCTCGGTGTTACTTGACATGACTACAAGTTAGGTATATCTGAATTGTTTAGTTCATGCACTTTTGTATGAAGAATAAGTGTCTGTTTTTCGTATTTCGAGAGTTTATCGATGATGAGTGATATTTTGTTAATTCATCTGTTATTGTGGTATTATTACATGTGTACAATAATTCATAAAGAATTTGAAGTTAAAGTTAAAAAGAATATGATATTTTGTAAAACAATCAAATATTTTATTCAATTTGATACTATAAAATTTGTAAATTTCATTGAATATTCTACCGGGATAAAATATCTATTGATGTTGTATATCACTCTAAAAGAAACAGAAAAATTGAATTTAACAATTAGCAATATTTGAGAAAGAAATATTCGTTGGCACTTGTATTGCTACCAGTTATCCAACAAGTAGAAATGGCTAGATACTGCTACTGTCTATTGTACCACTCACATAAAGTAACATGAAAAATTCATTACGCAAAATTAAATTGAAATTCATTGTTTTGTGACTATAGCACATAACGACAACACTACGAAATTATTTGTAAATCATATTCAATTTATTTATGAAGTAATTATGTATTTTTGTTATAAAATAACTTATATATTAGCTTATTTGTATGGACTTATTTCTACATTCACAAATTATTTAATGTATAAAAGTATTGAAACGTAACAATAATTGTCCATTAGAGTGAGTCGTATTTAATTTCGAATCAAAGAAACACAGCAGATTCCGGTTAATTTGGATGTATACATTTCATGTAAATACTTTTAGAAAGATATGAGAAACCTAAACTAACATTTCACTAAATAACGAACTGTGTATTTAAACTAATTACTGAACAAATTGCAGTAAAATATTTATTACGTATTTTAATATCAACATTATTAATGCCCTGTTCAAGGATGCGTCTGTGTATCCTTAAACTTGTCCTATCTAATCCTACTGAAACGAATTAGAGGAAAGTATGTGTATAAAATTATTAGTTTTAATTAATCATTGACGAAGGAATTATTTAGTGTGCGCTCCTGTGTACTTTTAATTTACTATGAGTGAACAAAATCGACACAAATATTTAGTGGAGATAATAGACTACCTTCATTGCTTTCCCGCATGAAGTGTTGTAATATAATACTTGATTTTCTCGACGAGAGAAAATGTTAAAGATATATGCTTTTTAAGATATACGCTAAATAAACGGCTGTCTTGATTAATCGATCGCCCAAATAACCAGAATCTACTGTATACGGTTTTTGTACAAAAAGTAAACTTGAGGATATTTCACTTTAGTACAGCAAAGTTATATCGAACGAGAGTTGCAAGTGAAAAATTAATACGAGCATTGTTTAAAACATTAGGTTTGAGAAACTTGCTCCAACTTGAATAGTGAATTAGTTCGCATATATTCAACAAATTTAGAAGAAATGTAAGTTCATTAAAATGATATTGATTTTTAAGCGAAGATCTAGATAAGGTTCACGTAAAAAGAAATTTAAATTAATGAAAAGAAAAAAATTGTCTACTACAGTAACGGTCTAAACCAACTACCGACGGTGTAAAGTAATTATTTTGTAAAGCAATATAGATTATTGATTACATTATAATTTAAATTATATAAATTAAATTAGTTAATGTTACATGTGTATGTACAGTATAAAAGAACAGATTAGAAAGGAAATGACAATTGCTATTGTGCAATAAATACAATTCATCTTAATTACCCAAGTGCAAATTAAGAATTGCTTCTTAGTCAGTTTGTAATACGTATAAACAACATTGCATCTAAACCTTATGATGTACCACAATATTGCTTCCTATGGCTGTGATTACTGAGTCATTTGATGTTGACTTTAAGAGGAAGTAATATCATGTGAGAACTCATATTTCACGCCATATTTACATATTTATTATTACGGCACCGTAATACTACTCATCGTTGTTAATACGTTATTAATTGTTACTACAAAATACATCAGTGACACTTTTGCATGTAAAAAGTGTACTGCGATGGACACTTTTTTAGAAATATTTTTTGATAGACACGTCACGATAATATATATACTATTTTCTAGGAAAAAACCATTAAAATTATTTGTATTGCGAAAATTCGATCGTTCATCAAATTTAACAATTAGATTCATGTTAGTACGATATATCTGTACGTACGAAGTATGCGTATACGTATTCATTCACGTGTACCATATCAATGGCACTACGTGTTTAAGTAATTATATCAGATGTTTAATGAACGTAAATCTTGCGTTTACAGTAATTTTATTAAATTTTATTGCGCAAAATTTGCATGTATACTTTTTTTAAAGTGTTTAAATAAATACTCTCCGTGCTTGTAGTAAAAAGTACTACCAGCAGTCCATTTTTCTATTATCATTAGAATCTAAATCTAATTTCGAATGCTTCGAGGTCACAATAAATAGTCAATTTCCATGGATTATTTATCTGAAAATTATTAAACGCGCTATTCATGCAACATCTAAAATAAACTCTGATGGTAGAGGAGTATCGTCTGCTTCTTAAATTAACTAATTTCCTTTTAATTATTTTGTACATAAAATAATGCTACCACTGGTATTATTATGTAAGTTTATAATGATAGCACATGCAAAAATAATTGAGCATCATATAATAAGACGTATTATATGTAATAATAATGTAAATAAAATGATTCTTCAAAATATGATAACCATATAACAATACCTTCTCTTGTCTGTTACACTAACGGAAAAATTTACTAACGAATAACATGAAATAAACATTAAAGCGTCGCGTTACTTCGTAATCTCACTTCAGAGTAATGTATAATTAATTAATGCTAATGTACTAATATCTTCTTAAATGTAAATTTTCCAAGTCGCTGATATATTATTTAAATTCTTGTTATACTTTTAAAAAGATAGTCGAACACCACGCAAAGTTGAGTCATGTCTACCAGAGGAATTTGCGATACACGCTGCCAGGCGTTTCACGTGGGAATGATACAGAAAGAAGACTCTTTACGCATGAGATGGTTTTTGAAAAATCAACAGAAATTATTGGACCGTCTGAAAACAACGGGAACCGCGACGAAAATTGAAACGCCTACGCATGAACCAGCGAAACAATCGAGCGCAGATATTGTATGGAAACACGTGACGCATTGTAACGAACTATTTTTATTGCGTGTCAAAAATTAGACGACGCTTCCTGTTTTATAGATACGCATAAAGCCACTGCCAAATTGGAGACCGCTCGAGCCTGATGGTTCTATCAATATGAACATAATGAAACCGATCGAACCGCGAGTAAGGGCTCTCTTGTACGAGGATGCTCCAAGCTTCGTCACTGCTGAAAATTACATCAGTGAAAGGTCAAACATAACAAAAAGAAACAATAACAGTTTGTTTCATTTTCCTAGTATTATCTATTTATCTTTAAGAAATCGATATCTTATATTTTTTTATTGATTATCATAGATTAAAAGACATCCCAGAAGATCGTTACTACTTCCCCGATTGTACCAGTTGGGTATACGGATGGCGTCTATCAGATTATCCACCTGTTCCGCGAAGTAAGGTTGGACAAAGAAATGTTATGATAAACGAATTCTACCGTCCGAGATTCTCGAGTCTTCAGAGAGATCCAGAATGGCACCGTCCTTGCCAACATACTCCGTCAATATGCGACGATGATGTAAACTAATATCGAAATTAGAGTATGTATATTATTACAGTAAAAGGAATTTATAATAACGAGTTAATATTTCATTAACTGTATTTTTCTAGTACAACAAAAAGTTTTATACGAATATTTATTTTCTTCGGTGTATTGTGAAATGTATAATACATTGGTGCTTTCTTTATTTTTTATGTAGTAATTTATCTCTGTAAATAAAGCAAGCTATATTTTTGTCATACAGGGTGACCTAAAATATTTAGATATAATTAAAACAAATTGTTAAAAAAAAGTCAAAATGTGTTTTGTTGTTCTGCTATCTGAAACTTTGGTTCAAGATATGACCAAATAAAATTGCACAGCGCGGCTTCGGATGTGCATTTTTTAGATATATAGATATAGTTGACCACGCATACGTGCACCCAACTATATGCATATGTATTTTATTCACGACACGAGCCGAGAATAAGCAAAACCATATGTTTGCGAAAGAAGTTCATTGGCATACTGTGTCTCGAGCCAGGAGTGTATCGTGAATTCGATAGCAGAATTTCTCACATGATCTCTGATTGTTCACATTCTTAAATAATTCATTTGTGTTAAACTTTGCAACGTGAGGCTTCGGTATTGAGATATAAGTTATAAGCACAGTTAATATGCCTACAAATGCACGAACACGTGTGTTTTCCATGTGCACAGTATTGCGCAACCGCGCTATCAGTTGACTACAATATGAAAACCACGTGCTGGAATTCACATCAGTAACATGTAATTACTTATACCTAAATAAGGAAACTTCAAACTTGATTTATTTCTTTTCGTATGAGATATTGACTTTGAAAAAAGGTTTCACGTTTTTATTGACACCCTTCGCACATGCTCTATTCAACTCGAAGCATACATACTACGTGTAAACAAAACCTCGTGGAACGAGAAAATCTCATTGGCCACTCAACTTGGTGTATCGTAGGTCTGACGCATACTGGGTCGAAATATGAAATGATTCAATAAACGATTAAAAAACCAGTGGCAAAATTTCCCTTAAACAGTTGTTAAAACCTCTATAAAAAACTAAAATAGGACTGTGTATATACGTACCGTACTTCCGCGAGAAGAAGGCACAGCGTGTTTATATCCTCACTCCCGTGCAGTCCGCTGACTCGCAGGTATTGGTCGAAAACGGTGACGAAGTTTGGTGACAGCCAATCAGCGAACTGCAACAAGAGTGGGAATGTAAACAAGCTGTGCCTTCTTCTCGTGGAAGGACGATGCACAGAACTTTACAATCAAGTTCATAAATTTTTCTATTTACTACTTTTTTCTTTTTTATCCTTATCAGAAACAACCAATCCTTGTAATTCTAGTGGTAGCAAATATTCTGCTTGTCCCGGCACAGCATTAAACACGAAATTTATGAATTTCTGAAACTGCCTAGTAACATCACAAATTTGTTCTTCCAGTGATTTTTTCTCCACGTGACATTCAATAATCTCTTCCCTCATCGCGGTTATAACATTGTTCAATCGGGCAATCAATTCGTGCAATCCAGCAATTTGTTTCTGTTTAGGCATAAGTTTCTATAAAACGATAATCTCTTTGAATTAATACCTACGAACGAGATCAAAGGTCCCTCTACCTGAAAGTACTTGTGTATGGTATGCTTTTCTCTACAAAATCGTATTCGTTCCAAACAGAGAACATGTATTATATTTACGGTGTTTTGCATTCGAAGTTGGTTCTTCTGAGTGTACAATTCTCTGCCAACTTTCGTCTCGAATTCTTTTTTCTCCGCGTTTAATTTCACGTGCGTTTCCCTATATAATTTACGAGCAGTTAGGTAAATGCAAATGTTATCTACTAATATGCAACCATGAACCTCATAATTCCATTGAAATCAGCGATTATGTTTTCTCTTTGAGCACGAAAAGATTCCTCGAATTCTTGGTATAACGACTGTACAACGTAAGCGACTTCGGTCCGCATTTTTTCCATCATATCGCGAGTTACGTTGATTCGCTCTTGCACCACTGATTTTTGGATATTTTTTGTACATTCTGTAGCAGCATTCGCCCATTCGATCTAGAGTTTTTTCACGTGTAACTGTATGTACTGTACTTCGCTGACTTGAAGTCCCGCGGCAGGAATGCGAGAAAAGTAGAAGGGATACACCTATTCCCACGTACACATTGAACTCTGGTTCGCTATTCGTCGCGGCAGTTACACACACATGTGGGACTGTCTGAGAGCAAGGGAGCAAGATATATGGGCGGTCCCGCGGGACTTCGAGTCAGAGGACCACCAGTAGTTGTATTTGCTTGTTTTGTCTTAACTACATAAAATTAAACGAAGTAAACAAAAATTGGTACATCGAGTTGTTCCTGTAACTGATGTTGAACGGTTTTCATGTAATCTTTGTATTTTTCGTGTAACACCTGCGCCTTGATCTCAGCTTCTCTCCTTTTTTTCGCCTGATACATGTAAAATTTTACTTGCGATTGTTTTTCTATTTTTTCGCGCAACTCCTTTTGAACTTGTTTCTGGAAGCATTCTAGGAGTTCTCCACCTATTTCTAACAAATTCATTTAAAACTATAGTTATACAAAATACGTTTAATTCATTTGTAATTAGGGATGTGCGTGTAACCCGAAACGTTGATTCGATTGCGGAGAAATTGGCGGTTCGGCCGGTACCCGATACATCTCAAGCAACCAAACAGGTTTGAGGTTGTTCGAGACCGTTTGGCCCGAAATAATATAGAAATCCATTCGAATTCGCCGATTTCTAACGGTTCGAATTTGTATCCGCGCACCACTACTTGTTACATTACTCAATATATTTGTATGCGCGTTTGCTTTAATGACTTCATCGTCGGTTAACGGTGATACATCGTCCTGTAAATGATCATCAGCTGGAATTGTGAAACAGGATTTTAGCGTTGTTTGCGGCGTAATCAAGTCCAGAAGCTTTTTCGTGTCATCGTGACTATATTCGAAAAATATTTCTGCCAAAGACGGGCCTAGACAAACACGAACTTCCGACGAAGTTGGTAAATCATTGCTCGAACACAGTTTTACATTACACGTCGATGATTTTTTATCTGCAATAATTTTGTTTTACCTGTCTACTCAAAGATACAATACTGTTGTTATAACTTACTCATACTTTCTTCTATTTTATAATACATAAATTTATAGAAAAGAGATCAATTTTACAAGAGATTTAACCTTCCCAGATGCATATTTCTGACTGGTTGATCGAGCAAAGAAACAAACGAAGTATCGGACAATTTTTAATGTAATTTAGCATCATGGAATTTCGAAACTTACCATAAATTTATAATCAGGAAATATTTATTATAATTCAACGAATAACTACTGTTATTATTGGAATTATATAAAATAAAATGTTTAACTCGTATAGATAAGTAAGATAAAAAATAATTAGTATAGATTTGACCATTGTGTAAAGTTAATGTTGTGATGTTTCAACTAGTGATGTCGCCACATATCTCTATTTTTGAGGTTATGCACGAGGGTCGGTTTTTCTTATTATAAACTGTAGAATATGAAAATAAATAATATTGGTTTTGAAAATGGTACCATTCAAATATTTTGTTATAGACCACTTCAAACGGAGTAATTCATTGATATCACCGTTATTTAGGTTTTTATTATTTCATTATATTTACAAATGTCGTATATCAAGTGTTCTTTAAAAGTGATTATATCAACTTATTTTTTGAATATAATTTTCAGACAATTATATCCCACAATGAGATTTACTCAAATCATAAGTAAAAAATGTAGTAACAAACGTTCGTCCAAGTCTGTGTCTGTATTATATCATCCTGTTCCTGTTAAAACAAATCCAAATGATAAAAATATTGGTATTGAATTAACTGGCACTTTAAATAAATCTGAGATTATCAAATTTTTAAATATTTTTGAACAAAAGAAGTCCGTGATGGACCTAGCTTTAAAATATGGATTGGACAGTAACTATCACCATTTGTGTTATTTTTATTAAAATATTAGTCGTTAATGTCTTTTCTTACTGGCTGTTATATTTTTTTCAGATGATCTCTTACGTACAGCGATGGCCAGTTTTCGAAAATATTGCTTAGAAATCGATTCGCTACCTGTTGATCTTCATGTTATTTTAAATGATGTCATTCAGGAAGCTGCGAATGTTTCAGATATATTTCCTTACTTTTTACGTTATACCAAAGAAATGTACCCACATATTGATTGCTTGGACGATCTTAAACAAATTAGTGATCTCAGACATCCACCTAATTGGTAATAATAATCAACGATAAAGTGTAAGATTTTAATATAACTTATGCTAATTGAATATATTTAACTATGTTTTTTTAAATTTCATTATCTATAGGTATACTGCAACAAGAGCAAAAACCAGAAAAATTGTATATCATGCTGGTCCTACGAATAGTGGTAAAACTTATCAAGCTTTAAAAAGCTTCATGGCGGCAAAAACTGGTGTTTATTGTGGGCCGTTAAAATTATTAGCTGTTGAAGTATTTAACAGGACTAATGCATTGGTTAGTAGCATGTATGAAATTACCATTAAAATAATTTCATTACATTAAGTATAAATAATTTTAGGGGACACCCTGTGATTTAATAACAGGAGAAGAAAGAAGCTACGCCAAAAGTGAAATGTCTCCTGCAAATCATGTGGCCTGTTCTGTAGAAATGGTAAATATAGATAATGTTTGTAAGTATCGGTCACGTTAAATCTTTCTTTTACAAATGAATAAAATTTATGTAATATAATATTTAATTTTTTTTACAGACGAAGTAGCGGTAATAGATGAAATTCAATTAGTACGTGACCCATCTAGAGGATGGGCATGGACAAGAGCTCTTCTTGGCATTATTGCGGATGAAATACATTTATGTGGTGAAGCTGCTGCTATACCTATAGTTGGTTTCATAATTTCTATTTCATAAATTATATGTTTACCTAGATTTGCAAAAATTTTTATTTTAATGCAGGTAAAATCTATATGTTCAACAACAAGAGAAAAAGTAGAAGTATTGGAGTACAAACGACTGACGTCTCTTGTTGTACAACACAAAGCACTTTGTGCTTTAGACAATGTTGAGCCAGGAGATTGCATAGTTTGTTTTAATAAAAATGATATATTCACTGTGTCGCAAGCTATCGAAACCATGAGAAAACAGGTAGCAGTAATATATGGTAGTTTACCGCCAGGTACAAAACTTGCACAAGCTGCCAGATTCAACGATGTGAATGATCCCTGTAAGATATTAGTAGCTACCAATGCAATAGGAATGGGTCTTAATTTGTAAGTTTACAATTATACAATTTTTTTACTTGCATAGTATTATAGGAATATCGTGGCAAATACATTAAATATACTGTTTTATGTATAATAATGGGACGAATATTAACTGTGGGCAAATACCCGATATTTCGAGTTTGGGTCGAATCGGAAATTCGACGATCTATAACATTTGGGTGCCCGAATATTATAACACAATGAAAATAACAAGATACATTGATATTATTTCAGACACATTCGTAGAGTTATATTTTATTCTCTTTCTCAACCATCTTTAAATGAAAAAGGAGAAAAAGAAATTGACACGATTTCTGTATCCACCGCGCTACAAATAGCGGGGCGTGCAGGTCGTTACGGGACACAATGGCCAACAGTAAATAATTTTGCATTTATTAAAATAGGAATAAAATTATTCCAATGATATATATGAAAGTTAATATTATTACATGTTATATTGTAGGGTTATGTTACGACTTTTAGGCCTGAAGATCTTAATCTGTTACAAAAGTTATTAAAGGAAAACCCAGAAACAATAAAACAGGCTGGACTTCATCCGACTGCCGAGCAAATCGAGTTATATGCTTATTATCTGCCGAATACACCGCTATCAAATCTTATTGTAAGGTTTCTTTAAATCTAATTTATAATCTACTGTAGTTTTAATCTTCTTTTCTTTTTTTTTCAGAATATTTTTGTTGCGCTATCCCAAGTCGACGACTCTCTTTATTTCATTTGCAATTTGAATGATTTTAAATTTCTTGCTGACATGATACAACATATACCGCTACCTCTTCGTATGCGATACGTGTTTTGTTGCGCACCCATCAATAAAAAAATACCGTTTGTGTGCAGCATGTTCTTAAAGGTAAGATACGCAAATATTTTGAAACTTTTTATGTATAATATAAATTTTTTTAATCTGTTACGAAGTATGCACGACAATGTAGTAGAAACGAAAAAATAACTGTTATTTGGTTGAATAAACAAATTAATTGGCCTCCTAAATCACCAACAACTATTGCCGATTTGGTACATTTGGAAGCAGTATTTGATATTCTGGATATTTATCTTTGGTTAAGGTAAGTGACTGTAATAGTAGTAATATAATGATTCTATTTTTTAATACACACAATTCTTAAAATCATTTAAATTTTATCTAGTTATCGGTTTCTGGATTTATTTCCCGACGGCAATGCAGTTAGAGATATACAAAAAGATTTAGACAGAAAAATCGAAAAAGGAATTCAAAGATTGAAAATATTGTTCCAGAAAACTCGAACAGGTATGCTTCGTTTCGAGATGTAATATTAGTTACTAATTATTTTAGATGCAACGAATAATAATATTCAATTCTGTTGAATCGACAGATGAACAGATCTTTGCAAATGGAACAAATACAAGTGAAATGTATGTTAAACAGAAAGGTAATTTGTTAACTATTAAAAATTCTGATATTTAAAGTTTGTATACAACTTATATTAGAAAGTTATATAGACTTAAATTTTTCGAAAAGAAAAACTGATTCGCTAACATATTTCAGATTCCGCTTTACCGAAATTGAAAGGAAAATTAACAAAGTCTTTAATGTCCCAAGGTCGTTTATCGCCAAAACTGTTACAACAGTTAGAATTAGAGTGGTCTGAGGTAATAAGGAAAAAATAAGGGTTTTACAAATTCATAAAAGATTGTAACGTATAGATGTTATATTATTCGTAACAGTAGTTGAATAAACATTGGACACATTTTTTTCTCTTTTACAACGTATAGTTTAGACATTTATAAATTTTACACATTTTTTTTTACCATTTCAGAAAAACCAGAAACTGAGGGAGAAGAATTACTTTTCAAATAATTTTAGCAAAGAAAATGATTCTGCAATAAAACCTAGAAGACGTTAGTAAAACTCTTTGGTGTTGTAATTTAATTTCTTAATTAAAGCGATGATCTAAGAGTATATCATTTTTATATTTAGACAGTCCAATTTAAACTATAAATACAAATCCAAATTATTACGATTAAAGAGACTTTTTATAAATAGGTTCTACTTTTATTTCCTTGCTAAAACAATTCCTTCCTTCTTCTTCTTTTTTTTTTGTAAAAATTTATCATATTTGTACAAAGTGTGTAGAAAGTGTAGTTCGAGATTGTGTTTCTTCAGAATTTTATTTGACATTATTTATTCCTTGAATGTTTTTATAAATTCATATCTACGGTCGTGTTTCCGTGTACATTTGTATTTTTGTCGAATTGTATATACTTTCTGTTTTTTTTTCGTAAATATAGGAAGATTGTAAGAAAAAGAATGAGAACTTTTTGATCTATGTTGTAATTTATGAGCTAAAGTAATGCATCTCGTACATCTTAATGAATCATTATTCACTATTAATGGGCATGAAATATGTCTCCATTTTATGCCATCTTTATAAGCTACTTTTATATCAGAAACTTTTTGAAACCCTTCAGTATTGTATATACCTAATTAAAAAAGAAAATATATAATGTTTGCTGAAAATGTTGACGGAGAAAACAAAAGAGCGTACATACCTTGACAAATGGTTCTTTGATCAAATTCATCGATAAGTTCTTCTACATCTAATAAATTTTGTACTTTTAAATGTTTTCCTTCCCTTATCAGGTTATGAATAAGTGGATTAATTTCTCTATTTACAGCAGCACAATGTAATATCATATCACTCTTTATAAAAACTTGCTTCTCTGCGAAAGGCATTCCGTTTTTGGTCATTGCCATGTACAGATACACAATTGTCGTACTATGCCCCTTTGAAGTTACTAAACAAGACCAACCGGGCGGTAATAATAATTCGGTGCATACTTCAAGTAAATCTTCAAATAACATTTCACTATCTTCAATATCGTTATACATAGAATAACATGTGTTTAACTGATCATAATTTAAATTATTTTCTATTTGGTTTTCTGCATATAAATCTTCTGTTTTTTTAAAACTACCACCCATTGGCTCTTCGTTATAACAAGTATTTTCTTTTGTTTTTTCTTCTCCCCATAATTGTACCGGTGTATCATCTCCTTCAGAGACATTAAAAAGTATTGAGGAAGGTTCTGTTATATTTTTAGACATGCTCAAATAATTATCTTCTTTACATGTTTGGGTTTGTACTTCCCTTCTATTTTCAGAATTCGTGTCTTTAGTCGAGTTTGTGTCAGAAGTAATACTGTCTTCTTTTTGATATACCGTTTTAATTCGTTTCATATGCTTTAAATTTTTTTCAAGACATTCTTTAACTTTAGATTCTTCGTGTATCTTACTTGTATTCGAGCCATTTTCTGACAATTCTTTTTTAGTCAATGAGTTTCTATTCAGCGAACAATCATAATCGTCAAATTTATGAGACGATTCGCGATGTAAAGATGTAATTTTACAATTCTCATTGCAATTTATTTGTAATTTTTCATCGGTTCTGGGTATCAGAAAATCCCTTTTTTTTTCTTCCGACGTACTTGTTTTTCTTACCTTACACGATGAATAATACTTTATGTTTAAATCGGAATCGCAAGATTCAAGTTTGGTTGTTTCATCTTCAGCATTATATTTACTGGGCACAGCACCTGGTCGTAATCTACATTTTTTATATTTAATCTATAGAAACGATAGAATTGTAAGAAAAATGAAAATTGCAAATTTATACTGATAACATAAATGCAAAGTATGATTTACCGTTATAACATGTGGTGGTACTCCACTAACCCAATGTGTAATAATATCGTCTTCGCTGAAATGTTTGCTGCAGACATATGTATCATCAGTGACAGCATAATTTTCAATGGAAATTACATTTTGCCATTTTTTACGTGTTTCTGGATCTTTTGGCGCTGAGAAAAAGCTGTAAGTATTCCTGTAGTTGGTTTCTTTGCACATTATACACTTTCGCGTCATAATGACACTATAAAATGTGTTTCCACGTTCTTTTATTTAAAATATCTAAATTCCATTATCACATTATGTATTATATTGTTGTATTGATTAGTAAAATACGCAGCATGTGTTACATTCGAAAGCAACGGTTCCATCAATTAATGTACGTTACGCATAATAAATCGTCAAAATACGTATAGGTTATTACGTTTTCATATACACCAAAAAAAATTAATATGCGCTTATTTTGAAACTTCGGTGAACGTCTATTGTTGTTAGTTTCACATAGAATTGTTCAATTACTTAAATGCGTTTAACTAAATACATGTTATACAGTATGGAATTTCTATATAATGTTTTGGAATAATTGAACCATCGTTCTGTGTGTTTGTTTAATTATATCCACTATAAAAAAATGTTAACACCGATAGTTAATTTTTCCGAATATTTTGCTCATTTGGCGATTTATGGCATTTTAGACAGAAAACGATAGACATTGAATATTTTAAACTATTTCTAACGTATTATTTATTTTGATCTTATATTTTTGTGTGGCTATCTGACGACGTCTTCGGGACGCATCACCAGAGGGCAGCGAATAACAGCAATTTTCATCAAACATTAATTTAATATTTTAATATTTCAAACCTACAAAATATTAAAATATTTCAAATATTTTAGTATTTAAACATTATTTTTTAAATATTACTATTTCAGTGATTAAACGCTAAACGGATCTTTAAAAATATTATAAATTAAACAGAGATAAATTTCCTTCCACAGCAAAATTAACAAAACGCTTTTTAAATATTTTTGTTATTTTGGTATGTTTACAACATTATAACTTCTGAACGGATTGGTGGATTTTAATGTTTCATAATGCAAACAACGCGTATTTTGGCGAAGAATATGTAGACATTCTAGAAATATTCGAAAAGTTGTTCCTTAACGTCGTAAAATGACAAATTGCTCAGAAAAATTGTCAATTTTCAAACGATCGTAACTTTTACAATAGTAAAACTTATCTCATTGAAATTTTTTCTGGAAGTAGAGTTCACGGATACCTAAAAAAAAGTATTAAACATCATTTCATTTTGATTCAGATTAAAAATCAAATTTATATTGTTTTAAATTCGCTTTGAAGAAGAACTTCTTCATTATGGGTAACACCGAGCTAATGGCTGCGAATTTAAAACAATATTTGATTTTTAATCTGAATCAAAACGAAATGTTGTCTAATACTTTTTTTTAGGTATCCATGAACTCTAATTTTATTTGTTGTTATTCCCGTGGCTCCCGTTCGCGTTCTTTATCAATTTCCCAAAGTTGCATGAAGTGCTGACCTGGCGTGACATGTGGCTCGTGCGGTAAGATATATCGTTTTTCCCCACCAGTCCGTTAAACGCTAAGGAAGTTCGTCGTTACTAATGTCGACGTCGATGCACTCAATTATGCCAGATCTGGCCACACTGGTTCAATCTATTCACTCTTCAGAGATTTCGAAACTGTTATTTGTTGAAGGTTGTACTGCTAGGTATGATTCATTTATTATATTCCCGTTAATACAACGTAAATCCGAGCAGTATTATCCGATTCGAAGTTGGCTAGAAACGTAGTTTTTCATCGTTTTAACATGTATTCAAAGTGCTATACTACGCTTTATATAAATCACGATATACCGTATTATCCATGGGTTTAAACGAAATAATAAATTTGTTTCGAAATATCAAATGTGTTTTAGGAGTTACGCTCATAAAGCAATAACATAAACTAAAGTTATTGCGTTGCTTAATGATGGATGACATTTTCGTAGGATAATTGTTAAATGGTTTGGTGATACATATGTACCTAGTTCATGTGTTGCTCTCATTTGTGATAACATGTACAAAATCAACATCGTTTCCGACATAATTATGAATTCTTCCAGCGATATGGATAGTCTAGACGATATATGATAACCTCGTAAGTTTTTCATATAAATAGATAATCTGTTGTTAAATGACTTTTAGGGTAACACGACACTGTCTGTAAATAAACGTATCTTTGATAATTAAAGCTAGACGTCAAACAGTGTACGAAAATTTGCTATATTTTTGCATGAAAATTATGTAATAACAGTCTAAAATATTTCTTTGTCTTTCAGGTTAGTATGAAATTACATTGGATCAAATTTTAAATGTTACATGAATTCTGTAGGTTTCAGTGAGAAACAAAAAAATATTCAAAAAACGAACCTGCTCAATTGTACAGTTAATATGGAGGAAATAGTGAAACTTGTACAGTTGTTGCATCAAAATGGAGATAAAGTGTTGAGCGCATCTTGCAAATTATCCTTATCGACAGAGTTACTTTACAATTTAAACGAAGCTTTTTCATCGATTATCGACGAGCCGGAAGATTTAGAAACTTCATTTCAAGTGTGCAACAGTTCAAAAATCAATATATTTAGCGATTTGAAATTTTTATATGATTTTATACAAAAAACAGTCGGATTGAAAGTAACTTATTGCGTGGATAATCCTGATATCCCTGTTAACATTACAAAGTTCAGACATTTGAAATATCTGGAACTGAAGAAAATTAATATTGAGCTTGTGAAAGGGCTGCAAGAGTTTACAAGTCAACTTGAAAGTATTATCTGCGTCGGTAGAAAAGGAATTTCTTCAGTGAGTCAATTATTAGGTAATTATGAAACAAACATGTTTAAAATTAATCCTTTTCATACGGAGGTGGGAATATAAGTTTTAAGCTATCAACTTATAAGGATAGTTCAAGTATTTCGGATCATAGATTTAGTCGAAACCTTGGACACTTATATATCTAGTCATTCTGTTCATGAAAATGTAACATTATAGAGGAAATACTCTATAGTTTTTGAGACATTTGATCAATCTATTATGAATAATTTACCAACGATATACAGGATTTTTATAATTTTTACACAGCTAGTTGCGGTGAAGGTGCTAGTATTGGATGTGTGTGGGACTCGTTGAAACATTTAACATTATCTTATAATAGTCTGGAAAAATTGGATAAATCTTTAGAGCTGGCACCTTGGCTACAATTAATAGATTTGAGTCATAACTTGATAACATCTGCGGACGAGTTATCTTATTTGCCAAATTTGAAATATGTGAATCTTGGATACAATAAGCTCGAGACAGTACCTACATTTAATAAGGCTGCCTCATATTCTTTACAAGTATTAGTTTTGAAGAATAATTATATAGAAAAGTTAAATGGTAATAGATTATTGCATTGGATTCTTTTATGACATGTGTGTGTAAACGAAAATTTTACATTCCTTTTTTTTTTCTCTCCACGTCAGGCTTACAAAATTTAAAATGTTTAACGAAATTAGATTTATCGTATAACTGTTTGATGGAACATTCAACTCTGTGGGTTTTGGAAAAAATGTCTACTTTGTTATGCATATCTCTGGAAGGCAATCCTTTATCATATCACCTAAAACATCGGCAGCTATTTATAAAGTATTTGCATCCAAGTTTAAAAGATAGCAAGGTGAATCATGTATTAAGAATAACAAAATATTTTAGTGTTGTATTATACGTAAATATACTATTTTCTTCAAATAAACTATTACATAAGTACGAATAATATTTTATAACTTAGTTTGTTTTAGACCATTTGCCACTTTCGAGGTCAGAGAAACAAATTATTGCAGGGAATCGATATTATGCGATCAGATCCGAAAAATCCGCGTCAAGTGAATTTTCCGTGTCTGTATCAGATTCGTTAAATTCTAGTAGCCTTTCTGCATCTATGAGCACGTCTACTTTTAATGAATTTGTAGCAGAAAAATCGATGAATAATCTAGAAAGAAATTTACCTAGAAGTAAGAAGAAATTATATGTTAAAGAAGCTATTATCGCAGAAGATGAACAAAAACAAAAAGAGTTGAAGGAAAATTATAGTGTTTGTAGCTCGTATTCGGGTAATTAATTATCTTGTATTATATACTTACATAGAGAATAACAAACATTGTAACAAATGCATTTAAAAGAATTATTTTCAGTATGACTTAATACAAATATTGCGTTTATTTTAATCTTTTTTAGAAACTTCGAAAGATCATCTAGAGACGAAGAAACAAATTTTGGCGTTACGAAACAAATTTGGCGAGGATGAATGGTTAAACAATTATGCTGGAACAATTGTTCAAGATATTACGGGGTTGCAATCGTTACCGGAGTTTGATAGTACATACACTATGCTAGATACTCAAGATTCTGAAATTCGTTTCCTTAAGAATGTAGAAACTGCGGCGATAGAAGATTCTGGAAGATACTCAGTAACGGAAAATAACGAAAGCAACGGTGCAATGGGAGAACAGATTGAAATATCAACGGAAGAACAAAATGTCTCTGAATCTCTATCGTCTAACGATACGACTATTGCTCTTGTAAATATATCTGATCCTCCTTATGATCTGGAAGAAGGTATATTATTGAAAGTAAAACATTCATATAGGTAAAAGAATCTTGTTCTAACTGCAGTTTTGTTTTTTCAATATTTAGAAAAAGGAGATTTGTATCTAGTTCACAAGAAGAAACAAGATAGCGACGAATTAGAAGAATTATTCTTGATAATAACACTAGAGTAAGTGTTTTTTATTAATATGTAGCAAATACTTTCTCAAATGATTACCGGAAATTACAAATTTAAAATGATCTGTATAGAAGACACTAATTAATTACCGAATGATATCAGTTATATAACAATTTCAGTGATATTAAGGAAAGAGATTCCATAACTGGGAAATTGAAATATTGTTGGTCGACAAGTTCTGTGTTATCGTGTGTGCGGGGTAGAAGCGAACCAGTTACGGTAGATATAATTTTTGATACAAAACGAGAAACCCGTCAAAACAGGAGATATTTTGTGAATTCAGATGATGCAAAGGTAAATAAATGAGAAAACATTGTCTTTCACATTCCTAAGTTGGGCGAGGGTTAATCCGTACCTGCTTAATTACATTTCAGAAAATAGTAACGACAATTAGCGAGAGGATAAAGAAACGACCAATATCATTAAAAGTTTTTAAATGTATGAAATGTTCAACTCATTTCTCCCAGGATACGGAATACGTTGCTGTCATAAGTACATCCGCATCAGGTACAATTTCAGTAATAGAACTGTACATAACTTTTAGGGGTACCTTGTACAGATATTATAATAAACGGTGTTTCTTTTTCCAGGTTTAAAACAATTGAAATGCCCCACTTGCGAGAGTACTTTAGTTATAGAAACAGATGAACTGTCAACAGTGGACCCAGAAAGTGATGCTTCCGAAGGTTCAACGGAATATTCCTCTACGAATCAATACCCGGAAAATACTACAAAAACTAATTTGCAACATTCTGAATCTTTCTCCAGCATTGGTAAAATTTCATTTTGACGTTTGCATGTAATTTACGTTACGATCAATTTAAGAACGATTTGAAGTGCTTGATAGAAGTTACACATTTATTACAAACATAGTAACTTTTGTTGATTATATTTTTTTTTCAATTTTATAACTGAATTTGTAGATAATTTTAATAACGTAACCCTGTTTTTATTATGTATATGTGGCGTTTTCAACTTAAAACATTAATTAAAGTATTAAACGTCAAACGGGTATTGCGTATTCGTGAAGTTTATCTAAAAACGATTAATTGTATATATAACATTTATGATGTTGAGTTTTTTTTAATATTAGTATGTGCCTTTCAGTTTTTTACTGAAAAATTATATTTATTAATTCGTTAAATGTGAACGCACTAATTATATATTGCTGACTGCATATCCATACATTGTTCTATTGACTGGGACTATAACATACTAATCCCCCGGTGCAGGTGGAACGGAGGGTCGAGCTATATCCGTCACCACTTCTCTGGTGCACTCCGACTCTCACACTCAAGCTCAAGTCTGCTGTAAGCTTTAGCCACAATAATTTATTACAGCACTATCTGTTTCTTCAAGCTTTCCTTATGGTTAAAAGACCAGGCATAAGCTATTATATTAGCTGCTTGACTATTTAGATTTAGTTAATGTAAATTTCTATTGTTTATTTTGGTCCATATTTTTGTTTTTGTATTTGAATAAATTTTTAATTTCCATTTATCACTCTCCTGAAGTGTCTTCCGGATCAAAATTGCTTTATTTTTTAGATTATTAAATATGTAACATGGAATATTTCGTTTACGTAAGTACATGAAATTTCAACATTTCAAATATCTGGACACATTGTATTACATAACATTACTATATTTATAGTTTTATTTTACCTATTTTACATTTATAACGTATATAGTAATTCTCTTCTTGATTATATTATATTTCCAGTGATTTAATTTTAACATCGATATATCGATATTATACAGTTAAAAATATGTTGTTACATTTTATCAAAGAGAATTGTCACGAATCGTGGTACTTTTCTGTGAAGCCTGCAAGAATGAATGTGTCCTCTATTCTTTATTCACGTTTTTATCATTTTTTTACAGACTTCTTTTTATCGTAGTCAGTAGTAGTATAGTTCTGTGAGAAACAAAAAGAAAAGTATGAGCACCTACTACTGTGTATACACATATGTATAATAAGCTTTCTGTTAAACTTGCGCGAAACATTGTCATTTAATATCCATTAATTGGACGAATATAAATATTTTAGTTTTTTTTTTTATTAACAGGTTCAGCGACAAGTTTAGACGAATCGCGAGAGTCCACGCCCTCCACAAATACGAATAAAAAATACGAAAGCGATATAGAAATACTTAGCAACCCGAGCCAAAGTAGCATCGAAGTTCTGGACGATGCTTCGAGGTAAGCTATATTTTCTGTAATTCTTATCGTATGTATTGTAACTAAATGATTAATTCTTGCTTTGTAATATTTTTCACGATTATCATAGAACTCATCCGATACCGCCTAGAAAGCGCTCTTCGGAAGAGAAATGCACCGCTGTTGTTCCATCCCTTTTAACGATACCAGACGTAGCACCAATTATGACTGGTTTAACCGAGAGTAGCTCTTCAGGTTTGTCAGAATTTTCATTCCACAAATAATCGAGAATCAATAATTCACTAATAACGTTATAATTGCAGGCTCTTTAACAGATAGTATATGTACCGCGTATGAAAATAAAATAATTAGGCAAATTAATGCGGACGAAAAGTCCCTTAACAGTAGTAACGATAAAGAGATCAAAGTCTCATCTGTAACAAACTTAACTTCTATACTAGGTGGTAGGTGAAAAAATGTAACTGTAGTCGATTTAATCTGTGGCTCGTTGATGTTGTAATTATAGCTGGCATTGAAATTTGTAGGTTTACTTCAGAGTATAAAAATCGGCAGTAATAAGCCATTAACGTTAAACGAGGAAGAAGCACCGCATTTTTGTGGCAGCAATATTTCATACTCTTACACAGATTTTAGCAGTATAGATCATAGAATAAAGTTACATATCGTTTTGAACATATTCGAACACGAAAACGAGGAACTTATTTTTCTCCTTAGGGTAATATATGAAACATTATGTCGCATTACCGTTTACTTCAGTATTGGGCAGAATATAATTGAGAAATTTATATTAATAACTTTATGAATCATGTGCAACCATTGTATTTACCAGACCTCGTCTCGTCAGATTGTTTTAAGCAAATCTTATGTAAAATTGGCAGTATTTTATATTTTTACAAAAAAAAATGCGGATTTATTACACAATCAAATATAATTGCTCGATACTGGTTAATAGTTTTTAGAACCATTATTGAAGAATACTTTTCATCTGTTCAATAAATTTTAGGCGGACATTCTTATGCATAATACGAAAGAAGCATTTCCTGGTTGCTTGGTTTTGTCTACATTAACAGTTTACGTTCTTAAAATCGATGGATTGGAAGGGTAAAGGCAAAACATTTTTAGTGTTATTATATCTTTAGAGTACCGCGTTTTATATGAAATATTGAAAAAGAAATTTTTTGCTCGATATACTTTTTTTTAAATTTTTATTATAGAGAGGATCCACAACGTTGGCTGCATAAGGAAATCAGTTGGACAATAGACAGATTAAGATCGTTTGCGCCATTGCCGTATAAACAAGGCATTTTGATTGAATTAGAACAATCGAACAAATTGAGCCAAGAACTACAGCCTGTTATTACATTTTTATGCATCTTACAAGACTTTCAGAGAACATATAATTTTTTATTTTATACTACTGGTAAACAAAAAAATATGTCCACTTGACACCTTTGAACTAACGTCAATACTAAAAGTATATGAATTTTGATTTATAGAATTGTCACTACCACCTAGTTGCAAGGTTGAATTTACAGTACCAGAACACTGTACTTCTTTGATGCATACGTTATTAAAAGATTGCACGAATTTTCAAGAAGGCGATACTGTAAGATTACTTGCATTATTTTCTTCCGCCTTACTAAAATATCAAGGCCTCGAAGTGCAACTGAAATTATCTAGTTTAATTGTAACTGCATCCGTGTTGGTGATATGTAATATACAATGGCTCTTACCAGGCAACAAAGAAGCGCCGCAAATAATAAGGAAACAACCTATGAGCAATTTAATCGGAATAGTGAGTAACATGCATTTCTCGTATATGTGATTTTAAGTAGTTATTCTGGTCCGGAAGGTCAATTTTTTTGCATAAAGAATCATATAGATTTTCTTATATGATTTTAAGAACACATACTCGTTACTATTTTATAATTAAGAATTCAAACGTGTATTGAACGAGTAAACTAATGCTTATGTGAACTATATACATATGATATAATAATCTTATTCTTTTTCTTTTTTTAAATTAACTCTTTTCATTTGACGCATTTACAGGAACATTACAGATCGTCATTGACCTTAAACTTTTTAGACGAGGTGGAAGAACAAAAGGATTCGTGGATCTTAAATTTCATTTCTGTGAACGCTGCCGAGACGGTCATTAATTCTATACAACCACCATGGGAGGAACTGTTTTCGATCCCTTTGCAGATTACAACTTGTAAAACGGAAACTACTTGAGAAGTGTAAAACGAGTTTTAATACGCCTAAATGAATATTCTAGTCCTAGTCGAACGAAATACACCAGGTGAACATCAAATTTTTTAGAATAAATCGATACAGTTTTTGATATTACACAATTTGTATCTTGCACGAGCTAATGATATTATTATTCTTTTTTTTTTAATCTATAATTTAATAAGTAAATAGAAATGAATAAATGTTGAGAACAACGTAACATTTAATTAATGAAAATATATATGCAATTAGGTATAAGATAACAAAACGTTATATCGTAAAACAACTGATATTTTTTTCAATTTTATAATCTGTATTTTTCTATTGTTCGTTAACTTATAAATTGTTAGTAAATATGGTGTAAAACAAATACAAAAAAACAGTTATATGGCGTGTGGGCGAATAATATTTTTTAGATTTTGAAAATATCAGTTGTCTCATCAATTTACATTTACTATAACTTTTAAACTTTCCTGATATTTTTGTAAAATGTTATGGCACGTTTCTTTTGATTATTTGTAACGCTTCGTATTAGTCATTGAAACATGTTAAATTTTAAACGGTGCTATTAATGCTAAGGTACTGCATCTCAAAATGTTTATTACTGAAAGTAACTTTTTTATACGACTAATTTATTACACTCTTCAAATAATCGAATGCTTAACGGCATTGTCAATGTTGTTTATTTATTATTTTGATATGAATGTTGTATTATAATCTATTCAATATTAATCTATTTTACAGCAAGAACGTTCATTTTACTTTCAGCAGTTTTGGTTAAATAATATCGCGAATATTATTGCAAGTAATCGTGTGTTTTTATATTGCAAAGAAAGAATTATATAAATTTGTTCAATTTATGTTTGCACATTTTACAAAGATATGTAAATAAAACTAATAAGATATTGCTTAAAACAGTCACGGTAAATACAATCTTTATAACATGTTCATGCACGTGTACAGTTCATGCATATTTCTATTTGCGTAATATAAATAGTATAATGTTTATAAGAAAAAATTACATACTGAACAATAGTCGAACATCGCTATCAGTCTGTGATATATATTTTTTAATTTTTACTATGTAAGTATGTTGATATGTATATGTACGTTGTAAAGTTGTATAATATATCTGTTTATAACAAACCAAACAAATGTAAGTGGCAATTTACGGTAATTTCATCGAAACTATTAACGCTTCAACTTGAATTTTGAAACTAAATCTCTGTTAAGACTTTATTTATTCCATTAAATACAGGTGACGTGAACGTACGCGACTTAGGGTTCTCTGCCAAGATATGAGGAAGGGTGAAAAAGAGTTTTCCAAGTATTTCATATCTCTTTAAAAGTATTAAAAGTAGCATAAATGAATACATTTGATAGAAAAATTGATTTCTGCTACCAGGGATCCCCTTCGAATTTTTGGTGCCACATTGAATGTGTTGTAAAAACTAAGCAACCAAGTTACTTCTTTCTATTATTTAAACTAGCAAAGATATTAAAGGGGATTGTTTTTAATGAGATGCTCCGTATTATTTATCAATTAATATTTACAAATCTTGAGATTTTGCAGTAATTCAAGTAGTTCGTTGTATTGCAATAATAAATATCATTTATGTACATGTAAATAAATTGTTATTGTATCTATTATACGCGTGTACATTTTATTGTTGCGATGCCATACTAAAAGTAAATAGATATGATTAACAAGGATATAAATATCATATAAGATTTAGTAATTTATTTGTACAAGCTGTTATTAGATACAACATTTTTCGTACTACAATAACTATTTTATCTGTGATATAAAATTGTTATTTTAAGCCTTTTGTAAATTCGTTGAATGATAACAAGTGTACGCCAACATGTGTTTCATACAAAGTGAATACCTGAATTCCATGTTACTATAGTTCTAATTGAGACGAGACACACACGGATATGTGTGTGTACCGAAGAAACCATCTATTGACGATGATAATAGAGAATGTAACATGTAAATGAAACAGACTGTGAAGATGCTGGAAATAACTCAGTATGTCTCTTGAACCTGTATACGAAGTGCATTATGAGCTTAAGTTTATTCGTATTATTATTTTCAACAGATTCTTACAAGTTGTAAATGCATATTTAAAAGTGTAAATAGTAATAATTAAATAATCATGAACAGCATTATAACAATTATGACTGTTCTAGAAACTAGTAAGTTCAATTATAGTTACATATTTAATGTAATTGTTGGATTATTTATGCATTCGATTTTATTACATTCATATATTTATTTTGTAATGTATTATTCCTTAAATTTGTATTACTTTGCGATATGAATTGCAAATAAAATCGAAAAGAATGACAATATTAGAAAACGCTTTCTAGCATCGCTTGTTACTGGAAACTTTGGATATAGTAAACGTGGTATGTAATATTCAATAACAATATATTTTTAGTTTATAACGATTACATTTAAAAATATAATTATATTTTAGAGCAACATATGTGGATTCAGAAATTTAAGCCGTGCGGCGGGAAACTGCAGTCTCCCGTATCCATTTCATCGTTCAAATCGGTACCTCTTCCTTTGCCTGCGCTTGAAGTTATTGGCTATCACGATTATCTTCCAGGGCCGCTATACTTAAAAAATAGTGGTCATTCGGGTAATTTGATTCTTAAATAAATATTTGTAACGCGAGAATCGAAAAATCCCTCGACGAACGAAACCAAAACTAACAAGAAACTTGTAAAAAATTAGCAAGAACTGAACTAACAAGTATCGAGATATTAAATAATTTTACTGCTATGAATTGATATTTAATTTTAAATCGGTTTGTTTAGTTTTAATGAACATAAACAACGGTTCAAGGAACATACATTTGCCCTATATATTTGGTGCCGCGCTTCAAGCAAATCAAGAGTTCGAAGTGGATCATTTGCATTTTCACTGGGGTGCAAAAAATAACAGAGGATCCGAACATATGTTAAACGGTGTCAGGTAGCAAAATTAAAAAATCCATAAAGTTCATCAGTATGTTTCTTTTTTATTTAATTTTGTTCGTGCTCATTTTGTAGGTACCCAATGGAGATGCACATTGTCCATAGAAATAAAGCATATTTGAATTTGTCTAATGCGTTAAATTACAAAGATGGTCTTGTGGTTTTAGGAATCTTTTTCCAAGTAAGTTCATAACGTGCGCGGTAAGTCTTAAAGTTGTGACCTCCCGTTTAGGCGACGCCATTTTTTTCAAGTTCCCTAGCAAGAGAATCGCCCTATACAATTTAACCGACAATGTTATCGATTCAGACTGAAAGCTGTGGAACGAATGAACCGCGTAAATCGAGGATATGCCGTAATTAATCAATTATAAGTTACTAAATCCATTTGAATAATAGAATTTACATTTAGTTGCAGGAAGAAGCTAATATGTTGTTGCATCCCATTTTAAACGATTTGATAGACGTGCAGTGGTTGAATAAAGAAATACCATTAAAAACACCTATAACACTAGCTTCCCTATTACCTCGTAGTACGGACGTATTTTATACTTATAAAGGTTCGTTAACTACACCTCCATGTAGCGAGGTAGTAACGTGGATAATTTTCCCAACCCCGGTACCAATATCTTTTGCCCAGGTATCCTCATCTATATTTCACAAGCAATCGAAGCTAAATGTTTTTATTTCTTTTTCACGTGCACATAGTAACATAATAAATATTACATGTTTCTAGCTAAGTAAGTTTAGACAACTTTCCAATGGAGAAGATGTATTGGCAGATAATTACAGAAAATTGCAAGATATAGGGCGTAGAAAGATATATGTTAGAAGATTGAATCAGTTTCTTATTACAAAGTACAATGAAACCGTTTTCAATGTCACGAATTTGATGTGGTTTTGGCAATGAATACTTTCGACTAAAGTTTTAGTTCTACTTCTGATAAAAGAATAAACTGTAGTATATGAAACTTTTATAACATTTTAAACGTTTATATTTTTAGCAAAATAAATAGATCGTCGGTAGTCCATTGTTTGAATTAATAATGCGTCGTCAGGAACCATTGAATCTTACGTTTAAATATTGTTTAAATATTTGTTAACGACAGTGATTGTTTTATCGAATTTAAACGTTATCTTCAATACGAAATGATAATACAAACAAAACAAATCGTTACGTATAATACAAATACTTTTGTGTTTTAATTTTATGTACCGCTTGTATTAGAATTCAAATATTTTTGTTATCCATCATCTAATTTTGTTTAAGTTTGATACAAATAATCATTATAAAAAATATATACGAAAAAACGTAATTATTACGTGACCTATATAAAGTGCGTCGATACAATTGTTTTGAATGTATTTAATATAGCATCAAATTTTACAAATGCGGTATCCGGAGATAATAATTTGTACTTGTGCGTTATCGTTGTACGTCGTTTTTAATCAACTATCATTTATACGAACAAAACAGTTGTCCTAATTACACCTACGGGTTTATATGTGTGTGTATGCATCAAACCAAGCGACCGCAAGCAGCTAGAATGTGAAGGTGGAATTGGTAAAATCAAATACGTCAGTGCATTGGCAATATTGTATTTTCGCATGATGTCATTTCTCACAGACGAAAGAATCATTATCAGTTTCTAGTTTGATACAATTTACGGTATTTAAACAATTTCGAAATTATATTTAAGAGTGGCATGAGCGTGTTTGTTAAACAAGAATTTGCATTGTTAGCATGTGCAATGACAACAATTGAGAAGTGTTAACGAATTACAGTAATTAAGATTATATATATATATATGTGTATTTCGTTTTAAATAATTTTAATTACACGGTTTCTAGGTTATACAATATACTGTTCCCATCGATCGATTTTACTTCAGCGCGTCAACCATTTGTTGGTTAACAAATGTTGAATTCTTGTTACTTGTTTTAGCCGTATTTATACATTTTATGCGAGGTGTCCGACACGGCATAAAGATCTACGATGGTTTTCGAATCGATCGTTACCGAACTCCTGAACAAGGTGTTGGGAGAATATATTCAAAATTTGGATAACTCGCAACTGAAGCTCAGTTTATGGGGAGGTAAACATTACGAATCGTTTGAACGTTTTTAATCATACCCTTGCTCGCTTTATGCTTCCTTACTTTTAATTACGAAAAACGTGATAACAACTTTTTATTTAATACTATGTTTTCGCAAATGTATTTAGAAATATGTATTATTTTTAGTAGATAAATATGACATCAACGTCTATTTATATTATAACTTGTTTATCTTGCGTGACACATGCTATGAAAACATTTATACAAACAGAACCTAACTCTGAAAGAAGTTAAGAAAAAATTTCAGATGTAGGGTATTTGATAAAAAGTATTTTTTCACAAACACAACGACGTACTAGAAAAGTATCTTTTATAAAAGAAATTAAACATTTCATTATATCTTTTGTTTTCAGGCGATGTTGTATTAAATAATTTATTGATAAAAGAAACTGCATTAGATGTGTTGGATCTACCTGTTAGATTGGAGTTTGGAAGATTAGGTTTGTAATATTGTTTACTTTCATTTATTCAGAAATTTTAAATATGAAATTAGCAGAAATGTTTGCCTTTTTTTCACAGGAAAGCTTATATTGAAAATACCATACAAAGATATGTGGAATGGTCAAATTGATGCAATTGTTGAGGAATTATTTCTACTTATAGTTCCTACTAGTCAGATTGTGTATGATGCTGAAAAAGAAGCAAAAGTACAGCTTGATACTAAACGGGCAGAACTTGCAAGAGTTGAGAAAACAAAACAATTGGCTGATACTAAATGTAAAGATTTGTCATTCTATAATTTTGTAATGATCAAGCTTATACAGTAGTGCCCACTTAAGTGTCCGCGGTCAGTTAAGCGTGGACACTACTGTATGTACTTCAACATACTGACTATCATAGTAATCTTTTACAGTACAAGAGAAGCTAGATGATTCCATGATCGAAAAACTCGTTGCTCGTATGATAAAGAATATTCATGTTGAAATTAAAAGAATACACGTGCGGTACGAAGATCATGTTTCGTTTAAAGATCATCCGTTTTCGGTTGGTTTTACACTTAATAAATTTGTATTAGAAAGTTGTACAGATTCTTGGAACACAAATGGCAATTTGAAAGATATGTATGCTATTCCACAAATTTATAAGGTAAGCAGAATTAGAAAATATATTGCAAGTGAATTATAATATTATAGTACAGGGAATGAAAATTATTTTTTCAGCTATGTACACTGGACGGTTTAGCTGCATATCTGAATACAACTGCAGAGCAATTTAGTAGTAGTGAACAATCGGACTATTCGGGTCTTTTTTGCTCCGGTATTGCAACTATAGATTACACTCCACCTGGTTATCAATATTGTAAGCAAACATATTATAAACATTATAAACATTATTATTTTTTTACACTATCGGATGTAACACAAAAATCACCTTGGAACTATTTCCGATTTCTCTAGTGTTGGGCCCAATAAACGTAAATGCGAAATTGAAGTTAAATCCAAAACCAGAGACAGATGGAAGTAATTACACTATTCCAAAGGTGTGGTTGGATCTAGAAATGCAAAAATTGAGGATAGGACTGGCGAAAAAACAATACCAAACTCTCGTTCAATTGGGCGAAGGGTTGGACCAAGCTCAAAAGGCTGCACCATACAGAAAGTACAGACCAAATTTGACATCGTATAGAGGACATTATAAAGAATGGTAATAACGCGTTACTCACACCCGAAGAACAGTAATAATTTAAGTACGAGACGCACGAGACATTCGATAAGTTTAATGTTACTTTTAGGTGGCGTTTTGCATACACTTGCATCTTAGAAGAAACGGTACGTAGAAGCCGCAGGAATTGGAACTGGAATCATATGAAACAACATAGGGACCTTTGCCGTCAATATGCTGACGTGTATCAAACGAAATTAACAAGCAAGAAAGTTGCACAGGAAATAGAAGATTGTCTTACAGATTGTGAAAGGAAATTAGATATTTTCAATTTGGTCATCATCAGGCAACAAATTGAAATGGAAGTTAGTATATTTGTTAATAAACCGTGTTCATGTATTTTATTGTTCCGTAATAATTTTATTTCTATTTTGTATTTAATAGGTAGAAAGATTGGCCGAAAAAGAGAAGAACTTAAAAGCAAAACGTGGTTGGTTTGGATTTCTGTGGTCTGGTTCGCAAGCAGAAGAGACTGAAGACTTGAACTCAGCAGCTGCAATAAGTAATTAATCATATTTTCATTAGACATCGGGCGAATATTCTCATTGTACGCGACATAAATTTTTATGATTTTCGTTTCAGTGCGGAAATTCGAACAGGCGATGACCCCTCAAGAAAAAGAAAAATTATACAGAGCTATTGATTACCAAGAAAATACCGCACCGACTCACTATCCTGAAACGTACGAGATGATCGATACCCGATTTCTTTTACACGAACTTCAAATTATAATTTTGGATATGGCTAAAGACCATCCGTGTATTTTGGATCTTCAACTACACGATGTTCGAGCGTGCTTCAAGTCGAGGCCGTCCGCCAATGCGATTTTGTATGTAATTTCTTAAACAAAACTTATGAACCGTGAACTATTTTAACACGTTTATTACTAGACCAGATTCATGAAATTTTCTACGACATTAATATTTTATAATATTTAATATGTATGAAAAAATTTGTTCTTTTACAGTGTTACAGCATCGATCAATGAGATGAAACTTTTAGGAACGAAGCAAGATGAACAGGTTCCATCGCTTTTTAATTCTCACGAGCATAGCGCGGATGCTGTTTTATTGTCCATATCGTATGAAAAAAATCCACTTGATAAATTGTGTGGCGATCGTGTCATTGTGAAGTCAACGTCCGTGGATATTATTTATGATGCACAAACTGTAATAGAATTGGTTAATTTGTTCAAAGTAGAAAACTCGTCGACTTTAAATCAGTGAGAATAACATTATACTTTTAGATAAGCATTTTACGATTGATTCCTTCCGATAATTCTAATACTTTTTCCACTTAGACTACAAGCAGCTGCAGCAGAGCAATTGGAAGGTTTGAAGGAAATGTCTGCTTTAGGTTTGGAGCATGCTATTCAAAAGCATTCAATATTGGACATGCAGGTACAATTCATATTGCACTAGTTTAATTGCAACGCTGTTACAGTGAACAAATCTTAAATTAACATTGATTAATGTTTGATAGGTTGACATGCAGGCATCCCAGCTAATCGTTCCGCACGATGGATTCTATAACGATACAAAATCACTGTTGGTAGTAAATCTTGGTAGCCTAAAAATGCATTCCTTAGAAAACCCAAAAGACGATAAAACGAACGTAACTGTTAAACAGTTAATCAGCATGGGTAAAAGCGAAGAGGATGTATTGTTGCATCTTAGGGAGCACAGTTACGATAAATTTGTTTTAAAAATAGTCGATTTTCAAGTATGTGTTTCTAACATTTTAAAAATATAAGATTGGTAAAAATGGAAAAACTGTATAGGATTTCAATGCGTAAATTACAATTAGGTATTAGTTTCACTGCCAGGAGAGGAATGGCGCACAATTTTATCGAAAGTAGATGATTCCATGACGCTACTGCAACCAACAACACTCGAAATTCAATTTCACAAATGCTTGATAACCGATGATCCTCTGCTTCCAAAACTTAGACTTATTGGTCAGTTGCCATCGGTTGTAATCAATATAACGGGTATGTATGTTGTATTTACTTCTTGAATACTTCAAAGGGGTTTTCTACAAGTTCAGTCGAAAAAGTAAACTTTCTTTGTTGTAATGTTTTTCTTGCCCTAAAAATGATATGCATATAACTTAAATTTCTTATTCAAGCGTTTTATAAGCGAAGATCTTTTCTTTTCCATTAGATAAACGCTTGTTACAAGCCCTCTCTATTGCTCAGAGTCTACCGTTCCCACAAGAAGAGGAACCCACAGAACTTCGGAAATTTTCACTCGTATGTTTCATATTGTACAAGTAATTCTCAATGTTGCTTATTCAGTGTTGCATCGTAATTATAAAATATCTATTGCTCGCAGAGTAAGTCCGTTTCTCAATTATCTTTGTTGAAAGAGCTAACTACAATTTCCGAGAAGAAGAAGGAGGCGGTTGTTTCGGTTAAACAGACAACTGATTTGGAAATGAAATTTGAAATGAAAGGTAAGGCATCGTATATTACGAGCAATCGAAATCGAAATCGATCTGACGATTATAAATCGGTTGCAGAATTTTCGTTGTTAATTTCGTCTCAAAAGAACGGATTGATAACGCCGTTTATGAATCTCGAGGTGTTACAATTGGAAGCAGAAATGTTACAACGGACGTACGATCAAGAAATATTATTGAGATTGGGCGGTATTCAAGTGAAGCAACATTACAAAGAAACAGACATATTTATGGTGAACACTCCTATGTCATCTGGTAAAGATGAATATCTGATAACAGTACAGTATATAAATGTAAGTTTTGAATATCCGAGTGCTAATTTTTCCTTGTTTTAAAAAAGTACAGCATTCGGTTTAACTTCACCTTAGGTAAACAAACGTTCGCCAGAATTTACGACCAAACACGGATCCGTTATTAAATTATTAAAACTGGAATTTACAACGTTGGATGTTTTACTTCACCAGGAAGCTCTTATAAGTCTTCTTCAGTTTGCTACTTATATGCAGGTAATCTTTTAAAATGCTTATAAGTTAAAATGAAAGCTAGTTACAACAAAGTTAAGTAATAATAGTATGTTTACCACCGTTACGTTGTTTATATTAAAGGATCAAATGAATGCTATAACGAGCAGTAGAATTGAGAAAGAGCGTCGAATGCGTCCACGCCATTTGACTTCTATTCAAGAAGAAACGTCTGCATTCTTCAAGGAACAAATTCAGAAACAAAAGTTTAGATCAACATCTCGTAAGTACTTAAATGCGTTGTATTATAGTTTTATCATTTCTTGTCAAGAAAGTAGAGAATAGATAGTTTCACAAATACACATATTTCAGGTCGAAGAAAAGCAGTGATCGAGGATATAGATTTAAAGATTCAAGCGAAAGTTGGAACTATCTGCATGAAGTTAGTCAGTGAATGCAGAGAAATCTCTGCCTTTTATATCGCCGGTATCACTGCTGGATTCATAATGAAGACTTCTTATTCTCAAGCAAACGTTAATTTATCATCTATCAGTATTATAGACCTTAATGCTGCATCCGCTTATAGAGACGTAAGACACAATTTATTAACATAATTTACATGTATATATTTTACATTCTTCGTCGATGATTTCGGTGCAGATTGTATCAGTAGCGGAGTATACAGAATCGTTACAAATTCAAGCTACGATGTACAATATTGAACCGACAAATGTTGATAAGAACAATATGTCCATCACCGTTTTAATGGGTTGTTACCGTATTATCTTTTTAAATATGTTTGTCACTAGTATTATGGTGAGTGAAAGCCTTTTCTTAAAAATGTTTCGAAATTCAAATATATTAGTTTGTAGAAGGTGTGAAATAATATTTAATTTTTTAGAGTTTTTTGAATAATTTTCAAGCAGCCCAGCAAGCTATAAAAGACGCGTCAGCAGCAGCCGCAGAGGCTGCGAGGACAAACATCAAAGATGTTCAAGAAAGCGCTGCACGTATTGGGCTTGCAGTGAAAATCAAGGTTTGCGACAGCGTATATTTTATTTGATAACTTGTTTTGAAAAATACTCAATTTCTGACTAATACGAAAACAGTATTATAAAGTGTTGATAATCACTGTTTAGGCTCCTGTAATATATGTACCAATGCATTCGAAAAACAATCATTGTTTAACGCTGGACATGGGTAATCTTACTATATGCAATGTTTTTAAAAAATTGGAAGTTGCAAATGAAAACGGGGATTCCCCAATTGTCGATGAAATGAAAATTGAATTACAAAACTTGAAATTATCAAGGTAAGAACTGGAGATATACGTACATAGCAGTTGACTACTTTATATCCGTAATACGAACTTACTATTTCTACAATAGGGTGAAATTGAACATGGAGAAGTTTGAAATCGAAAATGAAATATTACTATTAGAACCGGTCAGCTTCACATTGCTTATTAAACGGAATTTATCAACTGCGTGGTTTACATCTATACCGGACATTGATATGTCCGGAAGATTAAATAAAATTAATGTGCTAATAAGTAAAGAAGATTATGTGACTGCGTTGAAAGTGTTGGAAGAAAATTTGGGCGAAGTGGCCGAAGACACGAAATTCGTGCAAAATGTTAGTCAAAACGAAAAGAAACTTGAAGTAGAAGTTCTGCAACACCATCGATCCGGTAACTCTAAAGAATGATACGTTTTATTTACAGCAGAGTAAATTAATTATACTTCTATTCAAACAGATGAATTTGGAGAACCCACTGTGTCAAGTATGGAAGATAGAGAGTTTCAAGAACAAGTGAACATACACACATCCATTAAATTTGAGTTTGTTATGGATAGTCTTGTGATCAGTTTATTTACGGGTGGTTCAAAAATGGTATTCACTCTTGGTAATCTTGTCGTTTATGTTCACGCTCCAGTATACGCGTATAAATATTAAAATAATTTACAGCTTCGATCGCAAAGTTCTCTTCTACATCTGCCAGAGAATGGTTTAGCCAAATTCTGTTTGACTCATTTCGCGCTGAAAGGTAGAATATTTGCTGATGGATTAATGGCAACATCGATACTTCTGATGAACTGTACGTTGGACGACACGCGTCAAAGTAGACAAGGTTCTCTTATCAGAATTATGGAAAGAACAACAGAAGTACCTTCTATAGACGACTTGGAAAATGAATCAAATTCTGTTCGCAGCATGTTAGACATGACTATCAGACAGAGTTCAAACGACATGTTCGGTAGGTTTTTACTTGAAAAATTTCAAAAGGTCCAATCAAACATCATAAAATCATAAATTCTTAGAAAGCTTAATAGCGCTGGACTGTCTGGCTTCAACAAGTTTTTAAAATAACGAGATCATTATTTCTGAAATGATACAACGTAAATAAATAGTTGGATTTTGTTTATTTACAGTGGATGTTAGAGTATTTTCCTTCAGTATAATTGTATCACTTGATTATTTAATGAAAATAAAGGACTTTTTCGCGTCTGAAGAAGCACCGTCGAATAAGGCGATGCCTCAAAATATATCGAAGAATTATAACGAGTCTGTAGTTAAAAAGAAACAAACTCAAGCTGTACCGAATAACAAAATGTTCACGATTAATTTACACGTCGAGAAGCCGGATATCATTCTCCTCGAAGACATGGATGACATAAACTCAAATTGCATCATACTAAATGTAATAAATATCTATCAAAAAATATTTTTATCATTACATAGTATTTCACATGTTTCGTAATTTACATACATCTGATATTGTATTTTAAGACCGAGCTGTTACTGAAAGTACGTTTGATGGGTGAACATCAAGTAATAACAGGTTCCATAAAAGATTTAACGATTTTGGCTGGTATATACAATCCACAGAAGAGAAGCGATTGGATATATCAGGTAAAAAGGAAAAACTATATTTATATCTCATGCTGTTTCACATATGACTGGTACAGAAGAGACTAAAATGAGAATTTTCTGAATTTTTTAGGTCCTAAGACCGTGTAGTATTAGCGTAGCGGGTTCCACGCTGGAAGAGAAAGGACTTCATGTCGATGTTTGTTGTACTGACATTCACGTATCCGTTTCCCCAGGTAATTTATCGAATCACTAAACATAATTTGTGCAAATAAAAATTCGACTTTTCGATTCACAGGTGTCATAGAGATATTGAATAAAGTTGTTCATACTGCTACAAAAACGGAAGTAAAAGATGAAGAAGTTGTAATTTCTGAACCAAATCACAACGGATTGTGGATCATAACGCCGTTCGAAGAAAATGATTTTTGGTTTTTACATACAGGTTCGCTACGATATAGTATCGAATTCGAAAAAATTTAGACAATCGATTATTTCGAAAAGCATTTAAATTTTTTATATCCCGTTTTTTATTCTGTAGAGGTAGGAATGGAAGCTATGGAAAATCTTTCGTTCACTGATCACGATGTGACACTCTATAAACCAGAATTAGCAATAATATCTGCGCCGACAATTTTGTTCACGTTAGAAGCAGGCGTTGGTAATAAAACATTACCCATGCTTCTGCTTCACATCGGGTTCCAAAGCAACGTAAACGATTGGAGCTCAAAATCTGTAAGTAATGTTAACACTTGGACTATTTTTATTTATTGACCAATACACGCATACTTTTAGATGAGTGTGGAGGGTACAATGTCACTGATAATGGCGTATTACAACAGCCGTCTCGCGTTATGGGAACCATTGATCGAGCCAATAGAAGCCACTAAAAATAAAAAACGAATCTCAACACCTTGGGAACTAGAAACTAAAGTAATGCATCCGTCATTGCAACCTTAAATCGTTTATTGTTATTTTTTATTTTTACAGTCCTCTGATTACTGTTCCATAGATTCAATTCAATGACGTGGCAGTAAATTCTAGGGGAGCGAGCGTAATGAGCCCGACTTCGGACAGCGAGCCAGAAGAATGGCATCAGATCCCTAAAATGTCTATAGATATAATATCTTCTGTAAGTTGAACGATCGAAAGATGTATTTTGATAATATATTTTATACTAACAACGGTGTACGAAACATGTCCATGATATTCTGTACTAGGAAAATTTAGAAATAACCGTAAGCAAAACTTGTTTGGACGTACTTAAACAACTTGGCAATGCGTTCTCGTCGGCGATGGAAGCCAGTGAAACGGGAACCGCGAAAAGTGTGGCGCCCTACGTACTTAAAAACGAGACTGGCCTAGCAATGGTTCTAGATTTGAAACGCAGTCACTTCAAGGTTTCGTATAGCGTATCAGAATTATGAAATCAAAGTCATAGTCCGTGATATGTTTTCAGACAGAATATCGTTCCAGGTTTTTAACGATGGATCGACGACTGTGAATGATAGCGTCGTTTCATACATGGAAGTAATTCTGGAATCTGGCGCGTCGATAGAGCTGGCACCGAAAACAACAAAAACAGAAATACCTTTGCTCGACCAAGTGAAAACCGAATCGATTCAAGAGAGAGAAGATGACAAGTTTATTATCACGGTAATTGCTCGGATTTCGAATTTGCGATCTTGTTAGATTTATTGTGCTTATTAAAGTAAGATAATCTTTAAACAATATGTAATAATATTTATTGAAGTTCAAAGAAATCGGTGGTACTTTGGCTATACCAGTCTTAAGAGCCGATAAGAGATTCTTCTCGTTAAGATACCGGAAAGAAAGTTCTGAAGAATGGGGTATCGTGTCAGATGTTGTAGTCGATGAAGGAAGTACTATCGTTACTCTTAGAAGCATCCTTCAGGTGAGCAACATGTAATTGTATTGCAGCAAATGTAATCAGATTATAATTTGTCCAACTGCGTTTGATTTAAATTAATTGAATATGTTTCAGGTGCATAACCATTTCAGTGAACCGATATCGGTATATTATATGACTAAACGTGGAAATGAAGTCGAATGCGTGGGCACCGTTGCTCCGGACAGTAAATTAAATCTTCCACTAGATGCTGTATACACACCAACGAATATTTATTGGTTGTTTTTTAGCGTCGATCGGTAATTTACATATTTAAAATTTCCTTTCAATATTCAATATTTATATATGTTTATAAATATATTTAATCTTGCGTGTAGGTACATGGTTTCGATAGAGCCATTCGTGTGGAAAGATCTCCAAAAAACTGTCTCTATGAGCAAACTTTTAAAGTGTGAAAGTCGAACGAAACAAGATGTCGTAGAACCATTTTATATAAAGGTATTTAATCAAATTACGTACGCTTATTCCTTGAAATCTAGCCGACTCTCTTGCGTTGTTTATTTCTACCTTTCATACGAGAAACCGTTACACTGTATAATACATAGCACAAGTATCACTCTATGCATTTAAACGAACAATGTGTATCGAACAATACATTCGACGGTAACATAATGAGATAGTTATTTAATTTTAACTCTATAATGAAAAAGTTTCGTTGAAACATTGCATAATTTCATAAGCAGCAGTTTTTATTTTTAGATGTTTTTCGTGATGATTGTGGTTGGTAGTATTTTATATAATAATGACACTATTGGCTTATTATTGAATGCTATTAACTGGCGATCCATATTCTGTCGTTTCGTTGATTACGTCAAGCATCTTTGCTTCAAAACTTTATCCTCAGAACACCCAAAATATTTGGAAGCACCTATTCAGGTACTGCCATTATTCAAATTAGTTTTGAAAAGAGGTTTGTCAATCAGTATACGTTGAATATAAAAAAAAAAAGATATGTATTTTTATTACCGCTGTTAGATAGTTAATATACCTTAAATGTGAATGCGTATTTGCAACAAACAATTTCGTAGTATATAGTATAATTGCTAGTTGTGTTAATATTAATAATATATCAATAACAGGCAAACATGGAAAAGAAAGTGAACAGAGTTAAATCATTTGTCTACTAAAGACGATCATTTTTTTATTTCAACGGAATAATTTTTTCTATTGCTAAATACGTTATATTAAAGTTTTATCTTTTGGGTTTTTTTTTTCATTATTTTATTTTTTATCTCTATATATTGTAGTATCCGGTATTTAGACTTAATAAATTATTGTTTATTATTTCTAATTCTTTAATTTCTTTATGTTTCGTACAATGACGATATCCACGAGTTTCAAATATAGCCGTAAAAAATTTATATTAGTGTGCGTTGCAATATGTTCACTGCACGTGTTATATGTTTCACTCGTGTTTTATAGAATGAATGTATCGTTATTGTTATGCTGTAATGTTGAAAGTATTGTTTACCGATTTAGATCGTTGTATAAAGAGCAATAGAGTAACATAGTAGAATAAAGAATAATATAAACGTTTAAGAAAATGTTTAACGGATTCTAACGATTTGTCGCAACGATTACAGGTCGTAGGTGAAATAGAACAGGTTTACTTTGAAAATACTAGCCGACACACGATGGCAAGTACCATTTACAATGTTCACTTATATCCATCTGTGTATTTGAAGAACTTCCTGCCTATTGATATAATTGTATGTTTACCTGGAGCTGTGCAAGAGAAGCTTTTAGAAGCAGGCACATCTTATCAAATTCCTACAATTGATCCTGGAAAATCATACATAATCATAAAGGTAAACTACTTATAATTAGTTCTAGGATTATTTCAACGTTTTACAGATATTTTAATACCATGAATTCTCCAATATATTGCAGTTACCAAATTATTTAGAGAAGGATTGGTCATGTCGGGGTGAACTAATAGCAAATCCACCGGAATTTTCAGTTTGGTCATTCGAGTCTTTTGACAGTGTACAAAAGGTCGTGTTAGACTTGGGAATGCATACATCTTACGAACATGGATCTATAGTCATGGCATTGTATTGTCCGTTTTGGATGTTGAATAAAACAGGTTTAATGTTGTCTTACAAGGTAAGTAACAGGAAAATACTTTTTTATTATAATATTCCTTTATAATAACGTAATCTGCCATTTTTACCCTGTTCAGCTAAATGTACATTTTGCTTGTAATCATACATGTGTGTGTGTGTGTGTGTGTGTGCGCGCGTGCTCGTTTTTTCTGCATAAACAAATATCCTAATAAATTTGTTTAAATTTTATTATATTTTATATTGTATAATTTATCTTCATTTTTATAGAATATATTCGTAAGTTCCATTCATATAGATTTATAATAAAATGCGAATAAACTATAATCAGACAATTAAATATCACGAGATATCCTGATGGTACAAAAAATATTCTGTTTATAATTTTGCATTATCAGTATAAAGTGTTTCGATTTACAAGACATTAATAATAGCAATTGTAACGAAGCTGTTGATTTTTAGTAGTTGATTTAGTTATGTAATTAATCCCTTTACGCAGTGCTTGAGTTCGATATTTTGCGCAATACGTTAGAGCTGTGCTGTATTGTGCATGCTGAAAAGTAGTATAATATTGTAAATGTCCCAAAACCTGTACGATCGTACGTCATTCACTACTTACACGATACATTATTTTGCAGAAGTCGAGTAAGGGTGGTAAAGAACATTCAAGCCCGATAAAGGTAGTGATTTCATGTTATGGTATACTTTTGTGCTTATGGATGTAATACATGCTAAAGAAATTGTATCACATAGTGGTGGGCTAACGTGATGTTTATTTAAGAACTTTAGAGATTTAAATTATTTTGAAAAATGTATTTTTTTTTTTCCAATTTAAAATCGAAGTCTTTAATTTTTAAGCTGAAGTTCAGTACTTTAATGTAATAATAGTAGCATGTTGAGTATTAATCAGCTATCAAATTAGCATGTTGAAGTAAAAAGTTTTATTTGCATCGTATTGAGCGTAATACTTATAAGTAAAACTACATTTTACACGGCTTTATCACGATACATAGAATGGTATATTTCAGAGTTTGGGTTGTGTCAGGAAACCCTGTCAACAACGCGGTGAATACAGGAAGGAGAAACCATGTTCAGTGGTACATTGTTTTCATTTTATATTGATGACGGTGGTTTAATATTTTGTATACCTTGGACTTAAATTCTAACATAATTTAACAAATTGGTCTGATCGCTGACACACTAATCATAGGGATCTATTTACACTATGATCGGCGCTTTGTTTCCAACTAAACACATTATTATTTCATCGCTAAGGAAACAGTGATCATTTGCTATGCATAATTAAGTATCTCGTTAATTATAATGTATGTATGACGTTAGTTATAATGTTGGATTTCGTTTATGTCGGTGGCATTTTATTAATCTGCTTATAACTGTATCATCATAGTTTTGCAACATTACGTATATTTTTGCATTTTAAAAACAGGCAACTATTGATTGTAAACAAATTCTGCAATTTCACTTTTATACATAATTGTCTAAGCACAATGCACGATCATTAGACGAATCGAGCAACGCAGAAGCTTATAAATAATTATTGCAACTAATGTACGCAAAATTTGAAACAAATTTTTCGTTTAATACGAAAACGAAGATTATGCGCAAATTTTTATTGGAATTGTTTGTGTAACAATGTAACGTTGTTACTTTCATTGAACGATATTGTACAAATGTTGGGAACATTAAAATCAATTTCTATTTTCTATGCACGTCGTGCGCAAAATATTGAAACGCAACGTCAATCCAAATGTTTGATTTTATATATGTTTTCAGAGCGGAGATGATTTTTTGAATGTATTGTATCACCCGGAGAATTTCAAAGGACCCATATTATTTTCATTTCGCTCGAAAGTATTTTTTGGGAAAAAGAAGGCGATGATTCGAATCGAAGACGGCGAATGGTCTGAGAAGTTCCCAATAGATGTTGCAGGAAGCGAAGGAGTAGTCGTTTGCAGATATAATGGATTGACGTACCAGGTTCTCGCATAATTTATAATTTCAAGCTTACATTTTGAGTATATTTAATAGAGAGCAAAAAGACATTATATTTTATACATGTTACAGATCGGGGTGCACAATCAGTTGACGTACAATTCTTTAACGAAACAGATTACGTTTACTCCATACTATGTACTCATAAATAATTCGAATTTTCTGATCGAATGTCAAGAAGGTGACAGACCAGCCGATCCTATGATGAAGGTAATTGGTCAGATGTACATGTTAAAAAAATGGATCTGGAACATTATTTATTACTGCATTCGTTTGTAGATCCCTCCTGGCGAATGTACTGCTCTTTGGCCCCGTTCTGAAAATGAACAAAAAACTTTAAGAGCTAAGGTCGCTAGTGAACCTGAAAAAACTGCACCATTCGTTTATACAGATAGTCATACAACTTTATTAAAATTAAATAATAAGGTATGCTTTCGACGAAATTGTTTGAAGCGTAAATTATTTTAAGACTAATCCCAAGTTCGTTTAACAGTACGGTGGAATCAATGTGGATGTACAAATAAGCGAGGGAGGAGTTTACATTTCCCTTTCTGCTTATACTTATGGAAATGCTCCGGCTCTAATTATCAATCACACGCCGCATACTATTCATTTTTGGGAGAAAGGTTCATTGAACGTCAGGTACATTTATTTATCGTAAAATCGAACATCGTTCTTTTTGTATTTCGCTAGCAGTTGTACCAAAAGCAGTAAATATGCAAATTATTTTATAGATCCGTGCAGTCATTTAATAGGATGTTTTATACATGGGAGAATCCAGCTGGACCTCGGAAATTAATGTGGGAGGATAATAATAAGAAAGAGATCGAACATACTCTACGAAAGGTAAAAATCTCTACAGATTTGTATAGCAAGATGATTAGCCGGAATCTACTGAAGTTGCATTTTTCAGGATTTTTTAGGCGCTTTTCATTTGCCAGATTTGGACGAGGAAGTGTTTCACGTATCGTTTTTGGACGGCACGCAACGAATACTTCTGTTCACAACGAGTATGAAAATTGCAGAAGACTGTCAGCTTGTAGGTGATCTTGAAACTATAGAACAGGAAGTGACAATAAGTATTCACGGGGTTGGACTTTCGCTTGTTAACAACGTAACGAGAATAGAATTATTATATATGTGCATAGCCAGGTAAGTCTGACACTTTGACTGGCATGCAAAATTCATAGAATTTAAAAATCTATTTATAATGCAGTTCTGATATCATATGGGAAACGAGTAAGTCATCCGCTCATCGTTGGCGTGGTATCAGTACAAGAGATGTGATACTTATCGAAGAAGGTTATCAGAAATATATACGGGAATTACAAATAGGAAAGGACCCACCATACAGAGTGATGCTCGAACCAAAATTGGAGGTAAGGAATATTAAAGACATTCATTGATTTGTTAACATGCTGACTGTCAGGCCAAAATTTATCATAGTCAAAATTAATTTTTTCAACTTTAGAGTAAGTCCCGTCTTCCATATGCGTGACTATCAACAATGTTAATACTTGTTATATTTACTAACAAGAATTACATTTCAGGTCGATTACTTGAACATGGAAATGTTAAGACCACATCATAGAACTCTGCGACGCACGTTTCAAACCGGTCTATGGTTACAGTATCGAGCATCGCTACACCAAGTCCAGTTGCACGCAAAAATCAATAGACTTCAAATCGACAATCAACTTTCCGATTGTGTTTTCCCAGTTATATTAGCTCCAGTTCCACCCCCAAAAAGCGTCACGCAAAGTACCGGTGAGCACTTCTATTGAAAATGTAAATATTATAAAAATGTGGAGGAAAATTCGTCAATGTCTATATTTTTACAGTAATGAAACCATTTGCTGAACTCGGCATGGTTAAACGCTTATTAGAGCACAGCAGTGTCCAGCAGTTTCGGTACTTTAAAGTTCTTATACAAGAATTTCACGTGAAGGTGGATATTGTATTTATTAATGCAATAATGGGGCTGTTCGAAGCGAATGAAATGAACGACGCGGAAACGGTAAATTGTATTCGTATTATTATTCCTTATACCTGCATAAATGGTCACAGGGGACACTGAATTATTAAATAATTGCTCTGTTGTATATTATAGAGCAAACTATTTAAACTGGACATGAAATTGGTAGATGAACCTTTAATGTATCATGTCAGTTTAATCACTACGGCAGAACAGAAGAACTTCTTTGATTTACTTCATTTCTCACCCTTGAAGGTTTGTTTTTTTTTTTATAAAATATTACAGGACAACACTGTTTTAAGCAGACATCGTATCAAAACTATAAACTTGCATCAAATTTTTTTTACCCCTTCCAGATTCACATAAGTTTCTCAATGGCTGGTAGTAACAGTGGACCTTCTGCAGTGCCTCAAGTATTAAATGTATTATTACAAGGAATAGGTGTCACTTTAACCGACATCAACGACATTGTTTTCAAGTAATTCGATTCACAGTGACATTTCTAATTCGATTAATATCGATGTGTACCGCGAGGGTGTATAATTCTATTTTTTTCCCCCACAGACTAGCGTATTTTGAAAGGGATTACGTTTTCATGACCAACAAGCAACTCATTTCTGAAGCAACGATGCATTACGTGGGACAAGCAATTAAACAGGCGTACGTCCTCGTTTTGGGACTCGACGTAATTGGCAATCCGTATGGACTTGTAGTTGGTACTATGAAAGGTATTGAAGATCTGTTTTACGAACCTTTCCAAGGCGCTATACAAGGGCCCGGAGAATTCGCAGAAGGTTTACTCTTCGGCGTAAAGAGTATGTTGGGCCATACTGTCGGAGGAATGGCTGGAGCAGTTTCTAGAATAACCGGAGCTATGGGTATGTTTCTTCGTTATTTTAATTTTCAGAAATTATCGAAGTAAATTTATTGCTCTAATTTGATAATTTTCTAGGCAAAGGTATAGCTGCTCTTACCTTCGATAAAGATTACCAAAGGAAACGACAAGAACAGCTCAACAGACAACCTACTAACTTGCAAGAAGGTCTTGCTCGTAGTGGAAAGGGTTTAGTAATGGTACGAAAGTAATGGTGTCGCTTGTTTGTTCATTTTTAGAGAAAACTGACAAGTCATTACATTGCTCTAGGGTGTAGTCGACGGTGCAACTGGCGTGGTAATGAAACCTATATCGGGAGCTAAAGAAGAAGGTGTAGAAGGTTTCTTCAAAGGTTTTGGAAAAGGTGTCGTTGGCCTCGTCACTAGACCAACTGCTGGCGTTATAGACTTTGCCAGTGGGTCGCTTGGAGCAGTGAAACGGTATGTAAAAAAGAACAAATTTTGTTGAACCAATTAACGCAAATAGGTTTTACGTATTTTGACTTTTTTCAGCGCCACCGAGTTGAGCGAAGAAGCGAAAAGAGTAAGGCCGCCTAGATTTTTCCAACCAGACAATTTAGTCAGACCATATATACGGGAAGAAGCTGAAGGACACAAGATTCTAAATGTACATAATGCTAAAGTATTACCAAATTAACCCCTTTGCAGCGATCGATCTATTTGTTAATTTTTGCAGGAACTGGAGAAAGGAAAATACGCAAACACCGATATCTATTTTTATCATGTATTCGTTCTTAAAGATGTAGTGTTGCTCACAGACAAGAGGATAGCGTACATAGAGCATAGCGATTTATTCGGTGGATGGCGAGTTAGTATATTTTTTTAAAAGCTGACCAAGGAATTGGTACAAGGTATATTTAATTTATGTTTTTAATATGTATTTCGTAGGTCGATTGGACTTACACGTGGCAAGAAATCAGCGCGTTACCGAAAGTAGTCGATAGAGGAATCCAGATTTTTGTTAAGGGTAGCGGTAAGGGGAAAAAACTCGGAAACTTATTTGGTCGCGCAGACCAATCAAAAATAATTTTAATACCAGATGATAGAACGAGACAGGTTAGTGATTTAAATAAGTATTCTCTTAAATTAAATATAAATAGTAATATATTCTTCGTTGTCTTCGTAGCTTTTATGCAATAAAATGAAAGAACAAATCAATCAGAGAGAGATTTTAATATCATCGAAACCAAGCAAGAAAGTAGGTGACACATAAAACACATACTTTAATACCGAAGTACAGTTATTTAAACTGATAGTGCCTAGCGTCGTAAACTTATATTAAGCTTTGCAAGCGAAATTTCACAAATTCTATTATTATATACATTATAAAAAAAAAAAAAGAAGTTTTCTATAAACACTATTTACAAGACTGATGTTTAATCGAAACCAGTTTAAGGTGAAGGAAGATCAGTATATAATTTTCTATTTATTACGTTCCAATTTCATTTTTAAAGTTCCGATATTTTTTCTTATCGTCTGTTAATATTTTTACCGTTGAATGTGCCGATTTTAAATTCCATAAAACGTTATGATATTAACGACACTTAACAAATCGCTTCTTACATTTTCAATCGATGCATACAGTAGTAACTATCATGTTATGCAGTATTATGTGAAATCATTATTATAGCAATCGTCTTTATCGTTAAAGGTTCTTCATACATTTATACATACACATATTATATGAATGAAAGAGTATATGACCTTGAAATGGTAATGTTAATATTTAATTATTTTCGTATACAAAGTTACGCATAGAATCCAATAAAAAGAATCGTCAATCAAAGTACAGAATATACACAGACCTGCAGCTTTCGTAAAATATTTTACGCTGTGCTTCGCGAACGATAATTTTTATCGATGCATAATAATAGTCTTAATTGCATGATTATAAAATAAGGGAAAATAAGTTCAGTACATTCGAATGATTTTTAGTAGATTGTTCACAACGATATTATATTTTTTGTGTCATGTTACGTGATAATAAGTTTAATCAAAGTTAATTTTATATGCTATATGCACAGAAGCGAGAGTGCAAATTTAAGCGCACATCTTAAGTTCGATTAAACCTCTATGTGTACCTGCCTAACTATGTTACCATTGTACATATAAATACAAAATATTTCTAAAGATATCGTTTTTATATCGTGTATGACAATTGTTTTTTCTTAGATATTTATCGTCAAAATTTGATAGTAAGTTCGAGTATCTTTACATACAATATCGTAAGATTTTTTGTACAGTTTGTTACTTGGTTTATATACAGTATGAATCTACATTGTATTTCGACTAATTATAGTATCAGCCATATTTTTAATATTATGTATTGCGCGTTCTTAGAGACAGCCGGTACCGACCGTTGATAGCATATAATTATTACTAGAAAATGTACGCGTGCGAGTTAAATACACACATATATTTAAAAGTGGAAGAAAAATGTCCAAAGATGTTTCACTGTATCTTTCACAGCTTATAAGCTACATACGTTACTATTGGAGACGTACGAGAACCCATGCGTCAGAAGAACTAGAGCCAATATTTTAATACATCTTTCATTCTCATTATTATCAGAGTCATAACAGAGACTGAAATTGGTTACTTCAATGAACAATAGATATTTGTTATTATTTACTTATTAAAGTAAAACGAAGGATTTTTATTTGATAATTATTCAATCATACTTTTCTTTTGGGAACCCAACCCAACCATCCGGTTCTTGCACGCCTCTAGTTATTGTACAATCTAAACTACCCTTCAAATGAATGAACTATTTAGAACACGTTGATGCTGAAGAAAGATATATCTGTATTGTTATACAATATTATTTGTACAAAAGAAATGTACTATACGTTAAGAGAATTAAATCTTTTGCTTTGTATTGCTTTCTTTAATTTCGTCTTTCGTTGTGTATATATAGTAAGAGACTTTAATTCTTATCTCGTTTAACGTGCATTGTATTCCGTATATCGTCACCGATTACTATGCACGGTAAATGTTTCTGTACATCGTACGAAGCGCTGTAATTGTATACGTTTATATTGTTAGCATTGTATCACACGTTCGTTTGTTTATTTATGGATGCTTGACATTTTCTATCCACGTATATTGATATCTTAAATAAGTAAAATATGGAAACAGGCAAGAATAAACCTATACGAAGCATAAAGTGACAATTATTTGCTACTTAATTGTAAATATTATAAACGTAACATTTATTTCGTTCAATCGCGGTGGCGTAATGTATTTAGATAACATGTATACATTTAACGTTTAATTTAGTGCTCCAGATACAGTGCATGATTGTTTAAATATTTGATAGTATATATTATCAATCGCTCGATGCAAGGGGATCAAGAGATTCGGCGATTTATATCGGGCCCGCCGCAATTACCACCCCTGTTCGAAGGACAACAGATTCAGACAGTGAGCAAAATAAAAAAAAGCACAAGTTTTATATCAATTAATAAATTTATACTTTTCATCATTAGGGGCCCTATACTGTTACTGTCACGGCTGATATGGTAGCTCAGAGGGAACGAGAAAACGAGGAATTGCATAGAGCGTGGCTAGAACATCAACAAAGAAGAGTAATGGGCCCAGACGACGATGATTCCGATTATGTAGGGGAGTTTAAGCAAGAAGTCGTGAGAAGAAATTTCATTAGAAAAGTCTTCTCTATATTAACATTACAGTTGTTGTTCACAGCCTGTGTCATAGCGTTCTTTCTTTTTGTGTCAGTGTTATATGTTAAAAATACTAAAATCATTTAATTTTGATTTAGGAGCGTGATAAATTTTATTGTTCACATTTTAGGGACGCTGCAAGAAAATTCATGATAATACATTGGTATTTTTGGATTATAGCCATGTACGTAAACTTTATCACTGTTTACGAATATTTCAACGATCGATAACTACTTATTATTTTTTTTTGTTTAGGATATGCTTCACCGTTTCCTACTGCGTTGTGTCTTTCTCTAAACGCGCTAGACGTAAAGCACCATATAATTACATCTGGCTATGCAAATTGGTAAGACGTTTAATTAAATGCAGTCTCTGATTAACCAGGCGTTTATCGTTGGTCGGTAAATATAATTTAGATAAAAATTCAATAACGATTATTTGTTATTTTGTTCTTTGGTTGAAATGTTATACCAGGAACAGAGAAATTTGATTATTAGAAAAAGAACAGAAATTAGATTAAAATTAGTTCAACAAATTGGTAACAAAAATGTCAACTGTTATATTGGTTCCAGACATTGGCAATGTCGTATTTAGCTGCTTTTGCATCGGCATTTTATGAGGTCGAAATTATTTTAATGGCATTGGGTATGACGGCGCTAATTACATTCGGGATAGGCTTACTGGCAACATTTTCAAAGGTACATTTGCATACAAGTTTATTAAGTAATCCATAAGGAATGGAAAACAAATTTGATGTAATTTATAACAATGCTACAGTTTGACTTAACAATGAGAACAGGATTGATGATGATCGTCGGTTTGGCTTCCATTGTTAGTATTTTCGTAATGATGATACTTCTGATGTTTACGCACATAAAAGTATTACACGTAATTATTTCTGTTATAGGAATGATATTACTATCAATGGTAAATATACAATATTATTTACTTCGAATAGAATATACTTTGCTGTACGAAAAATATATTTAAAAAATAAATATATGTTCTAGTATTTGTACTTTGATGTGCAAACAATTATGGGTGGACGAAGAATAGAAATATACCCGGACGAAGTTGTATTCGCAACGGTGCAAATTTATGTTGACATTATATTGTTATACCAGTACGTGCTAATGTTTATGGGTTTGATTCATGAACGTTGAATATTGAGACGGTGATGACATTGTGTTACATAATTTTACACAGTATTATTTGGTATTGTTGACTACTATTTATGAAACGAATAAAGACGTTAATAAAAATTAATATTGTCAAATGTCTTTGGTTCGAATCATAATGTTACGAGAAAGTAATATGTGCTCCAATGACGTACAGGTCCGCTCATCGCAGGAGACTTTTGTAATCTGCGAAGCACGTGCTGCGTACCTAGTAATCCATCAGTGACGTAGTGGGGGAACGAGACTGGAAGTGGGAGAACGCAGTAGCATGCGCAGTAGCGCAGCACGTGTGCGACGCGTCTCCAGATTAGTCGGAAGTTGAACGTCGGATCAGATGCAACGTTCGTGTGGTACGTAGCGTTAAATATAATCTTTGTGAGTTCATACAGTGTGTGTTATGTTTGGAAATTGGAAATGGATGTCCAATCAAGTAAGTCATATAAATTCTTCAATTATTTTAAAATATATAAACGATCGAACGATTCAAACGCCTCCCGCCGTCTCCGCTAAGAAATTCTCATCCCCACTCCTAGTCTCAGCAATGATAAAGAATATAAATAAAAGCTCTGTTAGTTTCTAGGGCATTTTCAATGATTGTATGACCATAAAACTAGGTATTATAACTTCATTCCCCAATACTTTTTCCCCATGATTTACAGATACTAATTCGTGACATTGTAGTCGTTTGTCAATTCTGCTGCGTTACGCTGTTCTCTAATTTCCGTAAAATTTCGAACCGTTGTTGCAGCGTCAAGAAAATGTGTGACTTATTTAACAATTATATGCAAACGGGGGATTTTTAATTCATTTCGTTTGCAAAGAATACGGTACACCAAATATTCTCCTCGTGTTTGGTAAACTTCTAGTTGTTGCACGGTTCAAACGCTGGATGGCATTACTGTCGCAACGAAACTGAAGTCGCTAGCGACATAAGAGATAATTTGTTGGTAGACTCGATGGCTAAAGATGTTACCTTTTTAAATAACCGACCATAATTGCCCACTTTACTACGACTTTACATAATATGTACAGCAAAAAGTAATTCGGCAATCAGAGGGGGAGTAGAGGGGGAGTTAAAATAACATGACCGAATTACTGGAACCACTCTGTATCATGTAAAAGCCAGCATTCAAATTTTGTACAACCTGAGAAAGTTCTTGTCAGAGGTCTGGCTAAAACGTCCATCCAAACTCCTAATCCAGGCTCATAATTTGTTCCAGGTCTTTCTCCCCTTAAAATATATCTGCAAAGGAAGATCCATCAGAGCAACCTGTAACCAGGCTTCTGTGTACTAAGTGCCTTGTATTAAGCTAATTAATGGATGCACTTCAGCGCGTAATATGTATACTGTACCTCTTCAGGTTGCCACTCTGTGCAACTACACGTCCCTGCGAATCGATATTTCTAATATCATCCGATGGAAATGCAATCACCATGCTTCTCGTACGCACAATCGCAATGTTACGCAACATCGGGATGGATACAGAAAATATACGAAACAAGTTAGGCGTCTCTCGCGAGTCATATAAATGCAGATATTTCCTATTTCGATTCTCAGAAAACATCTGTTGTATCTGTTTCTCTGCGTCGGCAATAGAAGGAACTCGCTCCTCGGTAAATAGCTTTTCTTTCGAAGTTACGAGCGCGGTTCGCGCTTTCCATAACGTTGTTGTTCCCACGCGCGTTCAAATTTGAAATTAATAACATTCAATACCAACAACTTGCGATCTATCGTTAGTAATCCTCGTCAAGTTTGTCGCTGTAATTTTGGTTGGGATCGTAATCCATTCGCTGGTAATAGAAGTTCGCTAGACTAAACTGTATAAAATTCTTAAAAGACGTATATTTACAACTGTCTACTTTAACAATATTTACAGAAATAATATCTACACTCGGAGGTACACGCGGACCGAGAGTCAAGACTATAAATACTGCGCGTCCTCGTCATTGTTCATAACGTTTCTTATCCATCCGACGTAATGTTGTATCTTGGTGTAGACGTCGGGATATCCAGGTCTGGCGCATCCCGATCCAAACGAAGTCACACCCGCCAACTGCCAAACTCCATCCGCGCGTCGACACTGTAGCGGTCCTCCGGAATCACCCTAACGAAATTAGGATAATCGTATAACTCACAACGCTAACTAATAGTTGAGTATCTTCCGTTAAGGGGAAGTCCCTATTTCATTACTCTTTTAATTAAGCAGGTGGTAGTGAATAGAACCGAGCACCGTTCGTCGATCGTGAATTTGAAAGTCGAGCGGAAAGAAATCGTCGATATTTTCGTCCCCATCGGCGACCGAATCAGGACAACTCGAACGATGACCAAATTGCTACGCGAACAAGCGTAGCAAGATGCGCAATTACACGCAAGTGTATGCAAAATTAGAAAGTTTCGTGAGAAAGCATCGAAGGATTCCGATGGTAATCTCGCCGCGGCAATCACGGCAAAACGATCTATCGTTCCATCCCGATGGCCTTGTCGGTGAAGGTTGGCACCAGTTATCCCAGAAAAGCTCTAATCTCGTTGAGTGGATTCGTACGCGACGATCCTCGTATGCTAATACCTTATGTAATTGTGCACGGAGACCGGTTCATTCGAATCGCGATTAACCCCCTGCCGTACGATGACGAGTCTGACTCCGTCGTAAGCTCTTTGCAACAAGTTTCACAACGGGTCCGATTTAAAATTCGTCGTTCAGTATTAATTGTCGGATCTTTGTATTGACAAGCTTTAATCTTGTGATAAAAATAATATAATTTCCAACTATGCATGCCAAGGTTTGGCCTGGTAGACTTATCACGTGTCTGAGACGTCATTGTAAGCTAAGGGGTTGTGGCGTCGCTTCCCATGCTCACCGCCAGAGGGCTCGCGCTCTCACAAGCGCTCGACCGACTCCTCGATTGCTATATAAGCGAAGCAGTGCCCATAGGGTTAGTAACAATAACGAAATTGCGTGTGGGTACTTACGACGCAACTTCCGGAAGAGCCATCGGTGTGGCCCGCGCAAAGATGGCCGCTTCGGATCGGTACCGATTTCCCATACGCTTGCGTGCATCTTTCTAAATCGAGCAATGGCACAGTTGCTTCCAACAACGCGGTGGAAAGTGATTGAGTGGGACCGTAACGACCCCAGCCGGAAGCGATGCACAGACCACTCGCTAGTTCTTCCCCTGGTTCCGGAAGACATATCGTTCGCACTACCTTCGACAAAGGGGCTGGCCTGGCCAACTTCATCAGAGCTGTGTACACACTTCAGTATTAGACTATAATGATCGTAAGGCGTTGGTCCTGTTCGTTTGTTAGAATCAGAAATATTTTTATTTCATGGGGATTTAATGAGCTTGCAATTAGAATAAAGAATATGCGCGTACCAATGTCGTGCACGTAATTATTGAATCTCTCGTGAATGACGACTCGTTCAACTGGTAGCCTAGCCGAGCCACGCCCACCGGAGTCCAATTCCCATTCTCCTACAACTGCCGTCCATAATGCACCAATTGGCAAATTAAAAAGGTCACTGTAAACAAGTATCGTAGCTTCAGGACTCGAAAAAATAATCAACTTTTCTTTGGAACATTTTACAAAACAATGAATCTACCAAGACCAATATTTTTATAATATTCTAAAAAAGTATTGCTGGTTCAATTTTGCTCGCCACTGTAGCTTTTCCCAAGTTGCATGGACGAGAAATAATCTCACTTATAACCCCCATTTTTATGAGTTAAAGCAATAAGTCTACCAAGTCCAATATTTTTATAATATTCTAAAAAAGTATTGCTGGTTCAATGTTGCTCGCCACTGTAGCTTTTCCCAAGTCGCACGGACGAGAAATTCAACTCACTTATGAATGCAATGGGCGGCAGTAACGACCCAAGTAGGCTCAATGAGAACACCGCCGCACCAATGGCCGATGAACCCCAATTTTGGATGCAACAATTGAAGGGAGACCTGCCATGGCCAGGAACCTCGTTTGCTCGGTTTACCGTTGAATATTCGCCCGGTCGTCAATGTAATAGTCTTCCTTCCAACCGACGACGAATTCCTCCCGCTTCCTTCCGCCAAAATCCCACGCGGTTGCCTGTGTGTTGCTGCTGGACATCCGCATTCTGTTATTTAAAAACTCAAGGTTCTCACCTAATTGTGCTGTTCTCAAAAGGGGAAAACATTTCTTTGAAAACATAAAAAGGTGTCTTCAAGTCCTTTTTTTATTCGTTTTGTTCTTCGATCCGTTGCTTAGTACATGTCGCTGAAGCTTCGTCCAGTGGATCCTGCCTTGGTCGTAATTAGAGTTCTCCGACAATTTCCTATTTGTGAAATTCCTAACTTATTATTACAAAATTGCGTGACCAGTTATAAAAGAAATTAAAAAGTCCTGTACCAGTTTACAAATCCCATATCCTCGATCTCCTTGTTCGTAGATTAACGAAACAATTTCTCCCTAACGAGAATAGTGATATTCACAATTTTCTAAATATTACCAGTGACCACCAATCACATCAATCAAGGGTTGCAAAAACTGAAGTGAATTACTCGGCGGAAATTCATATTTATATCGAGATTATTAGTAATCATTTTCAGTATTGACACAAGTCATTATTAATTTCATAAATGTTGTATAATCTTTATTGAAAGACTCGCCGATGCGCGGCTTCCGGCGTGAGAATCCCATTTCCGGTCAACCGTTTACGCGGTATTTGCTTGGACACTTACGATCGGACGTTATACGCCGTTTTCAGTCAAAGGATTATTGATTATATTACTATAATCGATCTACTTACTCGAATGATTCTCTCGCACGTGCTTCAATGTCGCGCAGTCGATCTCCGCAAGAACGAAAAGAAGTATCGCTAGTCCACCGCGAAGATTCATCTCCTTAGAGCAGAGTGCACCATGTATCCCGATTGGTTCGTTCACTTCACTGTTTCTCACTGATCATAGTTATTTTTTATTTTCAGGAAAGGGTGCGTAGAGGTTATTCAGCGAGCAAAGTAAATTTACCGATCTCAGAGGTCGCTTCACGGTTCTAGTTTCGTCAGTCCCCGCGATTAAACGGACGCTCATAATAATCGTACGAGATTACGAGGGAACGGGGCGACGATCGATAGCACGAGCGATCCTCGCGCTGGATCGTCGACTCGCGGAACGAGTAAATCCTCGGAGGTAACCTAGAAGAAAGTGATCGTTCACGAGTGCCATCGAAAGAAGGGGGCACACACTTACGACCGCGGCGAACGAATGGAAACTGGCAGCTCTTAACGGACGCATATCGCTCTCACTAACGAAAGTTCACGCTGACTCTCGATGCGCCCCGTACTCCATCCTCGCGCGTCTTTCATGCCAATTAGAAACGTCCGTACCCGGCTATGTATATTACGATTCACGGTACATTAACCTAACTATTTGACTTGTTGCCTGGCGTGAAAGAATCGTTAAAGAAAGATGCTGTTTCGATGCATTCCGTTGGCGAACGGAACGCGTTTTTAACGCGTTCACCGTCAACCAGTAATTCGGAAAATTTTCACGAGGTATAATCATTTTATTTTTTAATCAATCCGGGAAACAATTTAACGCTAAAATTCATAATCCTGTTAGATAATACGGGTCCAAAAGTTGGTACTTATCGAGATATTAATGGGTTATTATTTAAAACAGCGAAGATTGTAAAATGCCCTATTTCTAACAAACTATACTATGTGTATAATGTGTTACGAGTCGCTTAGTTTCTCGCGAGTGCCAGCGAGGTACTAGAGTATGAACGATCTTTTTGGTCGTCGATGGAAACTAGATCTAACGCTGATTACTGTGCGTATCAAGCTTTAATCGTTCTCGCAAGAGACAGATTTCCATCGAGAATCATAAACGATCAATTTCACTCCTACATCGAGGATGTCGGTGACGCTGTGCATTACATAGGGTGTTTTCTCGTGTGACGAATTTTTTAACCTTTTTCTGGGGAATTTTTTCCAAAGAAACCGTAAGACTTTCTTATATGATTTTTCGAGCATACATTTGTTGCGCTATTATTACTATTCTCATTATTTCTTCCAGCTGAAAATAATACGAAAATGAACACGAACGTTGGATCAAATCCATGGAATCTTCCACGCGGTTAACATTTTTCTCTCAGACGGTTGGAAACCGTTTAATCTAACATTTAGTTTTTTTTAAATATTTCACCTTGATAATTAATTTTTGCAGATTCTTAATGGAACTAAGAAACGAGGTGTTAAATAAAATAGCTTAGAGCGAGTTCTGAAGTTCTCAGAGTGGATTTTAGGTCAACTTGAAAAAGGAACTCCCACATTGTCCGGAATCGATGGAGAACATGTTCGTTATCTGATCACAAATTGATCAATTAGAACTTTCAGAATTCTAAATAAAACGCGAATTAAACCAGTCTATGATTGCACCGTTAAAGGATAATACCAGTGAGCATTAACACATCGAGGCGACATTTCTTGTTTTATTTTTTTTCGAGAGGGAAAGCGTGTCGCGCATGCAAGCCGGCGGTTTTTCTCGAATTCCGCGTCGTTGCTGAAATTCTGTATCCGGTGATTATTGCTCGCGGCGCGTCTATCGGATAATTTCACGTTTACCGCGGTTGTAATTATTCGAAACGTAACGTTTTTTGCGACGTCAGCCGTAACTGTGAAAGTCGGATTACTGTTGAGTTAGTGCAACACACGAGAGCGATCGTTTCGCTTTTCTAAAACGATTTGTCGTGTCCTTAATTTGCAAATACCGACCGGGTCCATAAGTTTGATGCAAGACAGAGGTTTTGCATAAAATTAATGCCCGCGAATAGATCAGACTCGAGTGTAGGTCTTGCACGCTGGAAACTGCATGGAAGAAACTTGTCCATCAGCGACAACGATTGACAAGTTTTGCAGACTGTGCAACAACGGTGGTACTTGGGGGATTCTAGAGGCCAAAATGAGACGAAAATCAAGAATACCAATTTATTAATGGAGGCTTTGTTAAAAAGTTGTTAACGTTTAAAGTTCCGCCCTTCCTGAATTTTTTTCTCGAAAATGCGCAGGATTTCGGGGGTATGTCTGTTCACCAAAAATGATTGTAATCGACCCCCGCAACGGAAAATAATTTTTCCAAAACGATTTGAAATTTTTTAATTTTGTCGAAAAATTTCACACCTCCAATTTTTTTCTAGAAAGTGGGTAGGAATTCGGGGGTATGTCTATTCACCAAAAATGATTATAATTGACCCCCACAATAGAAAATAATTTTTCCAGAACGATTTGAAATTTTTGAAAATTGTACCCATTCTCGAATTTTTTTCTCGAAAGTGAGTAGGATTTCGGAGGTATGTGTATTCACCAAAAATGATTATAATTAACCCCCACAATAGAAAATAATTTTTCCAGAATGATTTGAAATTTTTGAATTTGGTCTCTAGAATTCCTCATTAAAATTTTTCCCAGGGGTGGCCGAACACCCTGTATACCTAATGTACACCGTTATCGTACAGCTGGTGCTGTCGTTGCACGTGTCCGTGTTCGTCCAATGTTTAGTAGGCGTTTATGGGAGCTGATTAAATCGCGTATCGTACAAAATGAAATTTCCGTATTGTCCACGGTCCGCGCCGGCCCGTTTTTAACGCGTCATTTTGTCCATTTTTTTCCCCCGTCATAACGTAATGTCATTTTGCCTAGGAATTGTTCTTTTCACATTAATTATTTTCCCCCGCGCCATTAGCTGATTAAGCACAGTAATCTCGGGGGACGTCAGAAAGGTGCGTCGTTTAATATTAAGGATTAATTTTCCTTGACACATCATTCGCGATTTCGTATTATTCCACACAAAGGTAGAGAGAGAGAGGGGAGAGGCAAGAATCGAAAATACAACTATTTTTTAGCTCATTATATCCACAATTAATTTTTTTACAAAAAACATCTTTATGCTCTATATAGTATTATCTTAAAAAGCATATAGAACTATTAAATTTCTTATATTGATTACTGTTGTTTACTTATTGTAGTTTTAAAGATGTAGGGAAACGCTTTGTTAGCCAACGTGTCTGTCCATTGCTCGCTATTTCTACTTGTGTTTGTGTTCTTAAACATTGATCGTAATATGGTATTATTTATATTTAATTAATGTTTACCATATCCTAATTAGTTACAAACGATTGAAATAAATAACACACCGCGATCAATGATTCGTAATACTATCCCAAGTAGAAATAACGAGTAATGGACAGACATAGCGCCGCAAGCTTCTTTTTTTCCAATTTGCTTGCTCGAATACCGTAGCCATTAAGAAAATTAAATACAATAAAACAGTGTTATAGCTTCAATTAACATTCCAACTACAAACTAAAAAATTTGTATCAACCGATCTAATCCTTGCATTTTTCTGCTTTAGGTTCGAGTGTCCACGTGCATCGTTTAATATATTTTATAATTACATCGAATCTTATTCGATGAACATTTGAGCCGCTAATAGCATCCGTATATTTGACAAACGAATAATTCACGAAGATGTCTCATCCCTAGTTCGGACGCGGCCGGGTTTCGGCGATCCTAACCTTTACCAACGACCGTAGCGCGTCACGGTCTGCGCCGTTCTAACGCGCAGAGAATTGGTTAGAACGGTACGGCCGAGCGGACGGTGTTGACATGCGCGAGCTGGCCCGAAGATACGTCCGTGAAACGAGCATACCGCGTCTCCCATAACCGTGCAAACGGGGAGAGTGCGCGTTCCTGATCAGTAGCACACTTTCATCGCGGCGAGGAAAGCGAGGCGAGTCGACCGTTTCGGCCAGCTCGAGGATCATCGTCTCGACGCCGAGAGACGAGCAGCCCGCGCGTTCGTAAAAAGAGTGACGGAGACGGGATCGAACGGCGTACGACAAGGTGGTTCGGGCAGAGAAGCGTGGCCTGGGCGCTCGAGCATTTTAGAAAGAGAGCCGGACACGTACGAGGAGAAAGGGAGAAACGACGACGACGACGTATCGTGCCGGGACGCCAGCGGGACGAGCGTGTTTCGATCGTTGGAAATATTGTTGTTCGTTTTTGCGCGAAGGTGGAGGAGGGGGGGGGGGCGAGGGGGAGGAGGTTGTCGGTTTAGAATTGAACCGTTCGAGAAAGTCGCGACTGTCACGGGGGAAAGGAGGGGCCACGACCCTTACGAGAGATGCACGTACGTGACACTGACCGCGAATTATAAGAGAAACGTCACCGTGCCGACTGCCACGGGACCCATGGACGAATCGGAGACGGAGGGTTGATCCTGTTCTCACGTCGGTAACGATCACCGTGGTGCACGATGATTCATCGGGCCATCTGACGTTCCAGACAAAAGGGCCGTGGACGATCGAACGCGCGAGGCAAACGTTGTCGTAAGTAGTGGAGCCTTCTCGCATTCAGAGTAGCCGTTCGACGCGGATTAAGCTCTCGAGACACTTGACTTTTATAGAAGACACGGTCTTTCTTCGAGAGGGACGTTTCGATTCAAGATGGCTGATTATATCGTGCACCCGATGCAATAATATCTCGATCGGTTGCACGTACGTAGATAGAGTTAACGAAGTCAGATCCTCGATGCGGAGCTATAGGGTGGTCCAGCGCCTGTTGCCATCTTCGTATATCGACTGCCAAGCTGGTTTCATAACTTTCTCGAGAGACTACCCTGTCTTTTTTTTTATAAGTTTTATTGTCTATACCTTGTCGCTTTAATGTCACGCAATCGTTGATGAATATACAGACCTAGCAGGCCTCTGTAACTTGATTGCTTTCCTTAAAATACAATGTCCCAAAAAATTAATCTAACAAATCTGGTAGATCTATTAAGCCCCAATACACCAACCCCAGACTCTAACTTTCTTTTCATACGTATGGATCATTTCCACGCTTCTCTTCCTCCTAATGTACCTAGTGAACCGAGAGATAACCTCCGTCGTCAAAGAATTGCTATTGAAATGTTCGATTCCGTTTGTCTTCAGGGCAGAGAGATCCAGTGGACCGCTCAAGAGGTAGTGATGAGTAGAAACAACGAGAATGGCATCTCCCTGGCGACACCTCCGGCGATTCACGTTGGACCCATCGTGAACCCGAGCACCAACGAGACGATCTCGATCGTGATCCCGCTGTCGGCGCAGCTGGCGACCGTCACCAACCAGAAGATCGAGAAGCCATGCAAGGACTGCAACAAGGACGCGAAGCAGTCGTCCGCGTCGCGGCCGCGGAACGACAAGACAAAGGGTTGCCCGTATCCGGGTTGCACGCGGTACGGTCGTGCATTTTCCAGGGCGCACGATCTCAAGCGTCACATAGCCCGCCACGAGATGAGAAAGGAAAAGTTGTCCGATTACGAGAACACCGCGGCCGCGATCAAACAGCAGCTGGTCGGGAACGAGACCATCAGGAACATAGCGAATCGACCCGCCGACAGGCAACACGCCACGTGGACCGACGATCCGCGAGAAGCTCTCGCGAAGTTTTACTGTTGCCTCCATTGTACCAAGAAGTACACCAGCGAGACCAAGCTGATGGCCCACATGAATTCCCACGGGAAGGTACATGTCGATTCAGCTCCGAGCACGCGTTATTTATAATAGAAATCTTGTATGGAACTCGGGTAGCGCAAAAACCGCGGAAACTTTCAGGATGACCTAATACTTTCTAAGCGAAAATCGAGACAACTGTTAGAGGGAAATTGTTCCACGATTCGTCGCCGTCTACTTTCTTACGAGAGTATATTTTTTCGAAAAACTGTACCGATGCGCCTGTAAGAATGCAGAAACATTTCCCCGTGCCCAACTTTCTCTATCTTCGTTTAGAAAGGAGCTGGAGTCCATCCCAATTGCCAGACCGATTTGTACATTTCGCTCTTTGGTAATTATTTACCGTGTTAATAGCCTCTGTTAGTTGCTCTGTTTAAATACCGTAGATACAGCGTTGAATGTAAAATAAATATTAAGCTCGATAACTTCAGTTTTATGCAACGATGATTCGATTAGTTTTCGTTAAAATTTTCACTATGTACAGCAGTTGTTTCTTCGCCTTTTATTTTTATTTACATACTTTTGTTAACGCGGTTAATAAGTAGCCGATATTTAATTCGATTCTAACGCAAGTACGTTTGGTACTCGATAGGTGGCGGGCAAAAACGTCTGCGCCGTTTGCGGGACGTGTTCCAGAGACGGTGAGGAACTGCAGATGCACATGAGACAGCACACGGCTCACACGTTGGAGGGTCAGTCGGCTATTGGGAAAGGCGAGTCGCAAAAGGACCAACCCGACAAGGAGGACGATTTTCTTTTGGAAGAGATGTTGCTTTTGAATAAGAATCCACGGCGAACCGCGCAGCCGGAAAAGGCGAGCGCAGCGTCCAAGATCAGATGCGACTACTGCTCGAAAACCTTCAAGACCAAATGGACGTTGAGTTCGCACGTGGCGGCGCACGAGGGACGTTTCCAGTTCGATTGCAACCAGTGCGGAAAGAAATTCGTCCGGAAGAGCCACTACGAGGGTCACGTGCGGTCCCACGAAGCGGCGAGGCCCTACGTGTGCGAACAATGCGGCAAAACGTTCAAAGAGCTGAAGCACAGAAGGGAGCACACCAAGAGAAAGCATCCTACGAATCAAAACGCGATACAGACTCTGTTGGACAGCATCAGTCCGTGCGCGTCGGACGATTTGCCGGCCGATCAGACGAAGTTCACTCTATTGATGCCGGTCAACTTCTCCGTGTAAATTTTTCTTTCATGAGAACGATAATGGAATATCGTTTACTCTGTTATACAGGGTGTATTCGAACGCGTGGCCCTATTTCGATGACCTTGATATATATGTTGCCAGAAATCACTGTTCCAAGTAACTTTTTTCCCCGGTGCATGTTCCCAGCGCCTCAGCTTCAGTTTCCGAGATATTCGCAGAAGATTGCTGCTACCACGGTAATGCAGAGTTAATGATTCAACCCCCCTCCAATCCCCTCCATTCGGTATCTCGAGCTCAACGAAATCTAACTCGACGGAAGAGGAAAGAGAATCGATGAAACGAAAGTAAGCAAGAGGCACGAAGTACAAAGAGAGATGCCCGTAAGAAGATGAAGATGCAATAAGAAAGAGTTTTACTTTCCATGTTTTTCATCTTACCTTTTTATAAACGATATCAATGCATTACTGTGTACTATTGTTTATATTGCAGTTAAATGTAGCGCCATTTTAGAATCAATGTTTCCATCTCGGTAATTTTCAACGCATCTCGCCATCTTGTCCCACGATTTACAGCCACTGTATGAATCGTAACCACGCTACCATTCTACGCTTAACAGAACTTACATATAATTATTATATGTAATTTACATGAAAACAATCGTTTCGAATAGAAATATAACTTTTTTTCGTTTAATTCCTGAACCAAAGGAACGATTCTATGAATGTGCTTTGAACGAGTACCACACAGACCAAAGACAATCTTAATTCCAAACAATATTCGACCTGTACATACAATGATTCTAATAAATCAACCAAAATATATATATACACATTGTTTTCAGTCATTGTGAGATTACATTAAGAGACCGTTCGTCGAATTTTGTTTATTAATTATTTCCAACCCCGGATTGTACAGTACTGTTACCGATGCAGCAGCGTTAGAATTGAAGCACCGTGTAGAAAAATCGTGAAAATCGACAAGTACGATCGAACAACAAGACGTTGCGTGCTGCTTTGTTTCGTTGCCTCGAGTGCATCGGACATTTTAATTTTATTAAATTTTTATTCCCAAGGAACGTTTTATTTACGATGCACCGATATAAACCGGCGTTTTAACAAGAAAAGCACGACGACGTAATCGTAGCGCCGTTAACCGCAAAGGAAACAGAGCTTTTTATCCAGTGTACAAGGAAGAGTAATCTTTGTCTCCTTGTTTTAAATGAACGTCAACAAGCGACGAAGAGTACAGACCAGAAGATGCGAGAAGCTCGAGGATTTACAGGGGAATTCGAAGAAAGCCACGTTTTTGGACCAAGGCTACCAACGATATGTATTGGACATGCTTCCGCCGGAAGTCCTGGAGACGATTCTACGACTACTACCTTTTCATGATGTGGCCACCTCCGTGCGTTTAGTTTCCAGGTGATTTATTACACAGGGTGTTCAGCATGGGAGAAATTTTAACGGGGGATTCTAGAGGCGAAAATAAGACGTAAAAAGTTATTAACAATTAAATTCAACAATTTCAAATCGTTCTGGAAAAATTATTTTCGGTTGCGGGGGTCAATTACAATCATTTTTTATCATTAGACATACCCTCGAACTCCTACCCACTTTCGAGAAAAAAATTCGAGAATGGGTGCAATTTTTCGACGAAATTCAAAAATTTCAAATCGTTCTGGAAAAATTATTTTCGGTTGCGAGAGTCGATTATAATCATTTTTTATCATTAGACATACCCTTGAATTTCTACTCACTTTCGAGAAAAAAATTCGAGAATGGGTGCAATTTTTCGACGAAATTAAAAAATTTCAAATCGTTCTGGAAAAATTATTTTCGGTTGCGAGGGTCGATTATAATCATTTTTTATCATTAGACATACCCTTGAATTTCTACTCACTTTCGAGAAAAAAATTCGAGAATGGGTGCAATTTTTTGACAAAATTCAAAAATTTCAAATCGTTCTGGAAAAATTATTTTCGGTTGCAAGGGTCAATTATAATCATTTTTGGTCATTAGACATACCCTTGAAATCCTACCCACTTTAGAGAAAAAAATTCGAGAATATGTGCAATTTTTCAACAAAATTCAAAAATTTCAAATCGTTCTGGAAAAATTATTTTCGGTTGCCAGGGTCGATTATAATCATTTTTGGTCATTAGACATACCCTCGAATTCCTACCCATTTTCGAGAAAAAAATTCGAGTAGATACTGAAATTTTCTGACGAAATTAAAAAATTTCAAATCATACTAAAAAAATTATATTTAGTTACAGGGGTCAATTGCAATCATTTTTGGTGAATAGACATGCCCCCGAAATCCTTCGCATTTTCAAGAAAAAAATTCAAAACGGGCGGAACTTTAAACGTTAATAACTTTTTAACGAATTTTATTTTGGCCTCTAGAAACACCCTGTATATTGCTGAATATTAATTCAGAAAGAATCCGTCAAAGAATGCTCGCCTGTCGAGCCTTCAAACTTGAATTTTATAACTTCAGTAATACAGGTAAGGTTGGCTCAAAAGAGACCACCCACGCGTTTTCTAAATTTCAAATACTGGCTGCCTCGTTTATGTAAGCGAACCTAATTACATGCTGGTTGTTTTAGCATTAACGATGTCCTGCCATCTGCCAAATATTCAAAATTAATATAATTAAACTAAATAAACCGTATTTATTTTCAGACACTGTTCGACAGCTGCCGCGACCGTGTTGAACAGCGCGTTCCTTGCGTTTGGCCCGAGGCTGGACAACTTAATAGATCGCAGCGATAGTGTGTTAAAACACGCGAAAACGAATGCCGCGCTTTTGGTCCAAAGCAAAGCCCTGAACGCTTTGGCGATGATCAAGGCGCAGTACAAAATGCTAAGAGCCGTCACGTGGCGATACACGCATCCGCCGACGAACCAACAGAAATTCCCACGTCTTTGTTTTTACGCGGGAAGACTGCTCGACGAGCTGAACGAGCTACTCAGAACCATCGCGAACTTGTCCATCGCCAACTCTAGCCTGATGGATTCCATCGCCTGTTTCGTTACCGTTTGCAAACGGTTCATGAACTTCTTCGAGAAGGTCTCCGAACGCAAGTTGAACAGGTGAACCGATTTCGCGAAGAAACTCTTTTCAAATGACTTTTAAAAATTTCTAAATTAACACAGTCATGAGAACTACTCTGTAACTATTATCATTAGTGGATTGAAACGAGTCAGTTTGTATGCAAAACGTGTATCGACGAAACTAATATTAGCAGATCGGCGCTGATCTCCGGATGCAAAATCGTGGATGTTCTGGACTGCCTCGTGGACGGCAGGCAGGTGTTATTTTTCAAAGTGACGCCGAAGGCGGGAGTCACCAGCAAGACCGTCACCATGAAACTTCGATACGTGATAAAACACGCTTGGTTCACGTGTCTGGAAATCACCAAGAACTCTATGGACAACTCCTGGAGGGACGAGCAACGCTTCATGTACCTTAGACTGCGTCGTTTGGTGGGCAGCGTGAACGAGCATCTGTTCGAGAATTTATTTTACGAGCATGAGCTACTTTTACAGGTGATTCTATGAAAAGTAAAAATCAACGGAAGGGTAACTCGTCGAAGAAATTTCCCTCTTTCTATCCTTTCTTCCTCAGGTGCCTTTGCCGCTTCGGTTGAGGCCACCGCCTGCTTCCACTTACTCGGGATACGGGGAGTACGGTGGCCAGTTCTTTTACTACGGGAACATGAACAAATACGCGTACGAGAGCAAATTCGTGCATAGTTTAAACTCGTTGAACAATACGCTCGAAACTAGACAGCAGCTGCGAAGGCCGCCGACCTTCGACTTGATAATCGAGGTAGAGTTCAAATGTACGCCCGAGCTAGCGCCGCTCGCTGTTCGTAAATTCTTGAAGCCCGACGAGTTCGAAGCGTACGAAACGAAAACGTCCAGGCACCAGCAGCTGTTCTTAAAAATGAACGTAACTTGTCCCGCCTCGACGGCCAACAGATTGCCGGGCAACTTCGTCTGGGAGCTGCACAGTCCACGACGTACACGTAAACATTCGTAAACAATTTTAAACCGTGTCGCGAAACATTCTAACACAAGGTAGAATCGTCGCAAATTCTTATATATCTTATATTAATTTTTATTCTATTAGCCAATATATACAGCAAAAACCATAACTGAACCGATAACTAGAAGTTTTGTAGAAATCATTATTTATTGCTAAGAATACTAAGGAACATGGAAACGTAAATATTATATACACTTTTATGACGATTAGAAATTTGTACAATTATTGTCACCGCTGAAAATGCGAGTCAATTATTTTTTTTTTTTTATCAGTTACTTTTCGTATATATTACATGCAGTAACAATGATTTACCAAAAAATTCGGAATGTTGGTTCAGTTATGCTACTTACTATACACGCATATACAAAACCGAACATTTAATAGTTATTCGTAGAAGAGTAATAAAATATGTTGCATATATGTTAGTAGCCCAGATCAGAAGAACTAGAATAAAAACTGCAGAGTATATGTTTTTATTTACACTATACTTTCGAGGTATAAAAATTAATTTGATGCGGACATTTCTATAGGCGGAGACTCTATTACCTCTTCGTCTACCATCTGCGGCATCCACCTCATCTCGTTCAATTTTCTAGCACGGTTTTCTAATATGCTGTACGCGTAATGATTCAGAAGAATTCCTTTGGGTAATGCTATGGCTTGAAATCTATAAATATTGTCCGAATTCGGTAACTTGTGGACAACGGCGATCGTGCAGCGTCCTATTAAAGATGTATTGCCTACCATCGGGCCTTTACTAATATCTATATGATCTCCTACTCTGTACAATGTGATTTTATCATCATTGGCTCTTGCGATATCCGGTATCTGTTGAAACTTGAACGGATTGTCTTGGAACATATCGAGCGCAATCTCTTCCGTAATTTCTATCCTCTCTATGGGCAATTCTTGATTGATCAACTTTACGAATTGGGCCGACATCGCGCGCATTTCCTGGTCCGTGGGCTTCCAATCGGGCAGATCAAGGTACACGTCGTACACGAAATTACCTGATTTTATGTGCGGTACCGGGAAACTGTGCAAATGAACCTGTACATCCGATTTAAATGCAGATTCTATCATGGCGCCTAACAGGAATGAACAGGTTCGCCAAAATGCTATGTTCGCTATATTGTTTTTCGGGCTCTTCATGTTTACCAACTGCAATCGGCAATCGGATACCAAAGGTCTGTGCATATCCCACGGAAAATCGTCGACCAAAGCGATGGCGGACACTCTTACAACACCTTCGGAGATGTGTTTCGCGCAATCGGCGGGCGTCGATAAATATTTATTCATTACAAGAGTAATCTCCTCCACGGGAGACTTATAGTTAACTTCTATCTTCTCTATCCTCCCAACGAGGTCCCTCTGCCTTTTCTTCTCCTTCTCAAATATCTGATTTCTCCTTTCCTTTACTTCGGCTTTCGACAGTATGCTGCTGCATCTTAATTGTGCGTGAGATGTTTGTAATCTCAAAACGTTGAAGCAGAAACTTCTGCACCTAAAATAATAATATTCTGTTACAGACCCCAGTGCCAAGAGGCTTGCAGAAAAGAATCTTAGTAAATGTGTTAATTGGAGTTATTTTAACAATTTATGAACATACCTTTGAAACATATTGAAATGTATGAATTTGAAGCTTCTTGGAAAAAGAACCTACATATACAATCAGACTTCTAGATCTTGGTTTTCCTTTCTTCCTTTAGTTGACAATATGGCGTCTAAAAATATAAACCAACAATTTATTTATCAATTAAACAAACAAGAACAAGTTCTAGTAGGACTTGGGTATAAAATTGTTAATCAATAGCGATTGATAAGTCTCAACCTGATACGTACACGATCGCTACGATACACCGGTTATAACGCTATTTCCAAACACACAGTCAGTACACTTGAGATACGTTTTCATATCATCTATCAGTCTGAAAGGCAAAAGATTTGATCAAAATTAAGAACGGTATATGCCTCGATAGTTACAAATGCTTATAAAATTGATGGTTAAATTTATTGTGTTCTTCCACTCGTGTTACTAGCTTGTTAGAAACACTAAATAAGTGTTGGAAAACGGGAAAGCACAAATTACCCACGGAACATATAGGAATACAAAATCTGTCATAGGGTTTTTTTCGAACTTATGATACATTCCTGAATAGAGCGTGAACTCGCGAAAGTGAACAAACCAAATACAATTTTGGTTCCGCGATAAGCTCTTTTTACACATGTTTCATTTTCTGGAGAAGAATATAATCCCTATTGAACTAAAATATTTTGTTCGAATCTAAAATACGATGCGTAGATTATCATTTACTTCGCATCCATTTGCATCTGCCCAAAGCAATTGTTATTCGATGACCAAGAAATTGATTCTAGATATTCGTCGCGACATTCGATGAGTGATCACGTGTAGAACGAAAAAATTAGAAAACATCGTTGGAGTATTTGAACAATTCGAACGTTCCTTGTTTACGATATGGAGAATTAACAATGGCGTATGATTGATAGTTGCTCTAGAAATTAAATCGCATTTTAGCACGATGTTGATGTTTTGTCCGATTTGCGGTAATGTGCTTCAAGTGGAGGAAGCCTTGTCGGGATTACGATTCGCGTGCAACACGTGCCCTTACGTGCTTAATATCGCGAGGAGAATTAGCAGCCGTACGTATCCAAAGCTGAAGGAAGTGGACGACGTGCTGGGCGGAAGCGCCGCTTGGGAGAACGTAGATTCCACGGACGAACGGTGTCCAAAGTGCTCTCACCATCGAGCGTATTTTATGCAAATTCAGACAAGGTCTGCTGACGAGCCTATGACTACGTTTTATAAATGTTGCAATCCTCCATGTGGCCACAACTGGCGCGACTAAAGGTACTCGAATTGTTCAGATCACACGACGGTAACTCGAACCAAGCTTACAGGTTAGAAATATTTCCGACTATTCAATCACAGAGTAAATTTTTAACGACATTTGTCACAATGTTTGGACACTACCATATGTCCAATTAATACACCAGCGTCTGTGAATAAATAGTATCGTAACACGGAACGATATCGATGCGTTATTATGAAAATATCGTCCGGTAGCCGTGAATGTTTTGACAATTGTTTTGACCCACCTGGTGCGTCATTAGCCAAACAAGTGCAATGTACCGTGACTCACGGGTTGAGTCATCAATCTGGAATTTGTTAAAACATTTTGCGCGCAATAATGTGATTTAACTTAAATTTTTATAATTCAAGAACGAAGTTTTTTTTATTCTCTGTGTCTATAATTGTTAATAAAATAATTTTTTTTCATTATCATTAGCACTTTAACGATAACGGATTAATTAACTAATTTTGTATTTTGAAAATACAGTTCTGTTTCGAATACAGCGGAAAGAGAACAACTATGACTAGAGCAGATCTGGGTCCAATGAAGAACATTTTGGATAGAGCTATGGAAGAAATGAATCTATTAGACTCATCTAATAAACATTGGATCTGTAAAGGAAGAAGAAGCTTAGCAGTGGCGGTTACGTTTTTTCGGAAAAATAAAATTATAGCAATTCCAACAGATACGGTATACGGTCTTGCTAGCGTGTGCGAACCCAGTGCAATCAAAAGATTGTACGAAATAAAGGGACGTAACGAGAACAAACCGTTATGCATATCCGTTGGTAATGTAACAGATATACAAAAATGGGGTATTGTAGATCATTTACCACAGCAGTTATTGCCAGATTTATTACCCGGACCATATACAGTTGTTTTGAAACGAACGCCTGCTGTACATCCTTCTCTGAATCCCGGCGTCAATACCATAGGCATAAGAGTTCCAGACTTTCCATTTATAAACAAAATCTCAAATATAATTGGACCATTAGCGCTAACGAGCGCTAATCGAAGCAACGAACCGAGTTGTTTGCATGCTGAAGAATTCCAAAACTTATGGCCCGAATTGGACGGAATATTTTACGATACACGCAGAGCAGGCGATGCGCGCGACATATTCAGAAAAGGTTCCACGATAGTCGATTTATCTTGTCCGAATCGGTACAAAATTATACGCGTTGGAGTCGGGGCACAGTATTTAATTGGAACTGTGGAATGTGCCGGATTAAAGCCATATGATCCTGATTAATTGCATCGTTGATGATTTATTGTTACTCACGTTACAATGTCCAAGCGAGACGGGTATTTTTTAATAGCAATAAACAATTTTACACAACCGAAACTTATGCATATAATTTTGTAAATAATTAATAAATCGTCTGATAATACCAATTATGGTTTATTTATTTTTGGGGAATATATCTTTTTTGTTGATCGAAATACTATCGAAATCGAGCAAGTAATGTTGTAACATCTTTTATTTAATCATCGGTGTGTACAGAGAATTCTCAAACGAGAATTCTAATTTATTACAAATAGTTCCACAAGGTGGCATTATAATAACAAATGTTAAGCAATAGTTTCTATCCTGAGATATCTCTCTAATTAAATTGTGTTAATAATTCATTGGTGAGTACATTGCCAGTGCAAATCCTAACAACATTGTATTGTCTTCTTGACGAGATATATATCACATAATATTGTTTCAATATATTATCATTTTACTGACTAAGTAAATGTTTATGAATGCTATCGATATAAATATGAAACACAATCAAAGGGGCGTCGAGACAAGTGTTTAAAGTAAATAAATAATAAAACGCTAGCTTTCAGTAATGAACTAATAAGAGACAAGTCAGTCGAGACAATAACGTTTGAAGATCTTCTTGCATGTTATTGATACCGTAGTCTACATGCATCATAAAATGCGCATTATTAATTTCCCTATATCATAAGTACATGTACACCGAATATTTATAACGAACACTTGCGAGATACGGTCACGGGTGTCACTTAATAAAATATAATCGATAAAATGCATTTAAACACCACCGTTGAAACGTGACTACCAAACAGAACACAGTGTACGTGTGTGACCATATTTGTGAATTTCACTATGGAGGTATGTATAGTACCAATAAAGCTGTGAATAACTTTATCCGATTACAAATCGTTAATTAGGCACGCCAAAAGTTACACCTATATTTATGTACCCATAAATCAGTTTACCTGTTAAAAATTAATAAATCAACGCAACCAATGTCCACGTGTTCTTTAAAATACATGCACATTCGAAGGACATACATTTTTAACAAAAAAAAAAAACACTCGAGAATATTTTCAAAACGTTTTTTTACATAGATGTGGTTTTTTTTTGAACCTCCTTTGGATCTTTTAGTTTAAAATGCACATTGCGAGTTTCTGTATATCAACAGTAAGAAAGTACATATAATATGTGTATACATACATAATGTACAACACACACTCGTGCACACGCGCGCGCGCGCGCGCGCACACACACACACACACATGTGTATCCATGGATGTACTAACCACTACAATAAAAATTCACGTATTCACTCGAGACTTGCACACGTATCTTTATCACAATACTGCGTTGCCATTGATGCGAGTTAATTATATGTCAACTCACATAAGATTGGTATGTATACTTTCGGTAAATAATTATTAAAATAGCGATCATATAATAAATAATCAATATAATTATTAACACGCACACGCACACGCATAAATGTGTGACAACATAAGTGTCGTATGGGATATTCGTAACTGGCCTCTCGTCAAACATCTCACAAAGTTCAATCAAACTTCTCGAACACTCGAACTCATCCCGTTACCTTTTTTAAATAAAAGCATCCAAACCGCCCTCGCAAACATGCATACCGTTACGTCGCGCAATTTCCATTCCGATCACTAGACATTATGCAAATAAAATTTTCTGTCTTTATTTACTTTTAATTCTAAATTTGTAAATATTCTTTTTTTCCGTTTACAGTGTAAGTCAGTCTAATCATCTTTCGTAGAAAACGTTCCTACCGAGCCTTTCTTACCTTCGCTTTTAAATATCCCTACCAGGCTACTCCTTAATCTTGCGTAAATTTCTTTGCAGACCGTTGACGTGAATTTGGTCATTAAGCAGCCGATCGCTGCGGTAGCGAAGATCAAATTATACAACAATACTAGTTTGAAGTTACCAAGCCACTCGATGCGCCCAAAATCACCGAGCAAATCAAAGTTCGTCATGCCTAGAACGAATTACAGAAGAATGTTATCGGAGTTACGTATATTTTTTCAGTTCGCCACCCATAGTTATCCCCCCCCCCGCCCTCTGCTCTTCAGAGATATTCCATTTTATTAATTCGAATTTTTTGTGTTTCAGGACAAATTTGGAAACGGATTTTTCTATATGTAGACTGCAAAGATTAGCTTGAAGCTATCAGTTCTACACATTGGGATGTTTTGGAATCTACTTTATGACGTTAATTATGGAATAACATAACAGTGAAGGTATTAAGGTGTCCCGTTTTTAACATATATAATAGGCAGCGAACTTGTTAACACTTTGACTGCCACGCAACACTTCATAGAAATTGATCTTTTATTTTCGACGTTCCAATGAAAATTTTTAATCGTTCAATGGACCACAAAGTGTCAATTTTCATTCGACTCTTACAATTGTAAGTAGATCAAGCGCTCTGGTCACCGTGTTCGACCAACCGTGGGAAAAATTTTAATGGAGGGATTCTAGAGGCGAAAATAAGACGAAAATCAAGAATACCAATTTGTTGATGGAGGGTTCGCTAAAAAGTTATTAACAATTAAATTAAAAAATTTCAAATCATTCTGGAAAAATTATTTTCTATTACGGGGGTCAATTATAGTCATTTTTGGTCATTAGACATACCCTCGAAATCCTACCCACTTCCGAGAAAAAAAATTCGAGAATCGGTGAAATTTTTCGACTAAATTTGAAAATTTCAAATCGTTCTGGAAAAATTATTTTCGGTTCCGGGGATCAATTATAATCATTTTTGGTCATTAGACATACCCCCGAAATCCTACCCACTTTCGAGAAAAAAAATTCGAGAATGGGTGCAATTTTTCGACGAAATTAAAAAATTTCAAATCATTCTGGAAAAATTATTTTCGGTTGCGGAGGTCAATTATAATCATTTTTGGTGAATAGACATACCCCCGAATTCCTATCCACTTTCGAGAAAAAAATTCGAGAATGGGTGGAATTTTGTCGAAAAATTCAAAAATTTCAAATCATTCTGGAAAAATTATTTTCTATTACGGGGGTCAATTATAATCATTTTTGGTCATTGGACATACCCTCGAAATCCTACCCGCTTTCTAGAAAAAAATTCGTGAAGGTGTGAAATTTTTCGACGGTAAAAAAAAATTCAAATCTTTTTGGAAAAATTATTTTCGATCGCGGGGGTCAATTACAATCATTTTTTATGCCCAGACCTACCCCCGAAATTCTGCGCATTTTCCAGAAAAAAATTCAGTACGGGCTGAACTTTGAGCGTTAATAACTTTTTAACAAAGCCTCCATCAAGAAATTGTTATTATTGATTTTCGTGTTATTTTCGCCTCTAGAATCCCCCATTAAAATTTTTCCCAGGGGTGGTTGAACGTCCTGCACGATCAAAGTGTTAACCAATATAGTTGTATCAAAGAAATAAAATTTACCCAATATCCGTGACAACAGTGGCAATGCGGAGCTCAGTACAAGAAGTAGAGCACAATTTGCAATAACGTGTGTGAGCGGTGTGGAATGAAACCGTGGCTGAACGCGCCTAACACCCGGAAGGGTGTACAGGCCTATCGCGCTTGTCGCTGCTAGATACAAAATAACTGCCACCTCGACAGTTGCTCCGATGGGGCCGAGCTTCGACAACGAGCTGATGCCCAGCGTGAATTGCTAAAAAGTTCATTACATCGAGCTAAGTTCATTTCATCTGCTAACATTGGTAATAAAAATATCCTTCATTCTCGTAACAAGTAACATTGTATCTATACGAACCCTGGTGCTCAAAGGCAGCGCCTTGATACCGACAAGAAGCTCTAACGTGTTTTGAACTGCTAGCAGGGCCGTGGCAGTGGAAAGCATAAGTAACGCTAGCATGGCCAATGGATACAGCAATGTGCGCCGAACCCACCAGGTTCGTCTTTGCTGGTCCAAGATGTTTCTTCGTTTTTGGATGTCTTCTAATCGCTGAGTCAATCCACGCTGCAGAGCACCGTTCCTCAGGCACATCAGGCTCGGATTTACGTTAAGAAGTTCATCGTCTTCGAGCGTCGAGTAGCAAGCTGGTATCGACATGGGCACTGGCGAAACGTAGGATTTTCCCGTAGCTTTCGCGTGCTCCAGTCTATGATAGGTACGGTGTACATTGATTATTATTAAACCAATTTACAGTTTAACGACTGTTGTTAACCAACCTTCTTTGAATACAATCCTCCTCCAGCCTGTATGCGAAAAATTCTTCGTCTAAATTTTTTAGGAACTGTGGCTTCACAAGAAACGAGCCAACCACCCCAAATAATCGTACAAATCCCATGGGAGTACATACTGCAACAAGCATAAATTTTTATTTCCCCTACAGTGATTCAAGATTGTCTCTGGTAGTTCTATCGGTGATAATTGAAAAAGTACTTACATAATAACATAACAACTCCAAGAAATGAAACGCAAGAGTAAAGGAAAGGTAAATAGTATGTCCATAAATCTGTAATATAAGACGTCTTTATAGCAGATACGTTCATGACAAAGGGAAAAAGTATGACATTGTACAATTATACTTACTGAGCAACGTGTGAAGGCTGGACTTTTGATAATCTATGAGCGCCGATAAAACATATGTCATTCCTAATACAAGTGTTCCGAGTAAACAAAGGACCGTCACAGTTTCATAAACTCTAGCCATTACACCCTGCAACGAAGAACATTTTCAAACGACGTGGACACGTAACGGACAAAAACTACTACCAACACTTTGACAGTCATCACTTTGACTTTACATCACTTTGACTTATTGATTGATCTTACCTTTCTATATCCGACGAATCCTTCCGACTCCGTAAACAAATAGGCGAATGGTAGAAACACGAAGAGAGATAAATTCGAGAAGAGGAACACATGATTCCATAGACCTGATTGCCAAAAACGAATTAAAACCTTTTACAGAAGCTCTCTGTCGCGCGAGAGTAAATAAAAGGATCGGTGAAAAAGTTTTCGTACCTTGAATGAGCGAGCTATTAAGCCACTTAACGTAATAGCTGTTCGGGTATAAAATGAGTACTTCGTTGCTAGCGATAGAGACCGGAAGCAATAACGTTGCCCCAACAGAAACCGCCAAAGCGACAGTACATAGCCAGAGACTGATTCTGTAAACTGTCGCCTCATCTTCGTCCACGGAAAAGTAATCCTCGCGATCTTTCCGGCGAAATTTGGCGATCAATGCATAGCTCGAGGTGTAGAGGACCAAAAACAGCAGGAGAAATATCTGAAATTATATTTAGTACCTGGTCAACAAATTGTACACAATAATTTTTATTTTTCTATCTATACATATAATAAATAATATAATAAATATTATACAGGCTGTCACGTCAACCGTGGGAAAAATTTTTATGGCAGATTCTAGAGGCCAAAATAAGACGAAAATCAAGAATACTAATTTATTAACGAAGGCTTCGTTAAAAAGTTATTAACGTTTAAAGTTCCGCCAGTATTGAATTTTTTTCTCGAAAATGCGCAGGATTTCGGTAGTATGCCTGTTCACCAAAAATAATTGTAATTGACCCCCGCAACCGAAAATAATTTTTCCAGAACGATTTGAAATTTTTTTTTTTCCGACGAAAAATTTCATATCTCGAATTTTTTTCTAGAAAGTGGGTAGGATTTCGGGGGTATGTCTATTCACCAAAAATGATTGTAATTGACCCCTGTAACTAAATATAATTTTTTTAGTATGATTTGAAATTTTTTAAATTCGTCTAAAAATTTCAGTATCTTCTCGAATTTTTTTCTCGAAAATGGGTAGGATTTCGAGGGTATGTCTAATGATAAAAAATAATTATAATTGACACTCGCAACCGAAAATAATTTTTTCAGAACGATTTGAAATTTTTGAATTTAATTGTTAATAACTTTTTAACGAAGCCTCCATCAACAAATTGGTATTCTTGATTTTCGTCTTATTTTGGGCTCTAGAATCCCTCATAAAAATCTTTCCCAGGGTTTGCCGAACACCCTGTATATTATACATAATATTTATTATATTAATTTAATCGTTTTAAATAACCTAAATATTCTATTATCAATTCAATAATTGATATTAATAAAAAACATATAAATGTAATTATTGAAATTGAAGATATTAATTCTCCAATAAAAAGAAGTTATTGATGAAATTAAAAAAATTATTAGAAAATGGCAACAGCCAAAAATAAGTATTTAAAAAATATTGTTAGAAAATCAATCGAGGAGAAACGATTAAACGTTGAAAATAATTACAAGTTAATATTTCGAAAGGAATCTTTCGACACCATTTAGTAAGGATGGCGTTAATATTGTGTGTTTATCGAGCGCGTGCTTCATGTTTCGTGTCGTACGAGTTCAAAGGAACACGAACTGGCGTGCGATGTATTCATTAAACGATCGTTGATGCGTGCCATTCAACGAAAATTGTATCTAAACGTGGACTTATGATTGACGCGCGTGGCGCAACGACGCGATTCAACTTTTCACCACTGCAGTGTTACATAAATCTAAAACAATATACACGTTACAATCGAGCCAAACGTTTATTGCGTTACGGTAAATTAAAAAATTCAGACGAACACCTGTACATGTGGCTTTTTACGATCCAAATACGGATTAAGATAATTTTACATCCTTGCACGATACGTGCATCTGACGAGTAGACGAATAAATCAGGAGCGAGATACGGAAAATAATTCGTCGAATAAATCGATTACGAAACAAAAAGTACCGTGTGTCGAAACAAGTGTCTCGAGTGTTGGTATTGTAATCAGCGATAGATTTAGGGTAGATTAGATTGGTTCGATAATTTGGTACCATGGAAACGAAAATTTCAACATTTCAAGAAGCATTGAAAGAATACTGCGAACCACGTATTTTATGAGATCTTTATTAACAATTTTTTCGTGCTTATAGTTCGTAGATTTGTAACGTTGGCCACCGGTGACCGTCATGGCGGCCGACGTGTTAAACAGCTCGTTCTGCGCCACTTATTTCACCGTTTACGGAATACTTTCGACTTTTGTTTGATTTACCACGAGTGACTGGTGCTCGCGAGTACAGTAACGAGGTTATGTTGGAAGATAGAAAATAACTGTTCCGTCGGTCAAAGTATTCAGGCCATCGGTAGATTATTTTGCTTTGAATCTAATCGAAAAATGTCCGCGGTACGCGCAGATAACAATTGGTAACTGTAAGAAGGAAGACGGAAATCGCGTATTATAAAATTATTCGGTCGTTTCCAGCGTTTCGAACGAGACATTGCCACGCAAGCCTGAGTCTCTGTTACAAAACACTTCCGTATATTGCTCTTGGTTATCAGGCACGCTTGCATTAATTTTCCATCTCCTACGCCTCCCCTAAACGCGTCACATAATGCGTACATGGCATTTCCTTTTAAAAAACGATACACGAACAACGTGCTTATTGGCTGCCAGCAATGAAAACATTAATACCAAAGTAGCTATTAACCTTTTGTGATTCGAAAATATTTTTTATACTTTGTATCTTTATTTGTTGCAGTAATATTGCGTTAATATTTAATTACAGAAGCAAAGTAAATAACATTTTTAATTTAAAATTAGTCTTCTATAAGAACAATACAATCAAATGAAAGTTAGGGAACGATTAAGAACGAATAAACCGTTTTATTTTTATTATAAACGAAATATAACAAGCATCAAAATTGTAATACTAGTAATCAGTATTAATGACTTTAAATGCTCGATTCTTCGTATCGCGAACCAATCTTTTCAGCGTCTTTTTGTTAAATCAGTGTTATCGATTACTTATCTTTGCATATGCAGCGTCGACACAAAGACAGCAATGGAAATTAATTTACGATTAATTACAATAAAATTATTATGAAACAATTTTAATATTAAAAAAAAAATTAGCTACGAACTTAAAATTATGATTGATTTTCAATTCGATCCATGGAATTTTATTGGTTGAAATTGTGCTGCGCTTGAATTAAATAAATCGTGTCTCGTATTTTTTCCTGTTATTTTTTATCTCGACGTGCATAAACAAATAGGAAGATAGCATAATCGTAAAGAATACAAACTACCTATTGTTTACAATTTCTTGACCGCCGTAATCTACGTTCGTATTGTTTTTCAACGGACACGAATCCGAGTTACTGCCACGTGTCAATTGCACGTCGCTAAAGCGTTAAAGTTACAAGGAGAAACCGCTAACATCCGAAGTGCGTTGTCCTCCTCTAAGAATAAGAAGCGTGCCCCCTTCGTTCACGTTATTCGCGTCGATCCTAGCTTGCCAACGGCATACAAATTCTCAATCTTAAATCTCTTTGCATATTTATCCCTTATCTTCCGTATGTACGCGCAACCAACAACACGTACGTGCCTTGGTAATGAATGATAAAGAAAAATTGTACAAAATGATCTCTAATTATCAGCAAACCCCATCTATTTGACTTATTAATCAGACGAACAACACTTTTACGACTGTTTTGTTCCACGATTGGCAGACTTCATTTTACACATTGACTTATCGAGGCGGCCATTTATTAAATTTAATTTTTTTGATACTAATTAATACGGTACAAAGTAGGGTTCGGCGACCCCTAGGAAAATTTTAATGGGAGATTCTAGAGGCCAAAATAAGACGAAAATCAAGAATACCAATTTATTAATGGAGGCTTTGTTAAAAAGTTATTAACGTTTAAAATTCCGCTCGTAATGAATTTTTTTCTCGAAAATGCGCAGGATTTCGGGGGTATGTCTATTCACCGAAATTGATTGTAATCGACCCCCGCGACCGAAAATAATTTTTCCAGAACGATTTGAAATTTTTGAATTTTGTCAAAAAATTTCATCCATTCTCGAATTTTTTTCTCGAAAGTGAGTAGGAATTCGAGGCTATATCTAATGACCAAAAATAATTATAATTGACCCCCGCATCCGAAAATAATTTTTCCAGAACGGTTTGAAATTTTTGAATTTTGTCAAAAAATTTCACCCATTCTCGAATTTTTTTCTCGAACGTGGGTAGGATTTCGAGGATATATCTAATGACCAAAATTGATTATAATTGACCCCCGCAACCGAAAATAATTTTTCCAGAACGATTTGAAATTTTTGAATTTTGTCAAAAAATTTCACCCATTCTCGAATTTTTTTCTCGAACGTGGGTGGGATTTCGAGGATATATCTAATGACCAAAATTGATTATAATTGACCCCCGCAACCGAAAATAATTTTTCCAGAACGATTTGAAATTTTTGAATTTTGTCAAAAAATTTCACCCATTCTCGAATTTTTTTCTCGAACGTGGGTGGGATTTCGAGGATATATCTAATGACCAAAATTGATTATAATTGACCCCCGCAACCGAAAATAATTTTTCCAGAACGATTTGAAATTTTTGAATTTTGTCAAAAAATTTCACCCATTCTCGAATTTTTTTCTCGAACGTGGGTAGGATTTCGAGGATATATCTAATGACCAAAAATAATTATAATTAACCCCTGCATCTGAAAATAATTTTTCCAGACTGATTCGAAATTTTTTTTTTCCCGTCGAAAGATTTCACACTTCGAATTTTTGCTTAATATTCGTAACGACACCGACAACGCGTAACGCGTTAAAAAGTTCCAATTTCGAGAATCGTTCGAGCGGAATCGGGGCACAGAATTCATGAATATTCGCGGCACGAGCTTGGCGATGGAGCTAAAGAAGAAATCGAAAGAATGTAATTGCGCGATACGGGCAAAGTAAATTTGACATTAATAAACGGCCGAACTATTGCGATTCAAATAAATTCTGGCAATGCAATTTCCCGATACTATATCACCAGTTTTGATCACGGTCGTGCTATTAAATTTAGTTCAAATTATGTATATAATTCGAATATAACAATATTTACGAGCTCTGTAATTATAACTCTTCAAATTAACGGGGTACGTAAATCTAGCGACCAGTGTTTAATCGCTAATGTCGTCCACCACGGTACATTGTAATTCGAACGTTTGAAAAAGATAAGTTCCCAACGTTTTACAACCTAATGACGTGTCTTTGACCCGAACAAATATATTTTTAGCGCTTCTAGATCAAGAACATTGCTGTTGACTCGTCAAGCCTGAAAGGTATTCCACGTACAGCTAGTTGCAAAATTGAACCGTACACTGGTATTAAATCCAGCCTCAACAAAATAGAAGAATGCTTAGTAAGTTTTAACATCTAACTTTATCACACAATTATTAAGTTCTATAATTAAATATATTTTTCAGTATGATCCAGAACGAACAATTAAATCGTGCGTTTTTATCACGCATGTTTGTGCAGAGATGCGCCTTCGACGATGTTTGCCGAATTATCGTTATTATATTCACATTAACGCGAGTAAAATATTTAACGTTTAAATGACAGTCGTTGAAAATTTATACAAAGAGGATTTCAGCTGCAGCGGCTGATTGGAGATGCAACTTGCTTGGTTAGAAACCACTTTTTATAGGGTTACGAAGGTGGAAGGAAAAACCGGTCGGAGATCAGAAGCAATGTCTGGTCAACGACTTCGCGTGAAAGTATTGGGAAAGCATATCGCGAATATAACTGTCTTTCGTCCGTGACTTTTTCGTGCAACAAACGTACCGACGATTATCCAATTAAAGGCCGTTAAAACAGCGCCGCGAGTCAAGGTTGAAGAATACTTAGAACGGTAACGTGACGCCTATATTTCGGTGAAACCCCCCATCGTTTCGGTTGTATTTACAATTGCATCGCGCGACGAGAGACCCCAACGCGCGCGATCTTAGTAAGGCCAAACCGTTTAAGCCGGTCGGTCGAACAGATTCGTATTTACCCAAAAGATACAACTAAATCGCGTTTAGTTTTGCGGTGGCTTCTCTTACGACCCACGCCTCGTAACACCGTATTAACGTGACGTTTTCCATTTGGCAGCTTTGCAACTCGAGCCCCTTTTCATGTAAAAATTACCAATGCAAACACGCAGGATAAAAAAGACTTAACGTTCTATTATTGTAGCCAGCAGAAATGCAAAGAACGATAAGAATACGCTCGTGCTTATAATTAATGAAAATGTTATCGACGACGTTTACGATACGCGATCGAAGTTAACGGTAACTAAACGACTCGAAGTAAACGAAGAAAACTCTGATACTTTTTTTTTACCTTTTATGACTACAGTTTCCTTGCCTTTTTGAACGAAAAATTACGTATCGGTATTGGCTAATGTGCCTTTATGCCCACAGATTTTATTGTTCTTCTCTCATCCCACTTATCTACACAGATTCGTAGCGTCGACACAAAAAAGAAAATGATTGTGTTATCGTCGCGTATTGCACAAATTATATTCTATTATTATCCTTTTGTTCTTGAGCACGTATTTTGACTTAATCGAGATAGGCTTATTTTTAAACGAAATATCAATTTTACAAAGCACAGGAATCGTTAATAACGAAAATGATACGTTTCGCTGGTTTTGATTTAATTTTCAATAAATCAAACATTTATTTATAATTAGAGAAATATCCTTACGAGCAACGTACAATTGACAAGAGCTGAGAAAGAGAGAGAGAGTGAGAGAGGAAAACGTTAGTTCGATAACTTGAAGGTTAGGAATGTAGAACGGAATTTTGTTGACCTTTAATAAAAGTTAGGGAACAGTTTCGTTTAAAAATTAAATACTCGAAGAAGGAGTATTAAAGGAAACATGGTGATCGCAGTAACGTCACAAGGGATTTTAAGAACCCTCGTTAATGGTCGGTGGTTAATAAACAAACAGGCGATTATGGTTACAGCATTTACTCACGATGTTCTCTCGTACGGTGTTGTGAAACAATTGCTCTCTGAGGTCCGCATCATCTTCCATTTTCACCTGTCTGTCAGTAAATTTCTTTCAGCTAAATGTACGGTCGTCGGCAGCAACGACATTTTCTTAAATCAGTAATTTTTCTGTGTAATACACCATGACAAAATTCTCGCGAACGACACACGTATTCACATCATTACGATAGCTTTTGCTTTTCGCGAATTAATTGCAAGAAGCTGTTCTTTCTATTTCTGTGTAAAAAGAATCACATTCCTGTTCCCTTGCTTCTTGTATTGCGTCCACGTAAGAATGTACTTTACACCGCCCAATCACCGCCAACCCTTCGTTATGGTTGGCAGACTACTAAAAACGATGCGCCGCTGTAGTGCAGCGGCTGTGCTTTGGTAAAACCACGCCATCTATCTTTACATATATAGGATGTTTAAAAACACACGCGACACCTTGGAACAAAAAAAAATAGAAAAGTCCTATCGTTTTGTGGCTTAACATTACGTTTTCAAGAGATCAGCCATATTTAACACTAGATTCATGGACATCGATGGCAGATATTTTTATTCAAACTCGTCACGTTAATGGTTACATTAAAATGTAGTTATAGGTGCATTGATCAAGTTAAAGGTAAATTACTAACAAATAATATTTATGACTACCGTAACGTTAGATATGGAATCTGAATCCCGCCAAATTGACAGATTCCCTATATCTAGGGTTAAACAGAACAGAATAGATCGCTTTTAGAAACACAAGAAAAAAGTAAGTATCTAGATTTTGAGTTTTAGGATTCGAGATTTCGATTTCGTGTCTAAAATGTAGGTTTCGACTCTCTTCTACATAATATCAATGAATTTCTAACTATATTTTTAAAATATACGTTTCTTTCTGAATCTAAATTCTGCAATGAATAGTAAGTATAGAGAAGTTCGGTACTTGGCATAACAGAAATATTTTGTTCGATCTAATAAAGATTGCATTACAAGACTAAAAGATTTCGATGGTCAATTGTTCCTAAATGATCGAAATAGCAAGTAATGTAAATAGCTTATTTATTTCACTTTATCGAAAGGATAGAGTTTACAAAATGTATTGTATTGCCATATAAATATAAATATATGAGATTACTAGTTCTTGAGTAACGAAAAATTGCAAATTTCGTTTACTCGGTTCTAATAAATTCGCAATGAATTAGTTACAGGCAATTGCATAATATTGTACTCTGTGTATAATACGGCAATACTATTAACTACGTTCTTATACAGACAAAGAAATAGTGTTAGATCAATAAATTTCTAATAAATATTATACTTTATTAGAAAAATTAAATTTGTTGTTTTATTGGTACTCGTATATTTTTATAGTGACGGTTGAATCAAGTAAAAATCGCAATAACAAAATAATTACTATGTTCTAATGTTACATATATAATATAGTATATTCGGTAGTTAATTTTTATTTAATTATATACCTTTATGTTTTAATTACTATCATGTACATATTTGGACCATAAATTAAACTATTATAGCATAGAGATCAAACCTTTAAGATAACACTCTGTAATTTTCATCAAGTAACACTTTTATTGATAAAAATGTGATGTCAATAGTAATTTATTCTTTTCTTTTGGGAATAGTGGCTTATCGGTGTTAAATTTTCTATTAACAGTGCTAGACTTATTTGCTGTTAAAAGCGAAATTAAGTAAATTGCATTTCACTGTACAATAAATTTAAAAATTTACTTCTATATGGCATGGAACACACTCGCTGCCAATAAAGGCTATGAATTCCGTTTAGGCAAATGTAATCTAATATCACAGATTCTTAATCTCGCTAAAGAGATAATTCGTAACACGTTATTTTCAATACGTTCGTAAGATATTTCCCATTGCAAGAGCGATAAATAAAAAAAAAAATAAAATATGTTTAAACACGTTCATCGAAATTTAAATACATCGATTTCTAATTAATTTAATCACGAATTTTTTTATACCGCAACGAAAGCAACTGTACAGACCTGAAAGATAACAGAAAGTTTTAAGATTTAGTTCCAGGAACCTGATCTTTAGTCAAAATTAAAAACCTGTGTATATTATACGTCTAAACAATCCTCATAGTGCACTGCATATATCTTCTGTCAACAATAAAGTATCCATATCATATAGCTAGTCTGCTTGCAAGCCTCATTTAAAGTAGAAAATTCTGCTCGAGACTTGAATTTAGTAGGATTCTCAAACAGCAGTCTGATTAAATGTAATTGATAATTGGCAAAGGATAGATTTATTTTGCTACGCGGCTACTTCTCCGAAATTCATATGACCCGTCTCTTTAGCGTGTTGTTGAGCAGCCGTTTGACCATTTAATTTAATCTTACAATCATTGCACATTAACGTGAATTTTTGAACATCCGTAAATTGACGACTAGATTTCGCTTCTCTTGCAAGTTCAGCTGCTTCTAATAATATCCTTTCATCCTCCGTGGGAAAGATTGTTTGAATGCTACTACCCTATATACAAATACAAAAATAATTTATTATCGGTATTTTATTGTAATTAAAGGGTTTTTTTTATTTATAATAATATTTATAAGTATTATACGTACATCCAATGGTTCCAAATATAATGGATCATAGTGAATACCATCAAATATTAAAAAGACCCTTTGAGCATAGTGTTGATCTTCTCCAAATCTGTTGATTATGGCATTAATACTATCAATTACTGCTATTTCTAATCCATAGAATTTCGATAATATTGACAATTCTATAGCTCCTCCCCATGAATCAGACTTCATAATCCATTTACAATATTCAGGATTGGGACGACCCAAAAGGCCTTCTGAATATTCTTCCGGATCAGCTGCCACAGCACTTGCTATGATCTCCCTCATGAAACTTGCACAACTGGAGTCAACTTTACCTGAAAGTGTACTATAAGATTACAAGGACCAATGATGGACTGTGTAGATGGCCTCATCAATTTTAATTGCCTTGGAGTACATCATAGGAAGTCATCAAGCAAGTAAAAAATAATTCTTGTTTATCTTTTACGATTTAATTTTTTTAAATTTGAGTTACAACACAAAACTATTTATTATCTTAAAAATGGAAATTCGTAAAAATTCCATGTTTCGAATATACGCGTAATTTTATTGTCCGTGTAGACTAGGATGGACCCTAATTGAAAAAACTTTTTTCAATGTTTTGTGGGTGTAAAAATTTAGCGTAAAAAAATTTCTGCGAATGGACAAATCGATCGTAAAATCAGAGAACGTACCGCAAATTAAGTTTCACCAAAAACGAAGAAATACTCGCTAAATTATGCTATTATTCGTGTTATATATGTATAGATTTTTTATTTATGTTTTATAAATGAACTAAAATACGGGTACAGTAATTACGAAAGTACCGGTGAAACATAGGTTAGGAATGTCCGTGTACTGCAAATTATACGGATTAAAATACGGGTACGTTAATTACCCGGGATACCTATTCAAGATCCCTATTAAATATTACTTTAGAAATACTGGAACAGGAGTATGATAAATTTGCTATAAAATTTATCAAAAGTCATTCTAACCTCGCGGGCCTCGTATAATAATAGATGGTAGGCCAGATTAAATCCTATTCTAGAACGCTCAATGACCTTCCCCCACCAAGATGCTTCAAGGCCGTTAAAATTGCCAAGGTTGTCGACACAGAGCATAATTACCGATTAAAAAGTGTGTATAGAATTCTAAATGCAATAATGCGGAATGTTTCGATATTTTGGCTAGAAATAACATAGGTGCATATATAACTTATATAATAGTGTAGATACCATTGAGTACATAACCGACACTGGTAAACAAGCAAGAGTTATCAGCAGGCACGACTTTTTTCATCAACACACCAGGCGTATCGATGAAATTTTCTTCGTCGATATGAGACCGTCCTATATCCTCAAATTTTTGTTCCCCGTTGTAATGAAGTGGCTTCTCTTCTACGATCAAGGTATCGCCCGAGACGATGCCGCTCTCCTCGATCGTGGCCTTCTCTTTGTTCAGATTAATCGCCTTTGGTGGAAATCCACCGAGAACGTGAAGCGCCCCGACTGGTATTCCCGTTATTTCGGAAAGCTTGGACTTCAATTCGGACACCTTGTCCTTCGGGATCAGTCCGTTCACGACCTTTTGACCTGATTTCGTTTTAACTCTCAACACGAACCCGGCCATCGTTCCACCGCGGATACTGAATCGACTAGAACGAGAATTTTGTCCGATTGTCTGTTGATTAGCTGTTAAAACAGCACCACGACAAAATTTTGCTGGTTTTGAAAACGATGATCATATCACAAATGGAACGCCGCTCTGTTCACTGATAACACATACTTCGCGTATTTATTCCTGCGATATAGACTACCTTTCCCGATTCATTGTACTTAACACGTAACAGAACAACAGCAACCTCCGTTATCGACGAACTTTACTATTGTTATAATAACTGCTTTAGGAACTTTCTCGTCGAAACGTTGGTACTATTTTTTTGCGTCTCTTTTTTGTTAATTTTTTACGATACGGGGCAGACTGAATTATCGTTCGTTCGATTCGTATAAGGATTTCGTGTAAATAAAAGCGTGTGATTGGAAACGAATCTTATTGATTCGTGTGTTGCGTTCAGAGTTCGCGGTTTAGGGGAAAAAGGAGGTGCATTGGTTAGGAAATTTTGTTTATGTGTAGTCCTTCGTCGAGTCGACCTTCTTAGTCTTTTATGGTTTATGACGTAGCTTCTACAGACTGGCCACCAGAGGGCTGAGAATGCACGGTTCTATAGCACTTATCACTATATTAACAATTATGTGTAATCAAACAGCGGATGTGGTTATAACAATATTTATTTCAACAACAATTAACAAAAGTAATGTACTCCTTCTACAAAACACATGCTCGAGGCTCGGAAACTAGGCTTAGAAAAATGGTCGCGACTGTAGTCGTTCGCGTGTGAAGTATACAAGACCTTCACTAGACAAAGAAAATTGCATGGACGCCTGGTGTGAAAAACAGTTCACCCCTTCGTCGGTAGAGGCGCGACAGTGAGTGTGCAGCGCCAAAGTTACGAACGCTGGCCACAGTTCTTCTTTTAGGTTGCGTTTTCATATGACGCACTTACTGTCTATTTCATCGTGCTGCTAGGTGGACGTTTCAACTGCTGCAACAGGTGCCTCGATTCTTTTCATCGTAAATTATGTTTATTCGAATATGTCAGGAATACAGGCTTTCACAAACGAACGAAGGAATTACAAACGGTAAATACCATCACTTAATATTAGGTACATACGATATAGTATCGTGTTAAACGACTAAATTGACACGTTTAGGCTCGATCGTAAACGAAGGTACATTTCGTAATTTGTAATATCGAGCTTCTTTAATACGATATAAAAGACGAATGGTGCCATTCGCGAACCACGTCCGCAAATAAATATTACATATTTACATGAATTTACATCAAGCTATCGGGATCGACAAATCGACTTTCGGCGAAAATCATTTTACACGCTCGTTAAGAGCCTTTGATGCGAAAGTGCGCGAAAACAGAAACATTTACAACTAAGTTCGACGTTGATTCGAAGGATTAAAAATTCCCTTCGATCGATATTACGACGTAATACCGGTGTTCGCGAGGGTGGTGGTCAAATATCTCCTTAATTCCGAAGGAATGGAAAACGATTCGTGTCAATGCGAATGATTCTTTGTTCTTCGATTTACTTTCGACATTCTCTTTGGCCATTTCTCGCCAGGAGACGGCTCTCTGTTTAGTTAATCGAGGGTCTCTTTCCCTGTCTTTGGCAACAGGAACGACATGATTCCACACACTGAAAAACAGAAAATATACGATGTAGAAATTGTTGTACTTGGTGCAACAATTACAAACGTAAGATCTTATCTGATGCGAATGCCCGCGTTTGTACGTCAATGATGCAAAGAGGTTAGGTGAACGGGGCAAATTTTATTCACGAATAACGAATAAAAATTTTAGATTTCTTTCGAAATAATTTGCACAAAATTGAGACGTTACTGGACAGATAGGGCAACATGTAATAGTATTTGTTTTCTTTTAACATTTCTCCTATTTATCGATTTATAATTAAAAGAATACTTACTGAATAAAAATGCTGCGAATAATACTATAGGAATTACGCAGGCCAAGTCGATTAGGTAGCCAAACACCAAATTACCAATGAGAGCGCCTAATCGACCCATTGTTAGAGACAACGCCGCAGCCATTACTCTGAAAAGTATATGGAATTATGGTTGAATAATCACTGTTTCAAAATAAAGGTTACGAATTCAAACAGTGGTTTCCAAATTTTTTCGCAGGTGTCCCACTTCTTCCTCCTTAAAAAAAATTTCTTACGATAAGTTTCAGCAATTCATACATTAATTAAATGTATTGCGAAAGCCCCCTCTTTTAGGGGGGTAACACCACCTTCATTTTGGAAAACACTGGTATAAATTTAAGTACTAGTAAAATGAGATTAACAACGAAATATTATAATAATAAATACAAGAAACAAAAATACGTATACAGGGTGTTCGTTAAAAAGTTATTAACGTTTAAAGTTCCGCCAGTACTGAATTTTTTTCTCGAAAATGCGCAGGATTTCGGGGGTATGTCTATTCACCAAAAATGATTGTAAATGACCCCCGCAACCGAAAATAATTTTTCCAAAACGATTTGAAATTTTTTTTTCCGTTGTGAAATTTCACACCTTCTCGAATTTTTTTCTCGAAAGTGGGTAGGATTTCGGGGGTATGTCTATTCACCAAAAATGATTGTAAATGACCCCCGCAACCGAAAATAATTTTTCCAAAACGATTTGAAATTTTTTTTCCCGTTGTGAAATTTCACACCTTCTCGAATTTTTTTCTCGAAAGTGGGTAGGATTTCGAAGGTATGTCTAATGATAAAAAATGATTGTAATTGACCCTTGCAACCGAAAATAATTTTTCCAGAACGATTTGAAATTTTTTAATTTAATTGTTAATAACTTTTTAACGAAGTCTCTATCAATAAATTCGTATTCTTGATTTTCGTCTTATTCTGGCCTCTAGAATCCCTCATTAAAATTTTTCCCATGGATCGCCGAACACCCTAGTTTTAAAAATTTTTGCTCGTCCAAGCGAAAATGTACGCTATCCGATTGAAATAATTATCGACTACAATAACGCATAACGTTCACGGTGAATTTTATTATTGACGTCTCTTTGTCATTTTCTCTTACGAAAGTCCTTGTATAATTTCTTTCAAACACATTGCGCAAATCAGATGGTAAATTACGTCCCTGGAGGAGTTATAAACATTAATAAAACCGCACGATCGAAGGAAACACAGTCGATGTAATGAAAATATTTATCGAACATGTAACGTCCAATGTCTACATGACGTAGTCTATAAACTGTCGGATGAAGTTGTTCGATCACGTGATCTGTTTCCAGCGGCGCGCCAGTGCGACAGGCAAACTATGAAATTACACGATAACAAAAAAAAAATAATAAAAAAAAAAATTTGCATTGTAGGAGAACGATATGCGAATCAACGCGTCGTTCAACATTATCGCGATAATTAACGGTATCGTTTAACAATCATAAATCTCCCTGGCGTTGCATTGTTTCCATATATCCACAATAAATAAATCACAAGTTCTGCTTACCTGAGATTCGTCGGGAACATGTCGACGATTACGCAATAGACTAACGAGATACCAAGAGACGTCAGGGCCTCGAACACGCAGGATAATATTAAGTTTTGTGTCGCATTGACCACGTAATAAAAGGCTATCGTTACAGCGCCGGATACCAGCAGAGACAAGACTGGAAAAAAAAAACAACGTTTCATGGTGATTCGGATTGTTTTAACAACCATTAACACATAATGTTAACGCTTCAATGTAGACCAAAGTGAGATACACGAAGATGCTTGGAATATTATTAGAAGGAATTATAAATGTAACCTCGACAAACGTAATAAGTTGAATGTATAATGAAATGGTAACTGATAGAGTAGATCACGTATACGTGACAGCGGCCGTCAAACTTAAAAAAGAAAACTGGAAGAAATTGCAAGTCGTATCGAGTTTGTTTTGGTCAGCTCCTCTAATTTAACGACGGTGTATGTCCACAAATATGCTACAATAAGCAAGAGAAAACAGTTTTGAAAGAAATTGCGACTTCCAGAATGTGTCTGGTCAGTAGCCAACAGAAGAGATCAATTATATCGGATTTAGTAATACGTGTTGCCTCCCATGCTCGCCACTAGAGGGGTCGCGCTCTCGCAAGCGCTCGACCGACCCCTCGGTTGCTATATGTATATACATTCCTTGAAAGCCTTACTGACGAGTCCACTAGCAGGCCTACGATTCTCACGAGTTCCACACCGTCAGCAAGGCAGCGCCACAGTGTAATGACAAATGTACTCACTCAAGAAGAATTTGGCGCCAAGTTTGTGCACGAAAATTGGCAAAATGATGGATCCAGGAATGCAGGCGAGTCCAATGTACACCGTGTGCAGATAGACGGAAGACGTGATCACTGTTTCGCATCCGTAAGGATCGGCGAGGGTCGCGTTGTCCGACAGAGCCGACACTATGCAGACCGACGTAGTCTCGCCGGGATTGTTGTGTTCGAACTGCTCGAATCTGCAATACGTGCATTATAAAAAAATTCTCTGATTTCTAAAAATCAGAGACTTCGAAGTAAACGAAGAATATAACCCATAGGATGACGCGAAAGGCAGAAGTGGTTACCTGGTGAATAATTCTGGGAACCAGACCATCAGAGTATAGTAACTGCTGGTCAAACCGAACTGTATGCCGCAAGCCAGCAGCGTGTTGTTCAGATGCGGTGATTTGCAGAGAGCTGCCGTCAGGTCACGCACCTCCTTTATCAATACCTTCAAATCTTTACGTTTGTGCAGCTTCAGAGACCTCATGCTCTTATCCTTGGTCTTCTCTTGCAAGGATTTCACCTGAGAATCAATTCCCACGAACACTTAGAGCATCGTTAATTTAGACAAAAGCGAAATTGTGTCTAGTAGCGATGGGACCAAAGGTTGTACAGTACTCTGTGAATAATTATGGATTCTTTTCTTTAATAATTCCAAGGAACAACTGATAATAAGAAGCTTCTCTCTCGGCTATCTGCTCAGTGTTGCAAAATGAGACTAACAGGAGTATTATTGCAAGGAAAGTCTATGATGAGAAGAGGTAACAGTTGACCATATTGTTAAAGTTAAAAGATGAACAGAATCTGCTTGGTTAAGTAATCAAAAAACTAAAGAAAAGTGCACTAATTGATGTTAGTGTAGCGGTAGTATCCAATCTTGGTCCAATTACTAGCTAGGGGATTTGTCAAGTAAAAAGCAAGTGTATGAAAAATTCGAATCGAATGGAATTACCGGATAGGAGTCTGGACTTTGTCCGGTGTTCTGAGCGTAGATCCATTTGAAGACTTCAAGGGCGGCGTCCGTTTCGCCGCACTCTAGAAGGAATTTTGGACTCTCTGGGAACGCGAACAACCAGAGGCCCAGCATCAACGAGGGTAGCGCGCACAGCGCCACGAAGAGATTCCATGACTTAAAGTAAAACGTGTCCGAGACGTACATGAAGTCTATCGGGATGATCAGCCAAGCGATCACTGATCGAACAAAAAAAATCATTGGTTGGTTGATTCGCAAGTTTGGAAGATACAGGGTGTTTGGTCAACCTTGGGACCTCAAGAATATTAATTTGTTGATCGTAATTTTTTAATAACTTTTTAACGAAACCTCAATCAAGAGATTGATATTCTTGATTTTCGTCTTATTTTTGCCTCTAAAATCTTCCATTAAAATTTGTTACCAGGGGTGGCTCCCGAATTTATTTATTTTATGGTCTTGTATTGGTACATCAAGCCCGGTGATTTAAATCTGAATCACTCTGTAGATAAAAGATTCATGCTACTGTACTGTGTCAGTGTAACTGGCGTTTCGGTGACTTCAATGCCGCGATAGAAGAGATTGTTGGGCACAAAGCGTTAACTAATGGAAGAAAAGAACTTGGACCGATCGAGTCAAGTTGCAAAGTGGAGGAATATTGTTTTTCAAACATTGCGTGCAATAAATATACAAATGAACTCTGAAACGAAGAGGTACTTACATGGTAATAATATAACTCCGACTGTCCAGAACATTTCCATCCAACAAAGGCATCGTTCGCGATACTTTGTCGGCTGGAATTCCCCTAAATATGGAAAACAAATTCCCATAGCTCCCGTAACGCTGTATATATGAAATAAAAATAGAGATAGAAATAAACGAAAAATAAAAACAAAATTATGATAAAACGAGTGGCAAAGAAGGCGACTGTTTTATAATAAAGACATCTCGTTGGGCTTGAGACACTTACGCGAACCCGTTGAAGAAACGGAAGACCAAGAAGACCCAAAAGTATTGGACGAAAGATGAGACGATGCCGACGATACCGTCCATCAATAAAGTAGCGATTAGAACGATTTTACGTCCCTTGATGTCAGCCAGGCAACCCCATATGTAGGAACCAATCACCATACCTGAAAATCCCCGCGAAAAATTGAAAAATATGGAATCTTTTATTCGGAATTACCGGAACAAAAGTCATTGCGTTGATCATGGACGTGAAATTGATTATTTATATTTGAAAAACTTAGCTTGTATTAGTTGTAATGGTATGTAAAATGGTTTACTAAAAAAAAAAAAGTAGTCATAGTTATAATAGTCAAACGGTGTATAATTAATACAAACAACTTTCGTGTTTTTATAAATGAATATTATTACAACCATGACCCTAATTACATATCTAATAATCATATATAGAATCAACTAGGTATTATTATAAGTATAGCTGAAACATTTAGAACTGTTTGCAGTGGTAATAGGAGTTGTAGTAGTATTAATAGTACCAACAGCAATAGTTTTAGAATCAAAAAGATTACTAGCAAGTAAGAATTATAGTAGCAATAACATCAAGATTAGTGATATTAATAGTTGCAATGTTTCGTGACCACTTCTGAATCTAGGAATAGTATCATCAAGATGAGTGTAAAGAAATGTGATTGTATCAAAAAATTTATAATCGGTCCAAATTTCCAGTAATATCTCGATGGTTTTAATTCCACGGCGATAAAAGTAATTTCGTTTGTCACTGATTTTCTGTGATTTTGTTTGCATGACTACTTTCTGACAGCGACGATTTCGAGATATCACTGTCGACCGATTTGTTTTCGCCGCGCTACGGTAACTGATAAAGGTTGAAATGGAAAGGTACACCGTGAGTCACGTTAATTCAAATAGTAGCAGAAAACGAGAGTGAGAATGTGCTTTTTCAAGGAGAGGCAGCTTAAATCGAAGGTCTTCGAGCCGCGTTTATGGGGGCCTGGCTAGTTTCGAACATGAATCACTCGATGATACCCAAGATCTCTTAAGCGATCGTATATTTCGCTGATTTGTCAGAATTCTTTCAAGCATAAATAATACTGTTGAAGTAACGTCCATGATCAACAGGGTAGCTTTGGTTCTAGTTTTCTTGGAACAAAGAGTCGAAAAGAAGATGGTTCCAAGTTAATATGCTTTGATCATTTGAGTGTATAGCTTGAGAAGTGTTACAAATTGACGTCGTTTGCCTCAACGCTGGACAAACTACTTAAAAAACACCTGTTATCAAGGTACAGAGATTCTCGACTAATTCGACAGCCCAAAAAACAATTCAAAGGAGCTTACCTAACATCGGGGACGCCGTGAGCCATCCTTTGGACGTGGAGTCCATTTCCAAGTCGCATTGCGCCGCGGGTAAAACGAACGAGAGTATCGTAACCCCTATCGCTGTGTCCATGTAAATCAAACCGCATACCGCCAGCAGCATGTAATGAAACTTTCCGAATCCTAAACGAAAATGGACTAAGCATTAACACCGCCAAACCGATTATCGCAAACGAAAAATTCATCCCTGCAACTGGCGAACCTTTCAAGTCCTACTGCTACAAGCAACGCCATTTTTATCGCTTCAGACATCCCTGGATCAAGGATCCAATGATCAGGTCTTTGTAATCTATCGTCGAACGAACAATCGCCCGAGTGACAAAAAGAAAAGGAAGATTCCAGAACGCGTGCAAGCGTTGCTCAAAACGCGGAAAAAGTTTCAACAACGTCGTCGATAAGGAGCCTCGTTTCGACTAGGCTGTAAATTAAACGTTGCTCTTGAACTTGCCACCAGTTTGCTCGGTGTTTAGCGTGATTCGTATTCCACGACGTTATCTTGATTTATCAAAATACTTGCACAACCCGAGCACGGTGTGCCAATTACCTGAGAAGATTCGAGAGGCTTTTTAACAATGATCTCGCGCTACTTCGCGAGAACAACGTCGAATATTGTTTAAAATCGAAATGGTTCACTCTGCTGATCACTTAATTATACGCGTGGTACAGCGCTTTCTATAACGCAAGTGAAAGATACACATCTTTCGCGCACCCCACTTAATCTGATGTCTGAATCAATTAATCCGACGCGTTGATGCGTCTTAATAAAATCGTACGATAATTTCGTGTGTCGGACAAGTGGAAGTCGAGAGGCGTTCGTTTGTTTTTCGATCGACTCAAGATCTACCGAACGTTCCATTCAGATAAAGCTTTCAACAAGTTCTGATAACTGAATGAGGCTGTATCTTGAATTAAATCGACACGCAATTAATACGAGTGAGCTTGTACTTGCCTGTTTCGGTGATTGCATGCTCGAAATCGGCACTTCCGTCTGCCAGGAAGTCGAGTCCTGTCGCGAAAAGAAAAATTGATTAAAGTATAGGTTCCCTTGACACGGTCCAAAATATGATAATATTGATCGTTTTTTGGGGTTTTTTGGGTTTGGAATCTGTATTATGGTTCAGAGCTTATGTAAGACCCGAAGAACTAATGGTTATAAGACCTATGTGAGAGTCGATGCAAGAACTTCAGTTTGGACCAATATAGTTTGAAGTTTGGGGGTTTTGTAATAGTTCCTGATGATAAAGGTTCTTTGTAACTGTTAGTAGAACCTACATTATAACAATGATATAGCAAATGCTCAGGAAGATCAACAGGTTGATGAGAACAAGTGCACCAAACAGAAGTAGCGATAGCAATAATAACATAATAACGGCGATTAGTACTACTAGGAATGCTACTATTGCGATAGCAGCTACAATAGTTGTAGTTATGTTAGAGATATGATCTATCAATTCTGATAATTTCTAGCTAACCCTAGAGTGTAAACTCATGTGATCCTCCATTGGTTCATTGTTTCTTAAATGTTTTAAATGAAAGGTGGAATCACCATTAAGTAAGACAATTCAGTTGAAGTTTAGAGTCCACTCAGGGGTTGAATGAATGAAATTTACTAAAAAAGACTGTTCTGATATGTGGTCACTTCAGTTTTTGGGACTCTATGTTCACGGTAGAGTCGGTGAGTGTATTCGATCGTTTCTCGAACCTACCCATGGTGGATGGTTACGTTGCGAAGATCGTCGGTCTCGCGATGAAGGGAGGTGGCTGGGTCAGGTGGTGTCGGAGAGAATCCGGGTGTCTGGAGGACCCCGGTCGCCAAAGCGCTGCACTGTCGGTTCCTCGTGCGCGTTCCACGGTTTTCTCCTCGTTTGCAACCGTTGCACGCCACGCTCATTGGTGAACACTCGGTGGTATTCGATCGCCGTCTTTATCGCCCGAGCGAATTCGACGATGACTTCCACCGAGAATCTCTGCGGGCGATGGTACCAGTGACGTCTAGGCCGGTTGCACCTCGACGATCCTCGATCGATGGGATCCTCTGGGTCGATCGACGGGCTCGGGGTTGACGGGTGTATCTGGAACGACGCGCGATCCTCCCGTACTCTTCTTTCTTTTTTCCTGTTCGTTTCGTCGTGTCAGAACGATCGGCGTCGAAAGAACAACTGACCAAAAATTAATCGCGCCTCAACATATCTAGTGCTTTTCGGTAGCTTGTCATTACCAGCCAGATAAGATATAACCCTTCCCCGTCTCTCTCTCGCGCTCCTACGTCTACCTGGGCTGTCGTTTCCCATCGTCCCTCCCCGCGAGGGGGCGACATTTTCTGAAAATGACACTCATGAAACGAAAAAAAAAAAGAAAAAGATGTAAAAAAAACCGCTCGAAACGCTTCTGTACACACCAGGAGTGCAATCGTATATACTCGACGATAAGACCGTTGAGACAAGCATCACGGGATTTCTAATTGCTTTGGATTACTTTGACTAAAATACGCGAAAGCTGTTTACCCGTACGTTTATTATGTACAAGGACTCCTTTTCGTGATATCAAACGGTTATCTGGCTGCTTAGTGGCCCGGGGGATCCATTATTTGCCGACCTACTAAGAAAGCAATAATTTCGACCGTTCTCGTCAAACATTGCCACCAGTAGGGTAAACACGTATCGCAATTCCTAGAGGCTTCGTAGAAGCACGCACACGACCGGCTCGTCACCTCCGCGGGACGTGATTTACGACCGCGGGAGCGTCTAGTTAGGCATTGTCTTTGCAGTACTCGCATTATCTAAACACGAATCCGGCAATAACTACGCAAATTGTTTGTTTGAGTTTCGGTTGATCGTCGAACGACGTGTTTTGTCAGAGCGGTATATCATGAACTAACTCCGTGTGCTCTTCGATGTTATTTAACCGAAATACGCGAACGATTCCGCGCGAAGGTCTCCACAGGGGTATTCTGGCCTAAAGATTCGAAAAGAATCGATTTCTTAAAGTACTACACCTTCGAAAACATATTCACAGCCGTTTGAAGAGTATAGTTTATAACTATAGTGATCGTGAAACTTAAAAAGAGTCTCATCGATGGATTGGCAAGGTTCTCCCGATGAAAACGAGTACAAACACGACCCACTTTGGTTCATTTTTAATTCCGACTTATTCTTTTGTTAAAAAAATTTCTAAATTTGAAAAATCGAATGTCGTCCAAACCTGGTCATGTTTGGGCTCGTTTTCATCGGGAGGACGTTACCAATGCATTGGTAATATTAATGTTGAGAAAAATTGAAGTTTTATTATTATTATTATTATCTGCATTCCTATCTTTTTTGTGCCTGAGACTTATTTATGATTCCATAGTATCGAGAGATCTATTTCGCAACACGTATCGCGGTACAATAAAAAAAAACCACGAACGCGGTATTGTTGCGCACGTGTCACCGTACATCGAATTCCAACGACCTTTCGAGGAGCAATATACCGTCCCGTGGCTCGTAATCGAACGTGACGTCGATGAAATTTTACGGAAACCGACTGAAGAAGCCTGCCTCGATGGCACAGAACCGTGCCTCCCGAAGTGCCATGACAATTGCCAGGGTCACCGTTAATCTATACTAGTCGAAACTAGTCTAGACTCGACATTGTGCTTCTCACTTGATTCATTCGTTAACGCAAACATATTTATCAACCTGGGCGTCAAACGATACGCATCAACGTAAACTTCGATGTTTTCCCCGACAAGATTGCTGGTAACGATAAATACTGATAGTTGGGAAGGTCCCGTCGTGGTGTCCTCCGTTCATTGTTAACATAACCCAAATAGAGCTCCCACCTGAGGTTCACGCGACCCTATGCAATTCGAAACTCACTTAACATGGATCTCAAGACGATCCTTAACCTAGCTCAATTCGATTCTAACTCAGCCTTCTAGCGATCTTAACGGAGCTACAATTTATCCTGGTTTAATACATATCTATACGTAATCTATAAATTGATCCAAACTTAAGAACTTCTCAGCTCCGGTATAACTTCTGATCAGAGCTTAACGCAATCTTAGTCCAACTTGGTCTTCGATAAAAAACTGAGTGCAATTTCTAATCGAGCCCTTGGCTGGAAGAGTTTCAATTTCGTCTGACTCATTATACTAATATACTACTTGATCCGTCGTGGATCCTCTCAAAGACATAATCCAGCGCTAACATAGACCCTAACTGCCTCAAAATCAGTCCCTTTTCTGTGTACAGGTAACGAATATCGTGAAAACAATTTATTTTCGAGTACCTTTTCTCTAATCTACGAGCTTGCAGAAAAAGTATAACATTTGTTTGAACTGGACTTAAGGGAGCTCCAACTTAGCCAGATCCAATATAGTTGTAATCGAAAAACTATCTCAGTATAAATACCGATAAGGCGATTTAATATAATGTCCTATCGTAATTCTCCATCAAGGTCTAACCCAAAGCTAAACGGTATGCCCAGCTCAGACTAATTGAAAGTTTATCTTCAATTCAATTACTCCAACTATTGACACAGTGTTCATTTTTTTCCATAACGCGTTTCTTTGGAACCTGTACGGTTTATTAGCCACGTTCTTAGAAACATTATGGCTCTGATGACTAACGAGAATCGCGCGCGATCGAATTAACGCGACAGTCTGGTAATTCCAGGGCAAAAGAAGATGATCTCTTTCTTTTATTTTCACGCGATATTCGAGCCATAAAAGAGGAATTATTCGTAGAATGGGATCCTCGCTAAATCTCGAGCAAAGATTTGTTAAAAGAAAACAATACGAGTCCGGGTGAATTAAATTTCGTTTCGTTCCGACTATTCGGTAATTCCGGAAAAAAAGATTCCGGACTTTCCGTCGAAAATGGCGGGTATCTCGACCCCTTCACGCGCAAACAATGTGGTAAGTTGGTATCACGAGACTTACGGTTTATTGCCAGCTAATCACCGCGATCACGTACCGAACACTGGAAGCAACGCCTGGAGCTTATTACAAGACGGAACCATAAATCGTAATCGATTAAATGCGCGACTTTATTGCGTCGAACGGAGTCGAAGTACTGGCGAGTCACGCGCGGAATCGTCTTCGTTCGCGCGCCCGGCGAAACAACGCCTGGGTGTCGTTTTCCGCGGACGCCTCCTCGTTCTTTCCTTCGATTACGTCACTACAGCCGGGATTAAGATCTGGTGAAATCCCCAAACGAGAGATTTATCTGCCCCGTCGTGGGATTACATGATCTCCGGTGTCGTAACCGCGAAAGATCGAACGCGCGATACACGATTGATTAGAACACGATCCGCCAAAAGGAAGGTCGCTTTCACAAAACTCGCCGGGCAAAATAACTTTGTAATCCCCCAATAAATTGGGGCATTTGCCTCATCCCACTTGATCCCGTTCTTCGAACACGTTTCGAACCCTCCACGGTGGGCCATTTACCAGAGAAAAACACATTTTTCGTCTCTTGCTGTTTCACCTCGTTGTGGAGGAAGCGCATTCGGTGTACCCAGTTTATTTATGACGAACGAAAAATTACGACAGAGAATTGGAACGAACGTCAATCGCATGATATCATAGCGAAACTAATAAACTTTTATACTTTAAGCTCTGAGCAACTACGAGCAAAAGGTGTCTCGAGCTTTCGAGTAACGATTTTCTTGCGTTGCATGTAATTTGGGATAGCAAAATACCAATTTCGATTTGTAAAATGAAGAACGCATGAATCACTGCTAAACCCTGCTTTGAAAGCAGACGTTCACCAAAGGATACGCTATGAGTTTGATGAGATTTGACAGCAGTTTTCCGCGTGTTCAACGAACCGCCAAACGTAAATAACGCGATTGATATCCGCGCGAAGGCGATCGAAAATCTGTCTCGGAAAATGGCCAAGAACCTTGCGTAATCAGGACGACAGTTTGGACGGCGATGCTTTATCAGAGTACAAGCAGGTGCATGTACTCCGTGTCGTTTTCGCGCGGAACCCAGAAGATTCGAAGAAATGACTACATTCTGGAAATGCCCACGAAATCCGACGGATCAACAGAGTTTATCAGAGTCTCTGAAAAGTCAAACGTTAGTCAAAAGTCCAGAGCCTTCCACGAAAAGAGGCCCAACGAAACGCTATCCAGAGTTCTGGATAAGGAATCGTTTGTACAAGTCTTCCTTTGAACGAAAACCCATAAACGAATGTTTCAGACCGAGTATATCGACTCTACAATGTTTATTCGTTAATTTGCCCAACTCTGTCGCTACCCAACGAGCTTGAAAAACGATAAATCGAACGGTAAATTCCAAATTCCGAATCGACCGGCTGAGACCCGTGATATTCCTCAAGTTCGCGCGCGCGTCGTTCGGTGATGTTGGCACGCGATCGACGTCGACGGTGGATTCGCGCCAAGTCCTCCGATCGTCGCAATATTTCCATCATCGATGCACGACGTAGAATGATCGTAATGGTACCTAACGCGGAGACCCGTGAAAACCGATGGAATCCTTGCGATCCTTCGACCGGGAGCCAGGACCCCGACGAACCCTTTGGGGAGTCGCGCGACATCGTCCGCGGTTGGGGGCTGACCGAACCGTTCCACCGACAAACTACGACTAACCCACGGGTACCATTTAAATGGCTGCACTCCAAGATCACTCTATTTCGGCGTGTTTCAATGTCAACGGCGCCAGAGAGGAAGAGAAAGAGAGAGACAGTGGGACACGCAGAATATAAAAAGAAAGGCGGCCGATTAAACGGACCAAATCGAAAAGAAATCCTCGGTACACAGGGTGATCTTACCGGTCCACGTCCGATCGAAGCGCGACGACTCCGCGAGAACGGTACTATCCCGGCCACGGAACTCCTCGATGGTAGCCTCGTGCCTTCCCGACTGATATCCCTCCCCGTCGATCCGATCATTCATAAAGTATCTCTGTTCGGGTCTATAGGCGTTCCGGGGACGCGTGACATCCACCCTGCGTGTCAAGCGACCCCTCTGCGGGAGCCAGCTACCAGAATCCCTCGCGTCTACCCGTGATAAGAGAATGATCGCGGTTACGCCACCGATCGGGTGAACGAAAGCGAGGCGTCCCACCGACACCTTAATTAGAATGCAAGCCGCGGCTAAAGGACTATTTAATCGCGTAGCCAACAAGCCAAACCGACACCGCGCGACGCGTTTGTATATTATGCGCGCGAACGACGCGGTTCCTCCGGATCTTCTAATTCGGTCGACAGTCTTGTCGCGCTTACGCGATCTACTGCACACACCGTCCCGATTCATGTCTGGGGTCCGCTTCGCTCGGTTCGGTTCGAATAATACCTGTAGCGTGTGTTCGCTTGCATTTGTGCAGGGTGGGGTAGGCTGTCAGGAGACCACGCTCGGACGTCTACGTTGCGCTTAGGCACGCGACCATGTTTACGTCGTGAAACGAACTTTCCTGTTGCCCGCGAGACACCGCGAATGGGTTTGGACAGCTAGATCACCGTTTTATGGCTGTTCTAGGCGATACAAGAAGAGCACGAACCCCTAGAATCGTTAAGCTTCGATGATTGGAGAGACGTTTTGATCCAAAAAGTGCAATGATTATTTATACTTTATCTCGTCGTACGGAAGATATCTTCGATACGAACTAATTACACTACTCGATCACAGGAAATTCATGCTATTTAATTTCCAAAACGATGAAACTTATCTGCGTTTCTTTGTTGCTGATGAAAGAAGCGACGATACGCTCTTATCTTTTCTCTTTGCAGATGTTTCTATAATTGTTGTACGATATATTTAGCAATATACGGGGGTATGAGGCTGGTGTGGGACTTCCTGACGTTTGGCAGGTCGAAAACCCCGATTAAGCTGATGTTCTTTAATACTTGGACCACTATCCACCTGGATAGTGGCCTCCTCGTTGCGGAGAACTTCGGCGAAGTTGGTGGGCTCACTTCGGTCAAATCCACTCATCTCACCTCCACGTGGGACCCCTGGGGCCCTGTGTCAGATCGGTACAGGGTGCGAACGAGTGAGTGGTAGTGCAAAAGAAAATGTCCTTACAGGCAAACTGTAAGGAAAACTCCCTTAACTCCTAGAATCGATATCTCCCAAACAAAACATCCCATACGATCATCGATCACGGAGGACACAAGTGGTGAAGTGCACTGTGTTACATTCAGTGAATTGCAGTGACCAAAAGGAGCCTGAAGTGTATTATTATACTTCTTGGTAAGTACTCTTTTAAGTATCATTGTGTTGTGTACATTTAGTGAGGTTCCTGGACTTAGTGTTGTTGTTGCAAACATTAGATTCTACCCAGACCTAACCCAGACCCAAAAGAGAATATCCTTGCAGGTAAACTGTAAGGAAAGTTCTCCTAGTCCTGGACAGTATCAATATCTCCCAAACAACACATCCAATACGGTCATTAATCGCTGAGGACGCAGAAATGGTGAAGTGCATCGCTCAAAGTGCACCGTGTTTACATTTAGTGAATTACAGTGACCAAATGGAACTTGAAGTGTATTATTACACTCCTTGGTAAGTACTCTTTTAAGTCCCATTGCGTTGTGTACATTTAATGAAATGGTATCAGGATAACAGATAAGAAAATCCAGTTGATCGGTTCGATACGAATACTTTTTTTATTGCACTTAAATGGCCGGCATATAAACAGTATACAATATAAAAAGTCTCGTACATAGAAAAATAAAGTAAAGATAAAACGCGTTGGAAATTCGATCGACGTTCCAATTACGGATCCGCCTATCGGGTAGATTCAAGCTCTTTATTATCATACAATTGCATCTAAGTCAAGTATCATACCGCTTGCGTTTACAATAAGAGATCGTTGCGATAATCGTTTAATTGAGCATTTTCTTCTTGCTTTGTTGTTCTTCACGCGATTAAGTACAAGTACGTTAATCTACAATCCGAAGCTCTTTAGTCGTACGACGAGAGAACAGATAAAATTGGTGAAATTTGAGAGAAACTTTTCTAGAATATTTTAGTGCTCGCGTTAAGGGCAAGTTGACCAGGCAGAGACTCGAATCATCTCTCGTTTCTCGATATTCTTCGTGCTGTGTCGACAAAGGTACCCCTTCGCTTACTTTACGTAGACTCTATTCCCTCGCAGAACTATATTCTTAGGTAAAAATCATTTAGAACCATCTTATACAATATTGAGTAATAAGACCTTTCTGGTCGAAAGGTTGACTCCCGTCATTCTCTCTCTAAACATTTGCAACAATCCTGTGCGTTACGCGGAATAAGCAAGTATTATTAATAATGAGTCGCACCTTTGTAAGAGCGTGTTCTTACAGCAGTAAAAGCTCCTTTCATAAGAGATTCGGCTAATTACACTCGTCTTCTTAAAGTACGTTTCTTAAGCCTTTATACTAAAGCGTTAGTTAGTTACGTAATAAAATATACATAGTGTACGACAGGGGCGACGAATTTCTTCGAGAGAACGTTGATTTGCCGTATTAAAATTTACGAAAGTGAGAATTGCCACAATTCGCCACCCCTGGTGCACGATATTGATCGCGTTCGGTCGCGTACATCCTTATTTTTAAAATAAGCGCAATGGGCGCTGCTCGAAATCATCGGAGAACCGTGTTCGAACGAATGAGGGAAATTTCAAAGATAACAAAATTACTGTGCGTTTAAGTACCACTTTAAGTAACATTTTTTGCTGAATTGGTCGCTCTAACGTCCCCCCTTCAACTGTTTTCGAGCAGTGCGAAACGATTCGCGCATAAGAAGACACTTACGTTCCGTTTCTACATGAAATGCATTTACATCGTGTTAAAGTATGACCTTAGACGTTTATAATACGATACTACGAATACAGAACATTTCTATTTTCTTTTATTTCGTTTACGATCACGCGGAGTCCCCCCACTTTCGTTAGGATTTCTCGTTGTCTTTGCTCGGCCTCTTTCTGCCCGGCGTGAACAGAGCAAGTATCCCGCTCACTGAAACGCAAAATGAATATTTCGAAGATTAGTGAGACTTCTGTACAACAAGTAGTGAAACACAGCGATAAGAGGCGACACGAGTTTGGATACGTACGGAAGAGTTGAGCGGCCACTATAACGATCACCAACGTGCAGTAATCATCGATCAAGTACCCGATCATCAGAGTACCGCTTATAGCACCTATTCGACTGATAAAAGCCGACAAACCAGCAGCCATTGCTCTGAAAAGGAAACCAACATTATTCAAGAAGCCACTGTTGAAGCTGTTCCCATACACTAAGGGACACCATATATATTACATATGCAGTCTATGGATGACTATTGTTTTCGCAATGATATAGTTGGCATTGAAATGCTAAACACTCGAGGACGTTCAAGAGTGACCGTCACGATATTTCTTAAATAATGCAGATAATCGACTCGATCCAATCGCTCGATTATAAATAACCAGATAGAAGAATATAAATATTACGGGCGGATATTTATATCGTCGGTATACATCGATTGATAAGCGATAGAAAAAACAATCGAGTGCCAATGTCGATAGTTACGGTGGCTGACTTATCGCCGGTGGTATTCCAATCGGTGATACCAGACGACATAACAAGTTTTATTTATCAGGAAACGATCAGGGCGTTTACACCGTTCGAAATAGACGGTCACCCACTTAATTGACCTTATCTTTCGTCGAGATATCCGGAACGTTGTTGAAGGCGTTCGCAAAAATTTTATCTGCCCGCTAGTTCACGAATTGAGCGCCGACTTGATCCCCTAATTCTCTCATTGACATTTATTGGCCAATAAAAATTGTATCGAACAATACGAAACAGCTGCGTAAACAGCGACGAGGCCGTGTTTAATGCACGGTCAAAGTTGAACACGCTGGTATCGAGTCGAATACATCGTTCCTGCCGATTGCGTTCTTCTTTTGTGTTTCGAATCTATTGGATGTTCCGTGACGCAAATGCAACGAAAACACGGTTATCTGCGTGTTACTCATTGATCATTTCATGTTAAGAAAAACGTAATCCGGAGTCGAGATGCTCTTAGTCATCGGAGAGCAAGAAGAAGAAGCGCGAAATAACATCCATTTTCAAGGAATTGAAATGTACAGAATGGATCGCAACACGAGTACAAACGTTTTATCTGCAAATAATAGCGATAAAAGTTCTACGAAATTGATCGGTCTTCAGATCTAACGATCAGCCAATCTCGAATTCTATTTATACATCCAGCAGGACTTAACACAGACCCAACATTCCGTCGACACAGATTTCATTTACTCTTTAATCAGGTTTACTACATAATCAAATTTAGATTAGACCGAAGCAGCCTAACTCGCACTCTGCGTATGCGAATCACAAACGTAACCCAGATCTATTCTTAACTCGGATCTAATTTAGTCCGATCTTGCGCCCAACGCAACCCTAGGTCAATCTTACAAACACACGTGGCCAATTTGATTTGGTCGTGTCTCGACTCGAACGTAACTTGGACTTAACCTGACTCAATCTTAATTTATGGTATTCAAATGCTTGGAAAACGAGCTTATTATAGTCCTGACGGAAAATTTGGAAAATTGCTGGCATCGATCGTAGAAAGTTACCTTAAATGCGTTGGATAGAGATCAACTAGAAGGCAGTATACCACGCTAAGGCAGACGGATGTGACCGATTCGTAGGCGCAAGAGAGTATCAAGTTTTGAGTGGACGTCTTCACCAGGAAGAGACAGGCGGTCACGATGGCGGGTATAAAAGCTGTTATCACTGAAACGGATAAAAGATATTCAGCATATCCTGGAGATTCTACAGTTTCGATCAACGCCATCTATCAGATGTACTCGTGGACGATATTGAACCTCGAGTTTGTATTCTAGGAACACAAACTCTTTGTTTCATGCACGATTGCTCTAGCAGCTAAGTTCTCCACTCAACAATGAAGTGTTGAGAGTGTCCCAGAATAGTAAAACACAATATGGCGAGTATGACAAGTACAACCGATAGCATAAAGTTGATCTTCGATGAGCGTTTCCTCGGAGAAAAAGGGTTCCACTTACCGAGGAAAAATTTGTATCCTACATAGTTAACCAGGAGCGGCAATATCAAACCCGTTGGGATGCAAGAGGCTCCCAAGATGAACGTATGGACAAATACGCTAATTTGTACTCTGGATTCGCAATTGAACGGATCATCCGACAGCGCCTATGTAAACAATTGAAGTTAGACGAAAGTAGACAAGTGGTACGGTCGAATAGAATCTTCAACGTTCAACTTACTACCACTGTAGCGTTCTTCGCGCTCTTCAGGGTGCAGACGCTGGCTGTTTCATTGGGATACGCCTCTTGGAAGTCGGCGTATCTGTGAAACAGCTCTGGCAGCCACAACGTGAGCGTGTAATAAGAGGATGTGACGAAACAGGCGATCAAACACACGACTATTGTCCTGCACAGGAACGGGGGCTTCAGGATCATCACGGTTTTCGTCCAGATGTCGTTTATCATCAACTGGAAGGACTTTTCTTCCACGTCATCCTCGTCCCTCGTGTGCATTATTTGATGCACCAGGTCGTTGAGATTATTGTTCCCACAGTTTCGTAGTTTCGTCTGAAAAGATAGAGCATCGTAGTGCTGGAAAAGCGAACTGTTCTCTATTGTAGCAGCTGACCACTGTTCTCCAAAATGGAATAGCTTACTGTATATTCCTTCGGTGGTTCCCCACTGTTCTCCGAGTACATTCTCATCAGTACGTCCAACATTTGGACGTTCTGTCCGGTCTCGGCGAGATACTTGGGTGTCTCGGGGAAAAATATTAGCCACGTGCCGGCGAGCAAGGCTGGCAGGGAGCATATAAAAACGAAAAGATTCCACGAATGATAAACCACACCTCCGATTACCATGTTCACTTCCAGTGGAATGATTATCCAACCGACGCCTGAAATCAAAGTTACCTCCGTTTAAAAAGGATGCATTTGGCGCCTAAATAAATTGCCTCAATGTTTTCTTTTGGATATACACAAAGAAGTCCCAATGAACTCCAAGAAAAGAAGATATAACTCTTCTAATAAGAAATATCACCTGAATAGAGTATTTCTAATTTTTGTGGAACCTGGTACAAAGATAAAGCTTCCAATAGAGGAATCACAAGGGTCGAATACAAGCTCCATTCGACCATAGATGGCGCCACCACAGACGATTAGATTGGCTGTAGCGGAGCCTACTGCGGATGCGATGAAATTTATATTTATACACCTAGTGATTATTCGTACAAGATTCTGTTTATATTTAACATTTTTTTTTACGCTTATTTTGTGGGCCAAGTTCCATAAAAATGTCCCTAGCCAGTAAATAATTAGTTTTGATCCGAGTGTTCACCTGCCAGAATGATCATCCCTAGCACCCAAGCCATCTCCATCCACGAGAGCATCTTGTCGCGATACTTGGTCGGTTGGAATTCACCCAAGTATAGAAAGACGACCGCCGACTGCCCGTTCATGCTGAAAACGTTAACATTTTATTATCGTTTGCCGACAAAGCGATTGACCTTAGCAGAATGGCACATGTCGTACTAACGCTGCACCGCTTAGAAATTTTAGGAACAGGAAGACCCAATAGAGAGGCACCACCGACGCTAATAACTCGGAGATTCCGTGGAGAAACAAAGCAACCAACAGTGATAGCCTTCGTCCTTTTATGGCTGCGTAACAGCCCCATATGTAGGAACCAGCCAGCATACCTACAAATTTACGTAATTATGCAGATACAGAGGTCTCGATTAGTGTAACCTCGAACGTTGCACGAGGGCCTCGTTTGGTGCGCTCTGTTGATTAATAAAACGAACATGATCGATTAGCGACTAATGAAGTTGAAAATGAAAGTCCCCCAACGCAGCTAGTGGAAATGTATTGTACATGAGGAGTTGCTTGTTATTTAGATTGTTACCCCGATAAATGCAGGCTCAGCGCCATCTTTTTATAACCGACGCAATTGAGATCAGCTAAACATAGTTGCTAACAAATAGTTGCTAAGTACTGAATGTACAATGGACCAAAGAATAGTTGGCCTACTATTAGCATCTCCAGCGGAGAAACGATGAAACACAATTATTATACCTGAACAGGTATAGTAGTTCTGTTTGTTCCAATACGTTTTCAAATGAAAATGAAGATTCAACGTGATTATATGACAGAAAAATCTAGGTTTATTCATAAATTTTATACAAATAAGAATCGTAGTTGGTTGATCAGGCTCGAACACAACAGCATAGTTATTTACACCGGTGTAAAACTTTCTCCCATAATTGCACGGCGCGAGAAAATGTTAGTAGATCGTACGTTTCGTTGCTTGGAATGTTTCTGTGTAGAAAAAACGTTCGGTGTTGCGCGAGATAATGCCTTTCGATTCTTGTCGCGATCGATCGTTAATCATCAATAAATGATGCAATTGCTACGCACGGCGCGAAGTTGTACCGCCGTGCATGGTGAACGCAATGGATTTTCCAGTGATTATAGTATGATGCAAAATGACTGATAATTGATCTTCGACAGGGATAAGTAGTTTAATTATTACCACTTTGTTGTCGAAGAACAAAAAAAATAATAGCCTCTTTGTTATGACACTTGACGTTTAATTTTCTCCACGTGGCATCAAATAAAAAAAAAGAAATGGAAAGGGGGTAAGGGGAGGGGACAAGTCACGTTCCGGCATTGTACGAGTCTTCAAGGTTTAATTATTTACATTCCGGTCGTGTGAGTGTTGCCCAGTCGAATACGTTTGCATCGTGTTTCTCAATTGACGGGGATACTTAAATTATCTTTTTTTATAGTAAAAAATTACAGTTGTGGAACTTGTACGAGACTGGTGAACGTGTTAAAAGAAATCGAGCACGGTTATTGAACTGTAGTTTCCTTGTTCCGAGTCGCGGCTGTTGGACATTGCACGACCCTGAGTGTGAGAACATATGCTTCGAGTAATTCAATTAATTTACATCGCGTTCCATTTAAACACGTTCGCTTCGACACTTCCTTGCAAGAATTTTTATCTTTGTTTCTTTCGCTCGAGACTCGAAATTCAAACTTAAACTATATTAATTAGGCCCCCCTCCCGCCCCTCTTGACACGTGCCAAGATCATTAACCTTTGAAGGAAACCGACGGTATATAAATATTCATCCTATTATGATAATAACTTTTTAAAAAACAACGGACGCCGGCTGAATCATTCGTATCATTACTCAAGATAATGACCTTAATGACGTATCAAACAGTGATTGAAATCGTGAGATGGCCTCTATTTAATTTGGCTTTGTGGCTTAAATAAAATGTTACAAGTTGCGAGAGGGAACTAATCTTATCGTTTGCAACAAATTCTTTTTGTCAATATTATTTTTTTTATTGTAAATTTATATGATACGGTATAGGGGCTTGTCCGAGTTCCCGAGCAGCCCAAACCCTTTTCGAGACGACACGTACAATCGGCACGACCGTGTTAGATTAGATCGATGAAAGGGCGTGTGTGTGTCGCGGGAAAGGCACGCAAGAAAGACTAATTCCGGCGATAAGGCGGACTATACTTTCGCTGATTGCACACACGCGCTGCGTCAACGCAAAGAAAAAAAAACGAACGGGGAACGATCCTAAGAAATACGATAGAAAGCTGCCGCCAATACCGTATCGTTTGACGAATAATTAAACATCGAAGCAGCGGTGCACAACCTATGCATTTCGTTTGCAAGCTAGACAAAGTCTAAGATCGCTATTTATTTATATCGTCTGATAGATTACGTTGTGATAAAAAATTCTATCGTAATTGGTGAGGCTTCTTTGTTATCTTCGATAGATTTAAGTCCTAATTTCGCGCGATGAATTTGGAAGAAAGGGTCGGTGTTAAGCGCCACTGTGTCGTAGCGGCTGTCCGCGACACTGAGTGAATCATTGGAAACAGCCTTCCGCGCCAGGACAGCTTATTTGCTGATTTCAGAAAATACTGACTCAGACCCTTTGTCCGTGGTTATAAATAACAAATTGGCAAATGCGCTCGAATCCTGGCTGGGGAATCGACCAAAACAACGCCGTTATTATATCGTCGCTGGACCACAAAGCGTGGCAAAAATAATTCCCTGTTTTTCTACGCGTTATGATTATTATGGATGCGAGAAATGCAAAAAAAAAAAAAATCGTAAGAAACGATACATCATAATAAATGAGAATGGAGAACAATATATAACCAGTTGTTTTAGAATTTACTATACACGTGTAAATGTTTACACTATATTGTTAGAGTAAAATAAAGGATTACCTAACATCGGAGCGGCGCTTAGGCGGCCCTTGTCCACCGTGGTCATTTGAAAGTCGCATGCTGCTGAAGGTAGTATGAATCCAATGCTGGTTATGCTGAATGCCACGTTCATGAAAATCAGACTGCAGACGGCCATAACCTTAAGGTTAAATTTGCCAAATCCTGTTGGAATAGGACAAAGAAAAAATACTAAGAACAAGGAAGGCATTACTGTTTAATTAATAATTATATCAATGATAAAATGGAGCCAAAACAGCAGAGTATCTATTGACGTTAATGAATCTGCAATTACTTATTATTTCTAGCGAATGAATTTAAGGTCGTTTCAAGATCACAACCATAGACGATCTTAATAAAAATTTTGTAACCAGATCAGACAGGTTGAACCAAAGCACGTCTATTAGAACTATCGTACAGAATTTATTGCAGTTATTTTTATCACTTGATAGACTAAACCTTGAGTAAATAGAATGTTTACAATAGTCTAACGAATGACGTTCATGATAGAGTCGAGTTTCGTCGTCGCGTTTTCAACGAAAGCGCGTCTAGTTATGCCGTTTCACCTTGCAGAATATGTAAAAATGCTAATTGCGAATGGTGAACAACGAAGCAATCTTGGAACGCCTTGTAAATTTTCTTTTATCGTTTATTAAAATGTCTTGGAATTCCGGTTTTATGCTAGCAGTCGTTTTATACATTACGATTTTCGATTGTGCAATATTTTCTGGTATCTAATGTCGAATTGAGAACGGGGAATACCTGTTTGGTCGACGGCATCTTGAGCAACGCTTTCTGCCGTCTGTTTCGTTCCTGCGAACAGAAGAAAATCATCGGTTACGCGCAAAAGGGAATGATAACTGCATGGGCTCGCGTGAATGTCAGACAGTAGCGTAGTAACCTCCAGCGGGGCCCTGGACAACAATATTTTTCTTTTAAAAGAGATCATGAAAGGGTAGTTCCTGTTCTAAATCGATCATACCATTTATGGCACACGATATAGCATTATACTTGTGTGTTCAAATAGAAAAAATTCAGGTGAAAATTGACGAACCCGTTAGAAAAATTTAACTGTGTACAAAGTTTGATTTTCGTTTCATAAATAAGTTCTGCAATGTTGTCAGAGAAACATCAACGTGATAAAATAATTTAGCTGTTGGTAGAGGTGACCAATAATAAGTGACACTCAATGAACAAAAACAGAAGTATTCGTCAGCTGTCTCGTCTCGTTCGATAAAGTACAGCCGGTAGTTGGCCAATAATAACGAAGAACCTGAAAAGTGGAAGGGATTAGGGTAGAGTTGGCGTTCGGAGTCCCCTCGCCCCTCGTTCAGTTTCGTTTCTCAATGATACTTCGCCCAGCGGTTATTTCGAGAATAAAAACGATTCCTGGAGCCCTCGGGTGTCCCAGACGGAACACATTGCGTCTGTCGGGACAACAACACGAGACGTCACAACGAAGCGCGCTGGCTAAAAGGACGAGGCTCATCCCTCCTCTCGGGGCTCCGGTTTCCGATAAACCGTTTTTCGTGCTATTCGCGGCTGCATGGCGCTGACCTGTTCGCCCAACGCCACGCGCGCTCGTGTGTTTCTTTGTTCTCGTCGACCTAAACGCGCTCGAGCCGTTGCCCCGAGTGCTTTGGCAAACACTCGCCGTCTACCCCCCTCGGCTTCGACGTTTTCGGAACACATTTTCCTCGAGTCGACGCTCGTTCCTGTCGCAATTGCATCGAGAAGTCGTTAAAACGCCGGTATATCATCGTATGAACAAAGCAGAAACACAGGAGTCGAAGCAATGCTGGTTTAAAGTGGAAATTGACCTGACAAGAGTCACCGATTTTATTGAAATTTTGCACATTGGGCTTCACTGTTCGTGATAGTCTCTGTTCAGCAAGAACTCGCATAAAATATAGAGAAACGTCCAAGAGATGAAACAGATCGTCTAAGAATACATATTTGCTGACCAGTGTCATTATACTGCTTATTTGCTTCTTATTGCTCACACGTTTTCGACCTAATCCGCCAAGAATGATGAGTTCTTTTAATTGGACCCCTTTCTAGACTACACGACAATGTGATTTTTATTAATTACATAACCGTAGACCTCGAGAAAGACAATTATTTTCATCCCTAAATCAGACTTGGGCATCAATTAAGAATACTCCCTCGAACCCTCTCTGATATTATATCACCAAAAAATATATCGAACAACAGATACCAGGCACGAGGCGGTTTCACGAGAGGTGGATTCCGTTACCTCATAACTAGTCTCGTTTCCTGAACCCGCTACACGCGTTCGAGAATTCGTTCGAGAATTCGTTCGAAACGATGCGTCGAAAAAAGACAGAACGTTACCCAACGATCGAAGGAGAAAGACGCACGTAGAACTGGTTGCCAGTGGACGACCCGAGCGACCCACCGGTTAACGTTCGTAACGTTGTGTCAACGTTCATCCCCCTCGAGAATGACACCACCGAAACTTCGAGAATTCGAAATCCCCCCCCATCACTGTTCAAAAAACTTATCGAGGCTCTCGAAGCTTCGAACTGGTTCGGTCCGCGGGTGAAATAAATATTACCTTGCAACGTGAACGCAGCATCTCCTGCGACTAGTGGCTCGGACGCGGCTGGCTCGTGTTCCAATCGAGCGATATCGCTGGACATCGTACGCGCGCGACACTAACGCATCGCTGCGCCGACGTCGATCTTGCTGGTTTCGCACTACTCGCGCGGCTTTGCTCGGTACACGCCGCGCGTTTCGCTTTCAACGAGATCGCTTAACCAACTGCGCCTCCCCCCTAATCAACTGCAATAATAAACCTGCTGCCCGCCGCCTTCGTTCGTCGCGCTGCCGCTTTTTTTCCGCTCGCACGCCCGTAGTTTCCGCGAAACGCGCCCGTACGTACGCATCTACGCGATCGACGAGGCGCTTTGTCGTTCCCAGCGGGCGTGCAGACCGATCGGTGGCGACGTATCGACCAAAAACGAACGCCGTGGACGGGGTTATCGGTCCGTTCCCATCGGTAACGTCGAAATAGACGCCGCGGTTAACATCTAAGCGTCGCTCGTGATTGCCAGTTTACACCGAGCGTTCGATACGCACGCCATGCACGAAATTTCAGTGAAAACGACTCGCGACAAACCGGGGGAAAAATGTCACGCGTGCCAATTGCCTTTGTCGCTTTGAAAACATATCGAGATCAGGTTCCCTTTGTTCCATTGTCTCCGGCAACCCAACTTCACGCGACTTTAGAACGCAATTTTGGATAAAAGTTTAGCAGGAATTTGGATAATTATCTTACACGTTTATTGGACATGTACGGTACCATAGCGGACCTAACCCAAAACGCAAGAGAAGAATAACAAAAATTTTGGATCCGTTGAAGAGGTCACGACTTAATTATCTGGCCTATTAAAATAACTTCGATTAAAAATTTTCTTTTCTCTCGTTCGAGGAACGCTCGTTTCCAAGAATGCGCGATAGTGTAACGCTTCTCACGATGTCACATAACCTCTTATTTGAAATTTCTGCTCGCGTCTTCCCACGCTACGTGGTAAATAATCTAATCTACCCAATTGCAAGATTTCACACTGTCCAAGCACACTTCGTGCGCGTATACTTTTCCTGCTGATAAATCTTTCGTCGCTTATCGAGCGTAGAATGTTTTAACGCAAAATGTTAGTCGCGCGTGGCGTGATTCGATCAGCATGGTTACACGGCGTGAGGCGGTCTGTGTAGCTACGCCGTATCACGTGACGCGCGATGGTCGATAATAGTAGTTCGAAATTTTAGGGAAAACTGGAATAGTAAATTGTAAACAAATTATTTTTAAATCGTTTCTGTAAACAAAGGGTTAACGTTTAGGTTCAACGTTCCAGCTGTGGATTCTGATCGTGCTAATTGCTTTTCTGCATAAGTCGACACGGTCTCGTTTCGTGTACCAATGGAATTAACGCTAGGAGGATCCGTAGAGTCGTTTACAATTCCGCGGTAGTAAACGTACGATTATTGTTGTGGAACTTTTAATCTGGAGCATTAGCAGCGATACGGAGAGATAGTCTTTCTTTAACCCTACTAAAACCCCAGACTGAAAACTACGCGACAAAAATATTCCGTTTGTGAAATTACAAAGGAGTCATTATGTACAGTGGTCCTCAACCGCGATGCTTCAAATATTTTAGAGCAACCAGCTATAAACGTTGAATACATTTATTAAACACTCCGTCGATTGCTGTATTTGATCTTGTCCCCTGATTATAATTATTTTTCTACCTTGATAGTAATTATTTACCTTTAGCAGAAGCGACCATTTTCAGCTTGGCGTCCTGTCGTAGAGTTTCTCGATATTTTAGATAAAACAATTGCTTCCGAATGGATGAAAGAATAAAGAGTTAGGTAGTTTTGAATATACGAACTGGCTGAATAATAGATCCGACAAGACCTGACCTATCCAATTTGTTAGAAAATCGTTTGGCTGCTCGGCTGAAATATGACGGTGTATCGTCACGCATAAATCGCATGTGACGTCTGCTGGAATTTCTTCCGGTAATTCATGCAATTGATTACTCAAGATATTGACACACGTTTAACCTTTGTCGATCCGCCATTTAAGAAAACCGGGAATTACCGAGCGTTCATTGTATACAAATAGTTTGGTAGAATCGGTTATACTAGTGCATAAATAGTTATAACTCGGGAAAGAGGTCGAATAGAGCACGATGTTACGAGAATAATGAATAACAATGGAGCAGCAACGAACTGGACGCACGAGAACCCCTTGCTACAGACAACTTTAACAAAAAAAAACAAATAGAAAACCCTATCTAGTTTCTGAGAGAATTCAAACAGCGTAAAACAGTTTAGTCTCTGAAAAAAACGCATAAGACGTCTTGTGTTTGGAACAGTTGCGAATTCATCGAGTCTATGGGATCCTTTGACCTCCGAACAGGGACGCCATTCACTCTTTCCTTTCATTCACCTCGGCACACATCCTCCCCGACGCGCCGTATCCTTTGATTCGTATTCTTTTAAACCAGCTTTCTAATCTCGGCGTCGTCGTGACGCTGGAACTCGTTTTGCAAATTCGCCCGACCGGTTCGGTCCTAGGATTTCGTTAGACGATCGGGCATTATCGACGAACGGATCGCCCGGCGACAATCGGGGATTCCGCGAACACAATGACGACCGTACCGTTGAATAGAATTGGAAATTCCACGAATCTTACGTTCTGCTTGCGCAAGGAACGAGGATTATTAATTTCCTGGTCGATTAACCAGCTTTTTATAGGGCGTAACGAAGCATAAGTCGCTGCACGACACAAAGAAACGTTCGAACATAACCTATATGAAATTGCAGAGATGAGAACAATTTATTTGTGACGTCCATTCGACGAAATAATTTTTTATCAGTTCGTCGTGAAATATTTCATTTTACAATCGAAACTATTTTTATTCAACGAGCAACTTAAATGTGAAACTCGAAGAAGATATTTGGGGGACAGTATCGTCTTCTAATAGAATAATGGCGCGAAACAAACGACCACGACTTCAAAGCAATATTTCCCAGAAGCCATAACTTTTATCCACTACTGCAACCATAACCAACGAAATATTACTGAATACATGTTTTATAACCACCAGGAGCTAAATAGAATGTAGACTTTTAAGAAATTTAAGCCTCAAATTGCATCGTAGAGGCACAATAAGTATTATTTACGTATTTCGTGGTTACGGTATTACGATAGGCCTGCATCCAACATGGCGTCCAATGGCCACGTGCCCCAACTCAACACTAGAGCTACCAAAGCAGTTCAAACGACATAATTTCTAATAAAACTATAAGTGAATGAACAAACACTTATTTAATTCCTCTGATACAAATAAATACATTATAATCGTTGGTAATTTCAGCGTTAATCTTAGATGTATCGAAAACTATGGCCCCGTGTCGCCGTTGAAAATTTAACGGAACGAATCCGCGCGATTTCGGTTCATTACGGAATCACATTAAGCATTATCTCTAATTAGCAGTGCAGATGCCACAGGAATTTAGTTCATAGTGAGATACAGACGGCAATTGAGATAAACTAATCTGTCAGATTAAAGCCTGGAAAAGTTGCACGAGAGTCAGATAAATAGGCACTCGAAGTTCAATGTTTATTTACTTGAATTTTTCAGTTAACACTGCTACAAAGATTACTACTCTTCGAGCGTTTCGCGAAACAGGCACCAGTTGCAATTAAATATTTTAAATAAGTAGACATTTTTTTTTATTCCATCGTAGACACGTTTTACCACGAAGTACGTTTCCTTTTTTCAGCCACACGTTTCAGCCCTAAAGTGTGTCGTAAATTATGCACGATAACGCGCGAAACACGGCTCGTTCATGCATTTTTGCGGAACGATGCACGTTTATTGTAACGCGTAGCGATACCAAACTCTAATCGCCCCGCGTTATCATCGAGGCGCGATAGTTGCGTAAAAAGCATCCGTGCATACACAGCTTTTCCGAACGTGAGTGGTATTTTAACGTTGCTCGTGAGAAACACGTTTTGGTTTCAATTTCAATTTACATTTCACTCGTACAAAATGAAGGATCTCTGACTCAAGAGCTGAGGAACGATCGGAGCAAGGCACGACGGGATTCGTAGACATTTTTAAAGGCGAGGACGTCTTTAAAAACATATTTTAACTTCCGTGTAGTTAAAAAATTTCATAATAATAGTTGCAATACTCTTGGTCGTTCAGTCACGTGTGCACGGTTGTCGAAAAATGTCGAAATGAAAATTTTACTATGAACCTACTTGAAAGGACTCACGCGACTTTACGAACACACGTTCACGTTTGATAAATCAATCACGATAGTTAGGTAGAGACACTTGACGCTGCAATAGCGTCTTATCGATTCTGATAAAGGCAATTAAGCTGATAACGCATTGATTCGACGCATTTGTATTGGTGGGCCTCTAAATAATAAGCAAGCAAGCTGGAGGCTCACGACAGCCACGCGCGAGGATCAACGACAGCTGAGATTTACTCGCGACAGTTAAAGAAATTTTATTCGTGCAACGAATGCAAATTTTTTGTTCGTCGAATCAACCGGTGACGAGGGTACGTTTTGTACCTGAAGAGATCGGGTGCAATTTCGTGCAGCATAGAGAAGTAATGCAAGTACGAAAAGACTGCAAACTGATAAACCGTATCGGTTCGAGTCTGTTCATTCTAGTTCGCTTGCGAATTGTTATTGGCGAATGCGCGCCACAGTATTATATTACTTGATAATGAGCTTATTTGGCCAAAGAGGCTGGCAATGGTAATTCGTTTACGCAATACCATTTACTGTGTACCACCTATGGTATTTGTATCATATTGACAGGTGTTTTTGGTATGCGATAATACTTGTTAACGAATCGTTAATTGCACGTCTTATAAAAACTGTTCGTTATCTTACACGACTACCATGATCCAACTTAATTGAATTACGATATCTCAGAAATTTTTATTTCACTTTTTAGCTGAAGGAATTCGTTTTGTTTGACCATTTTGATCTAATATTAGAGTATTAATTTTTAACTTCTAATTAAGCGTGTTATTGGCGATAAAATTGTGAGTGTTCTGTTTTAGTATATAAATAGATATATCGGTATGCAGAGTTCGATAGATATCGATGGATCGTCAAGGACGTTTCAAGGTCAATCACACTAATCTCGAATCAAATTTTAACATTGATAATCGTAATTTCGATTCACGATTTCGAATCTCAAATAAAAGTAGATTGTTATTAAACTACAATTACAATTTTATTTAAGCGTAGTCGTATGTATAAAATAAAATGGCTCACATTTTCACATTTCTCTAGGCTCGGTGATCAATAATTTCTTGCATTATTCATTACTATTGTTGCATTATTGTTGCGTTCGTGGGAACGATTCAGACAAATGCATAACGGAATTTTAATCGAGAGG